TCAAACCTAGAACAGCAACGTTGCATGTTTTTCAATGCCTATTTTTGGCGGATGAAGCTATATGAACACTTGGAAATCGGCCGTGATTTTTCAGAGATACGATGAACAATATTTTTCACCGTTTAATTCAAGCTTATGGATGTGATTGTACGCTTTCGTTAAATCTGACCGAAAATTCGACTTTTACGTCCAAAAGTATCGCGTGGCATCAAGTTTCACAAAAATCGATCCAACAGAAGCCGAAATAACATATCGACGGTGAAAGTCGGCAATCACATAACTCGGTTTGCGACGTCGCAGACTTCCTGTTATAATTTATTTTTTAAACGGAAAACTACTCAACGGCAATTCTTTAAAACTGCGGTGATTTTTCTTCTCTGTGTGAAGAAAATTCTGCAAAAACTTCAAGGAATAATATCAATTTGTTCTCTTTTAAAAAAATAACATAGAGGCGGAGATTTTCAGACACCGCAAACGAGTTATGTGATTGCCGACTTGCACCGTCGATATTAGGCTACATCCACCCACTTGGATTTTCGAATTTTGAAAGTTTGAGTTGAAATCAGATATTTCATATAAAAATGCCAGCTAGTGTCAAGTTTCACAAAAATGAAAAAATTAAACACTAAGATGGCACGAGGATAACACTTTTGTGTCATGCCTCGGGTCATATCAATGGCGGCGTTTTAATGCCGTTTGCAGTAGGGGCACAGGAAAGCCGAAAAACCATAGCGGGACGCTACTTCAATATTAAGCTTCCATCGCCTTGCTAAGGCGCAGGGATACAACTATTTGAACTCTCCGAAACGCGTGAGGTATCACTCTTCAATTGAAGGCGTTTACGAATCTTCCGTTTATACATGACGATATTTTCCAAATTTTTTTGCATTATATTGTCGATTTGAGTTCCTTTTATCAATTAGTTAAATTATTCCGGCTTCTTAATTTTTAATTATTCTGCAAAAATTATCTTTTTGCAAAATACAATCCTGGCTTTAGCGCCCTTAAAGTCCGCCCTTAACGGTCGACACTATACAGTAGCGGGACGCTACTTCAATATTTTACAATTTTCTTTTACAATTTTACAAATTTTTTGCATTATATTGTAGATTTGATATCCTTTTAATATTCAATTAAATTACTCCTGCTCCTTAATTTTTAATTATTCTGCAAACACTATCCATTTGCGAAATACAACCCTGGCCTTAGCGCCCTTAAACTACGTTGGTTTTTTGCATTTGACTGTAGATTTGAGTTCCTTTTGTTAGTTAGTTAAATTATTCCTGCCTCTTAATTTCTAAGTATTCTGCAAAAAGTATCTCTTTGCGAAATACAATCCTGGCTTTCGCGCCCTTAAACTACGGCCTGAACGGTCGAAACTGTAGTAGCGGCACAGGAAAACCGAAAAACAACGCGGGGACGCTACTTCAATATTAAACTTCCATCGCCTTGCTAAGGTGCAGGGATACAACTATTTTCACTCTCCGGAACGCGTGAGGTATCACGCTTCAATTGAAGGCGTTTTCAAATCTTCTATATTTACATGACGAGATTTTCCAAATTTTTTGCATTATATATTGTAGATTTGATATCCTTTTAATATTTAGTTAAATTACTCCTGCTCCTTAATTTTTAATTATTCTGAAAACACTATCCATTTGCGAAATACAACCCTGGCTTTAGCGCCCTTAAACTACGGTCTTAACGGTCAAAACTGTAGTAGCGGCACACAGGGGCGGACTTGTAGTCGAAAAGTTAGGAGGAGACCTAAATGTAAGGCCCCTCCTGTCGTTCGGGGACCCTTCTAAGAAGGTCCGGGGGCCTTCTCCCGGTAAATTTTGAAAATGTCACACTTTTTAAACACGTAGGCATTATTGGAGTTGGATTTTACAGTACTTGAACTTCAAAATAACCCATTCTCAGGATTCTTCGGGGGCCCCTTCATCACATAGCTCTAGGCGACCTTTCATGCATCTTAGAGATAAATTTTCAAGGAATTCGGGGCCTTTTAGTGATTGAAAAGGATAAGAAAATTACAACATTACGGGGAAAAAACGATTACTCTAAAAAAATTCGCCGCGGGGGCCCCTTCGGGACCTCCGCGGCAAATTGTTAGGGGGCGATCCCCTCCGCGCCCCCATGGCCAGTCCGCCCTTGTTGGGCCTTATTAGACCTGATCAGCAGATCACACTCGGCAGTGAACCCAACTTAACATGCCGCAAAATCCAAGACGGCATTAACACGCCGTCATGGATATGACCCGAGGCATGACACAAAAGTGTGATCCTCGCGGCATCCTATAGTGTTTAATTTTTTCATTTTTGTGAAACTTGACACTAGCTGGCATTTTTTTAGGAAACACCTGATTTCAACTCAAACTTTCAAAATTCGAAAATCCAAGTGGGTGGATGTAGCCTAAAATGTTATTTCGGCTCCTGTTGGATCGATTTTTGTGAAACTTGGTGCCACGCGGTACTTTTGGACGTATATAAGTCAAATTTTCGGTCAGATTTACCGACAGCGTACAATCACATCCATAAGCTTGAATTAAACGGTAAAAAATATTGTTCATCGTATCTCTGAAAAATCACGGCCGATTTCTAAGTGTTCATATAGCTTCACCCGCCAAAATTAGGCATTGAAAAACATGCAACGTCGCTATTCTAGGTTTGAATATTTCTTTGTCCCAACGTCGGTGATGGGAAAATGTGCAACTGCGCACGCACTAAATTAGGATCCAGCGGTAATCCTGATTGCCTACCATCAAGTCGAAGCGATACTTTCAAAGGCGCCATAAGGGACTATTCTACCTCAGAAGTGTTGCACAGTATCAAATGGAATTGAAGGCGCACTAACGAATGTAAATTGACTGGTATCAATTCCAACTGTATACAGACTAATCCTACAATATGCGGCTCCTGTTCTCTCGAATTTGTGAAACTTGGTGCCACGAGGTAGTTTCGGACGTAAAAGTCGAATTTTCAATCAAATTCTCAAAATTCAAAAACCCAATATGGCGGGAGTGGCCTAAAATTCTACCTTGGCGCCTTCGGAATGATCAAATTTTTCAGTCGAGGTGTCTATTCCTTTTCAGTTAAGTATCATAATCGATGTCCTCTCAGCTATTTTAGAGCTTCGATATCGGCGCGCTTCTAAGTTTTCTGCGTTGGAACTGCTTATTTATTTACGTATTTAATTTTCATTCCTTTCTTTTTTATTTACTCATCTGATCCTTCGAAGAATTAAAATCAAAGTTCATGATCTTTACGACACAGGCGCAAAAGTGAGCTGATAATAATCCTGACTGCCAGTCAGTTTGTTTCGGAGGTTTTTTTCAACTCGTCTGGCCCATTTACTTCAAGGGCTTTAAACAGATCCGCCTTTGTTCGTCCGAAGAGCCCTACCTCTTCCTCCCTTCTTAAAGAAAGCATAAAAATGGACTTGAATGAAACGGTAAAAAATTATTTTTGATCATATCCCTGAAAAATCACGGCAAATTTACGAGTATTCGCATCGCCTTTAAATACACGGAAAAAATTAAATTTCTGCTTTAACAATTCAATTGCTTAAAAAAAGTGCCTGCAATGTTTCAATGTAGATTTTGCATCAAAAAAATACTATTTTAACCACCCCCGTGGTTAAATTAGCTTACAATAGTAGTTAAAGTAAAAAATTTTTATTGTGAAATCTACGTTGAAATATTGCAGTCACTTTTTTTTTTTTTTTTTTTTTTTTTTTTTTTTTTTTTTTAGTAATTAAATTGTTGAATCAGCAACTTAAGTTTTTTCACTGCCTATTTTATGCGATAACCTATTGGCAGTGATAAACTTGCAACGTCGCAAATTGAGGTTTGAGTTTTTTTCACCTTGACGTCGGTGATGAGAAAATGTGCAACTGCGCAAGCGCTCGATTGTAGTTTAGGCGTTAATCCTGATTTTCTGCCATCAAGTCAACGCGCTACTGTCAAAAATCTACCTTGGTCAAGGGCGCTCTGAGCAACTATTCCACCTCAGAAGTGTTGCACAGTATCAAACGTAATTGAAGGCGCCGTAACGTTTGTACATTGACTGGTACCGACCGACACTACGCGGCTCCTGTTCACTAGATTTGTGAGAAACTTGACACCAGTTGGCATTTTTTGACGAGAAACTTGAATTTGAAATCAAATTGTCACAATTCGTAAATCCAACATGACGGGCGTGGTCTATAATGCAATCTCGGAGATAGTTGTTATGACTTCATTACGTCGAATACCTAAAAAGGTATAATACTTCATAATACAATATTGAGGTCATTACACGAGCAGAATCTCATTTTTAATTATAATGATGCCGAAATCTGGGCGTAAAATTGTTTCAAAACGTTCACTGATTTTTCCTTAAAATCAATTTTTTTTCATTCTCAAATTTTAAAATGCTCTGAAACAGACAACTGTTGAAATTTTTTAGTGCTTCGTACTGTAAATCATTCTGAATGAATGCTAAAATATAGTTAATTGAATTGAATTGTTTTTTCATTTCTAGTCCCCTTCACTTCAGTTGCCAATGTTTGCACTTGATGTGAATTTTTTTATTTTCTATGATTAGCATCGTGGTGAAATCCTCTGTAACAAGTTTTAATAATGGTAAGAGCATAGGTTCGAAAAGGAATTGGAAAATTTTCTGCACATTGACAAAATATAAATAAAACACTGAATTACTGAATCTCTTATATTTTTCATAAAGTTTCTAAAGAGAAAACATTTTCATACGATAAAACATGAGGTAAAAAATAAAATTTGAACAATATTAAAAATAAAAAAGTGATGAAAGGTTCTTTGTCTACAAACTGTAGAGGTGATGTTAAAAATGACTGGCGAAAGATAGGCTCAGAGAATAACACCATCGATATAATAAATAAGAAAAAAATAAGAGTAAAAGTAATAAATGAATAATCAAAAGTACGCTCGGACACAAGCCAATTATAACAATGAGTAGTTACAATAACACTGAATCATTCAGTCTAAACTCCTCATGAGAAATGGTTCAGATTTTGAACTATCTCACAAAAACGCAAAACAAGAAAACTGTGCAGGAGAGTTCTCACAATTCTGCCATTTTAAATGCAAATATTCTTAATTACTGGGAGAGTATATTTACCTATAATAATACATGCTTTCTAGCAATCTGTTCTATCAGCTACTGAGATGAGAATAGAAAAAGTGGCCATTAAGTATTGGAACACGGCCGAGAACATTGGAGATAGAAGATAGAAAAAAATAACATTAACAATTCTACACCCCTATGGATACGCAATGATCATAATAGGCAATTTAACTTCCTGGAGCATATCAACAGGCAAGAGGAAAATAGGTATGAAAATCAGTGAGACAAGGAATGAATGAATAAAAATATACAAGAGGACTTGAGGGTAAAATCAGGGGGTTGAAAGCAATTGGAGCAATATTTACTTTGTGCAATTTCTAGGCTAAGAAGTTACCCTGTTTTCTCAATATTTCATACAACAGGGTTGAAAGATGACATGAGCTGAGATTCCCACAGATTTATTAGGGAAATTACAAGTTTCGAAAAATCATGTATGATAGCTGACAAAGTCATCACTTTTGGAGATAAAACAAGCACCTTGCTTTTCGCTATGCAACCTTTCTTATGTAGTTAACTTTTCTTGCTGTTGTCATCATAAAAAAAAAAAGGAAATAAATGTAGGCTTAATTCACGCGATAGTTTTAAATGATGCATTGAAATTAATTGACATTACAAACTCATTTCAGTGCAACTCTTTCAAGAGGTTTAATGCTGCAAGAAACTCACCCTCCTCTCTTGCACACTGCAAAATTTACATACAGTGAAACGGTTAATATGAGTTTCGCCACATTAGCTATCAACTGAGCAAGAAGGGAAGATGGAAGAATCTTTCAAACAGTCTTCCCTTGATAAGATCAACAAACCTGATTGATACTTATCTCATTTTAAGTTTTATTGGCCACACAGATATTAGGACTCTTCTAACTTATTTCTCCTTTCCATTGTTTGGCATGCAGACTTTTTATAATCATTCTTTTAGCATAGAATTTTTATTACAACTTTTACTCACAATCAGCTTTAATAAGAGATACTTTCAAGCATTTAAAATATCCTTTTCATAACAATCAGTCTTTCAAAGTATACATAGTTCATAAGCTAAAACACTGACTGGCAGTCAGAATTGACTCAAAAAGTAACAAATTACTGATTATTCTTTCTGAGTTAGGAGTCAATTTCACTGGACACAGAATTGGGTTCTGATGGATTAAGCTTAGAGATTAGCAAAAAATTTTAAGATCTGTTTAAACGCCATGTATCTATGTCCAATATGATGGAGAAAATGTTCATCAAGAAACACAACGTTATGACATCACCGACAGCAGTAGCACGCAAGATGATTTCATCCACTTTGGTTACATCTATTAGAGATTCACACATTTGCACTGGTTGCTCAATAATAAGTGGCAGAAACCACTTTGTATACGATACCGTGGTGGATGATATCATACACCATGTTCTTCAATGGGTGATATCTCCTTCGTTATTGGACATATAGAAATTTGGCTTTGGACGGATCTGAATTATTTTGCTGATCTGTATGCTTAAACCATCAAAACAAAAGTATTTAGAGCAACTAACCCATTCTTATTATTGCTTTTATTAGCTTTCTTGACTAAAACGAGAATTTTAAGGAGAGAGATGTTTAAAGAATTTTTGTTCTAAATTCAATTTACCTACCACAAAACAGATTGACTTGCACAGCAAAAAATTTCATAATCATACGAAGAGACTGAATAATGTTTTTGTTTATGCCGCTTCAAGAGTAGAACCAAAATAAAAGTATACTCCCCAATAAGTGGAGGTATAATTTTAATAAAATTAAGCATGATATCACTCCCTTGGTAACAACGATTATTTTTTAAGATTAACCTCTGATTGAATGAAAATTAATAGCTCCCCCAACGCAATTTTTGTTCTTCGACTGCCAAATTTTGTCTTAAGAACTTCAACAAACCCTGTTCGACACTTGAATGAGCATCAGCAACGTTAAGCTCCAGACATTTCAAGACTTTGTAGAATATTCCTCACTGAGTTGGTGAGAAGGAGGTAGGTAACAAGATGCGTGATTGCATCTCTCTGATTAGTGGCACAGTATACGCAACACATTCATCCCATCCGGGTGATCTCCAAGCACTTTCTCTGGTTTCTTTCCGTGATTGCAAGTCTGAATAACCTGGTAAAGAATATAAAGCTTTGATAAAAAAACACATGAAATATAAAACTGTCCAACAGGATGAAAATAAATGCTTTAAACTAGCCACAAGGTTACAATTACAAGTGACTTCCAGTAATTTACCTAACTTACAAGATATTCAAGAACTTGAGAATAAAAAAAAAATGCTGTAGACATACCCAATTGTTTACTTTCTTCTGTAAATCAGCACAGATATATCTTGTTAAAAAAACTTTAGATGTGTGTTAGAATTCATACCATACAGGTACTATCGGAGAATTTATAAGGGTTCCAGAATGAAAATGCATGTTTGATAGTTCAGATTTTTGACGCAGGGAGATAAATTTCTCAGGGGATAACTGTCTGTCAGGTTCGGTCCAAAAATTCACAAGTGTCTGAGTTTTGGACTCGAATACTCTCTGGCATCCTAAAGAGTAAGTTGTGAGAGGTTTAGTTCATTCTTATGCTAAGGCATTGAACGATATTTTTTAAACTGCGAACTTCGAACCTATTGAACTTCCTGGATACTTTAGGACATTTTTTGTGAAGAGATACTTTGATGGTCGAAGTGCAAAACAATGTATCTCTGTCTGCGACTTTACACACTTCCTGTCATACTTTAAATTTTCTTTGAAAAAGTAGTCGATGTAATGTTTTCAAAACTTCCTTGATTTTTCAAGGAATCCCGTTTTTGACAGACTATTCTATTGCTATTGACAGAATATTCTGCATGAATTTCAAGCTTTGAAAATGGCTCGTTTATTTTGGAAAAAATAAAATAGGAGCAGACTTTTTGAACCACAGCAATGAAGATGCGTGGTTTCGCACAAATACAGTGACAGTGTTGGGCATTAAAGTCCGTTCTTTGCAACCATTTCTACACATTTCACACACCAACATTTCTACACCTAGCAATATAAAAGCATACTTACACCAGATATGATGCACATTATACAGTCTGCCGATTTGGGAGAAGAATCCGGCAAAGGCCTCGTTGTTGTTTCGTCGATAATTCACAGCTCTCGCCCAATTGTTACCCCACTCAATCATAGTGCCGGGTTTTAAACTGTAGCTCCTTATTTCATACAAATTCTTTCCTCCTCTGGCCTCAATGGCAGGCCAGTAACTAAAAGCCAGCAGGTATTGGAGATGGCGAGATCTAAGGTAGTTGCCACGCTCCTTCACCAATAGCTGATACTTCTGAAAAGAGAATAGTAACAGAATATCTCATGAACAAAAAGGTAATGACATTTGAAAAGGAGAAGACCATCCCATAAAGAGAGAGATCAAGTGTTAGGCTAAAAAAAACAACAGGCGCAGTTCATCGTTCCATTGTGGATGCCGGATGCAGACCTAAAATTGTTGAAACATTTCATCTTAGAAGGACAGAAATATTACCCTTATCTGCTGTAAAGGTGATATTTTATTTTTATCACTATCTTGTTTGAAAGTCTTTCTAATTGCATGTAAAAAAAATCATAAATATATTTCATTAAACCTATTTCACTTTAGTCTCACTCAGGTGAAAAAAAAATTTAGCCACATCACTCGTAATTGAGTGTTGAAATTGCTTTTAAGAAAATAAAATTGTTTTCATAAAAAAATTACTTAGATAAAATAATTTAAATATTAATAAAATATGATCTATTGATTGATTTAAATATGAATTTATTAACTTTAAATGTATACGTTAATTATAATTAAGTTAGGACTGTCCAAAATAAGGTTTCCTCGAAGCCTATCCATAGAATAATAGCTACCGGAAAGGTAACAGGCAGATCCTCCCATAAGATCGCATATGGTCACTTTTTTGAAGGAGACTTGGCTCTTTATCCCGCGAAATTTGAAACGGCAGAGAGACGTAAGGTAAGAGCGGCGGACTTTGCTCTTTTTCTCCGCAAAATTTGAAACGGTAGGCTGAGCAGGGGTCCCGGGGATTTCAAGAATCGGAGCAAAGATGGCCGACTGCTGCCTTTCTGGTAGCCATAATTCTATGGCCTATCTCGTAAGCTGCAGTTACCAATAACACAGGCAGACCAATTACAAATCAAATAAGTTTGAAAGTTCAAGGATAATCGCATTAGTTTTCCTAGATGGATTACTTGTTATAACGGATTAACCTACTCGTGTACTAGACAACGTAAATAATTTCAAATTTATTATTGAGATCAATATTTTATACTTTGAAGAGGAAATTTACCTTGTCTTCATTTAGAGATTGTTTCACTTTGTCAACACTAGCAAAACCTCCTTTGTAACGCCATAAATGCAGAGCTTGGTCCAAGTCTCCAACAGTTACTGTCCAAGACCCAACAAGGTCTAGATTGGATTTTGGTTGCCTACTTTCAATTAATTTGACAGTCTCTTCACTGCAAAAAAAGAAAAAAAAAATCAGGAGAGCATTCATGCAACAGAAATGGAAGAAGGTGTTAAAAATTCAACTTTCGTTGCAATCTTAAGAGCAGTATATTATAACATATAAAAACAATGACAATATATATGAGTAACATATTAAAAAATGAAAGCTAACAGCCGTAAAATTCTGAAGATTTCCACCAAAGAGTACAACAATTTGACTTCAAGACAACTGCACTATTTATTTTTGGTTTGGTCAACATTTCTTTTACGTTTAGGGTCTGATCAAATCAAAATGCAATCTTTTTGGCTGTTTGTAGGTGGCCAAGGACATCCTAATCAAAAACGCTTGCAAAAAAATTTTGTTTTAATTTTCTGGATGAATTACCACAGTTTTCATGCTTGGAGTCGTAGGTTAGATGCCCCTTCCACCTCCACAACTCTCGACCCTCTCCTCTGAATTGGGCTTTGTTTGTTAAGGAAATTTTTGATCACAGATTTAATTCTCTCGGGTATTTGAATGAGCGTTCGATACTCTATTTATTAAAAAAATAATTTAAAAATATGTATACAAAATAACCCAATTCCACAGTTTTTTTTTTTCAAACAAGTCATACCTTTTTCATCAAATTCATACAACAAGCATCAATTCGATTGCATTTTGCAAAAAGGAACTAGGAGCAATGCAATGCTGCTAAGATTGTGCAACTTCATCCTTTGCAATAAAACTACTGAATTTAGGCAAAAATATGAAATTTACATGGTAATTTGCGTCTTAAATTTACAGTTTTTAGCGTGTAATTTAAGACTTTTTTTTAAAGATGATCAGGTTTTTCCTCCAAGACAGAAGTTTCACAATTTTTGCATCATTGCAATGCTCCTAATGCTTCTAATTTTTTTTTTTTTTTTTTCTTTCTTTCTTTTAGGAAATGGGTGCTGAAGTACTTACTAATTCGCTATGTATTTGTCCCCTTGATCAGGTCTTATGTTATGCGTATGAAGCTCATAAATAACTTCTTTGTCTGATAACATTCTGGAATGTGGCTCTTTTGTCGGCTCGATTCTGCGAACGAGTAGTTTGCTAAGCCAGCCTTCAGAGTTGGCTGTTGGACTTGTGGTAGATACATTTCTAAAAAAATTTCAAAAAAAATTGTGAAATTATTCAAATATTAAAAAACCAGGGGCACAGACAGATTCTTCGCTTTCATATTAATCAAGGTTACTTTAAAACAATTTTGGTGAAAAGACTTCTGGTTTGAGGGAAAGACTCCAATTTCACAAAAACGTTCCCTCGTTTTTGCACGCAGGAAAATTTATAATAAAAAAAAAATTCGTAAATTTTACTTAAAATTTACGTAAAAAAATTAACTTAAAATTGTTTTTCAATTTTAAGTAAAAAAGCCCCAAAAAGGGTCTCCTGATACGAATATTTCAAGAGTTTTTTAAAGTAATTTTCAAGTAGTTTTGATGTAAATTTTAAGTTCTCTTAAAATTTACGAGTTTTTTTACAACTTTCCTCAACAGCCACTGCTACCAGGGAAAATTCCCAAAATTCCTTGAGGTTTCAAAAGGTATTCATAGATTGTGATTACAAATCATTCGGTCCTAGAAACCAAAATTGGTTAGCTTCATGTAAAAATAAATGAATGGAGAGGGAGATTTGCAACTTAAAAATGAAAATTTCTGTTATTGGAAAAAATTCATTGGAATGCAGCTGTGCAACCTAAATCTTGGTTTCCTTGTGGGGGATATTTCCGACTGACAATAAGTGCAAGTGCACTGCATATTGACCTTTGAGCCTCACATTTTTGGATACCTAGAGACGGGTATTATCATTTCATTTACTTGTTACTGTCGATAGATAAGAAACTGCACACATTTATACCTGCTTTATCTCTATCAAAGTTTTGGGTTCGTTGGTGAGTGAATACTTTCATAAAACAAGAGAGGCTCTTATCAAGACTTGAATAAATGACACCTGGTGGCCACATATTTTTCTTATCAGGCTCAGATAATCAACTTGAAACTGACGACAATGCTAAAGTGACATTAGTCATCATGTTCAAAGGTATTCGGTTCTCTCTTTTCTACTCTGAAAGACTGAGAAGTCTAACTCATGAGCAGTAGGACAACAACGTTCAAATAAATAGAGGACAGGTGTTTATAACGATAAACAAAGAGTGCATGATAGCCTCAACACTATAAGTCATGCATGTTCCTTAATTGTTCTGAAAGAATTGGAAGAAGAGGCTGTTTCAAAAAACTTATCAACATTGTTTAGGACTACCTACTTATAATCGTTGTCAATTCGTGATCTCTACTTGTTTACAAAGAATTCTCACAAAAAAATAGGTAAACAGTACTTGAGAAACAATTTAAAAAAATAGTTTCTCCTCTGAGTACCTACAGTGAAATGTTGAAGGGTTCAGGTAATGTAATCTCTGAATTGGTCAATGAGTGAGAATTAATAATTTCTGGACAAATGAACAATTGGCATTGTAAAATATTCCACTCCTTTCTTGACAAGATATGATCAACAACTGACAAATGACAAAAAAGTTGACAACTGACAAATATCAAACTATCACTGAAACCCCTCATTTGTTCTTGGCTGGTCAAAGTTCAATGATTAGAATTGCATGAGCTTAAGAATTTGGAGGATACTTGAAAATTTCTGGCAAAGCTACAATAACAGAGAAAAGTGCCTCAATGCAGGGTGGAGATTTTACTAAAATTTCAAGCTGTAAATGCCTGGAGGAAAAACCAAGAGGTCATGCAACATATCCACGAACTTGTTCACACAATTTAACAAGAGCAAAACTGCAAAGTTTTGAGGCTAGTCTTTAGGAGATATTCTTCATTTCTCCTTTTGCGGAACTTTGTTAAACTTTATTAAATAGTGACGCTCAAAACAGTATCTTCCGTATATAAAGTCGACGGATGGTTAGGTTCTATCCACAAACTGATATTCGGTGCAGGAGTATTTACAAGTGAGATAGAAAATCATGAATGCACTTAAAGCAGAGGCACCTATAGAAGCACAGTAAATAGCAGCAAAATTGATGCCCTTTTCGACTCGGAAATTATTTTCAGGTTGAGTGCGGATAGAGCTTCCTTAGTGTAAAGTAAGAATCAATGAGGACAAGGAAGAAGACGAGAGGAGTGGAAAGGCGAAAAGGAATGGCAAAACGTCAAAACACTCAGTTAATAGTCAATTCCGCAGTTTCGGGAAAGAAAGTTGCAGGAAAGCACCGAAGTACAGACACTGACAGATGAAAATCAGTGCTTTGACAACTGCCCCTTACTTGCTCAGAATACTGAATCAATGGAATATAATGTGGTGCAGAAAGAAGGAGAACTTACCGGGCTAGAATGAACGTTGTATTTTTGCATAACTGCTTCCCGAAAGCGCTAAATAACGGAGCCATGGTTGAATATGCGAACGCTGAAGTGATAATAATGATGATAATAGACGAATGATAAAATTTCGGTCTTTTTGAAGCTCCTTTGACAGCTCCAGAAGTTCATCAATGACCGGGCACCATAAACCAGAACAATCAAAACAAACATAAACATAACCTAACGTTAAAGACGAAACAGTAAACAGTGCAGAACGTTTCCTACAGTTTCTTCTCGTAATTTCAAAAAAAACTCGTGATTTCTACTTTCATTGTTATATTATTGACCTCTCACTGACAGTTTCTGAGTTTTTGGAGTGTAAATGTGCCATTTTTCATCCTCACTGGGTCATCGGTAAGTGAGATCTTCCGTAGTAAAATCTCTCAAAAATTGAAACGATGAATCCACCCCCAACAATCAATAAAAACAAAAAGCATTTTCTGGGTATTCCTGCACCCCTTGGATATGTTGCTGGTGTTGGTCGAGGTGCCACTGGTTTTACGACCCGATCTGATATTGGTCCTGCTCGTGATGCAAATGATGTCTCCGATGATCGTCATGCTCCTCCAAGTAAACGCAAAAAGAAAGAGGAGGAAGAAGATGATGAGGAGGATCTAAACGACTCAAACTACGATGAATTTTCTGGTTATGGTGGATCCCTCTTCAGCAAGGATCCATATGACAAAGATGATGAGGAAGCCGATATGATTTACGAAGAGATTGATAAGAGAATGGATGAGAAGAGGAAAGAGTACCGTGAAAAGCGTCTGAGAGAAGAGTTGGAAAAATACCGTCAAGAACGTCCAAAGATCCAACAGCAGTTCAGTGATCTGAAAAGAGGACTCACTACCGTCTCGGAAGATGAGTGGAAAAATGTACCTGAAGTTGGGGATGCCCGTAATCGAAAAATGAGGAACCCGCGTGCTGAAAAGTTCACACCGTTACCTGACTCCGTTTTATCTCATGGTTTGGGTGGTGAAACTGCCGCTGCCATTGATCCTAAGAGTGGACTTATGAGCCAAATACCTCATGGAGCCCTTACTCCTGGTATGCTAACTCCCACTGGGGATATGGATCTTCGGAAAATGGGACAAGCTAGAAGCACTTTGATGAATGTTAAGCTGAGCCAAGTTTCTGATTCAGTTGAGGGGCAAACGGTCGTTGACCCCAAAGGGTACCTCACAGATTTACAAAGCATGATTCCATCATATGGGGGTGATATCAATGATATCAAGAAAGCTCGTTTACTCTTGAAGTCGGTCCGTGAAACAAATCCGAATCACCCTCCTGCCTGGATTGCCTCAGCGCGTTTAGAAGAAGTAACTGGTAAAATACAAGCGGCAAGGAATTTGATCATGAAGGGATGTGAAGAGAATCCAAACTCAGAAGACTTATGGCTCGAAGCTGCCCGACTCCAGCCTCCAGAGACAGCCAAAGCTGTTATTGCTCAGGCAGTTAGACATATCCCCACATCCGTCAGGATTTGGATTAAAGCTGCAGAGCTAGAAACAGAGGCAAAAGCTAAGAAAGTTTTCAGAAAAGCCTTGGAACATATTCCTAATTCTGTACGTTTGTGGAAAGCAGCTGTTGAGTTGGAAGAACCTGAAGACGCCCGAATATTGCTAAGTCGTGCTGTTGAATGCTGCCCAACAAGTGTTGATTTGTGGCTTGCCTTAGCTCGACTGGAAACTTACGAAAATGCGCGTAAAGTTTTGAACAAAGCTCGAGAAAATATTCCCACAGACAGGCAAATTTGGACCACTGCTGCAAAACTTGAAGAAGCTAATGGAAACATCAATATGGTAGAAAAAATCATAGATCGTGCGATTTCATCTCTCACCGCCAACGGGGTTGAAATCAATAGGGAGCATTGGTTCAAAGAAGCTATTGAAGCAGAAAAAGCTGGCTCTGTCCATACATGCAGGGCTTTAATCAAAGCTATCATTGGGTATGGTATTGAAGAAGAAGATCGCAAACATACATGGATAGAGGAGGCCGAATCTTGTGCAAATCAAGGAGCATACGAGTGTGCCAGAGCTGTTTACAGTCATGCTTTAGGAGTGTTCCCAAGTAAGAAATCAATTTGGTTACGCGCTGCATACTTCGAGAAGAATCACGGCACTCGTGAATCCTTGGAGTCATTATTACAGCGAGCTGTTGCTCATTGCCCTAAATCCGAAGTATTATGGTTGATGGGAGCAAAATCAAAGTGGATGGCAGGAGATGTGCCTGCAGCCAGAGGCATTCTCTCTCTTGCTTTTCAAGCTAATCCTAATTCGGAAGAAATCTGGTTGGCTGCCGTCAAATTAGAATCTGAAAATTCAGAATATGAAAGAGCAAGGCGTTTGCTAGCAAAGGCACGAGCATCTGCCCCCACTCCACGTGTTATGATGAAATCTGCTAAACTGGAATGGTACCTTGAAAAATATGACCTCGCATTGAAATTACTTGCAGACGCCATTCAAGTTTTTCCTGACTTTGCGAAATTGTGGTTGATGAAAGGTCAGATTGAAGAACAACTGAACCGACCAGATGACGCTCATGCAACCTACAATGAAGCGTTGAAAAAATGTGCCACATCAATTCCAGTCTGGTTAATGCTTGCACGGTTGGCTGAAAGAAGGAAAATGCTCACTAAAGCTCGTTCCTACCTTGAAAAAGGTCGTCTAAGAAATCCAAACAATCCTGAATTGTGGTTAGAAGCGATCAGAATAGAATTTCGAGCAGGTTTACGTGATATCGCCAATACTTTGATGGCAAAAGCTTTGCAGGAATGCCCGAATGCTGGCATACTGTGGGCAGAAGCCATATTCTTAGAGCCACGTCCGCAAAGAAAAACGAAAAGTGTTGATGCACTGAAAAAATGCGAACACGACGCCCATGTTTTATTAGCAGTTTCCAAATTGTTCTGGTGTGAACGTAAAATCACTAAATGTAGGGAATGGTTCAATCGTACAGTTAAAATTGATCCTGATCTCGGAGATGCTTGGGCCTACTTCTACAAATTTGAACTTCTCAATGGGACTGAAGAGTCTCAGCAAGATGTCAAGAAACGATGCATTGCTGCAGAACCTCACCATGGCGAACAATGGTGTAAAGTCTCAAAACTAATCCAAAATTGGAAATTAACAACAGAATCAATCCTACCTCTTGTTGCAAAAGAATTACCCATTCCAATTTAAATCTTGTGATTAACTAATTTTGTAATTACCTACTCGTTTAATTCTAAATGGAAAATAATGAAAAGAGCAAAAAGGTAATCACAATGACCTGTTATTGCGCAATACTTTTTCAAATTAATATATTGTGCTTTAAAAAATAAAAATTTTAATACTTTAATGCGGTGGGATTGACTTTTTTACTATTGCATTGATCACAACTCAGTCAAACCTGTGCAAATGAGTAAGTAGCGTGTGTGGGGTGGAGTGTATTCCATGCCACAACTGAAAGGAATACCCTCTTACTAGGTAAAAACAGGTTACTTACCTCAAAATGGGACATATTATTTTTAAGTAGAGATGGCAGTATCTGTCTGTATATTTTGTATATTTAGTTGGTGCCCTGAGTTTCCTAACTGTATTTGTTGTTGATTTATTTGTAGAATGGAAAATTCTCAATTAAGGACAATTCCAGAAGAATTGTTTTTCAGAAAAGGTCCTTTAATAAAATTTACTTTCTTTCAAAGTATAATTGGATCCCAGAACTTAATGAGCTAGGTTCAAAAAATGGTCTAAGTATTTAACCAATCAGTCCACTGTGTTCATTGGGACTCAATTTTTTCAACTTCAGATGTGTTCTTTTTCTTAAATGCTATACCTTTTATACATATGCCTTTCTTCCGGTACGCAAAGTCCTCAATTAGTTAAATATTGTACAATGCTTTTTGAGTTTTCCGCTTTTTCTGTATATACTTGCCAAGAAAATGTACTAAATGTGTGATCATTTTTGGGGGAGAAAAAATCATTGGCAATAATATCAGGAAATTTAAGTTTGACACCTTGAAGCTTCTACCAATTTCCTGTTTTTCATAATATTTTGAAAATCTGATCAATATCATGCCCTTCTTTAAATGTTCCATTATTTTCCTTCACTATCTGTGATTTACACTGGAACTATGCCGAGCTCTATAACTATATTTATCACAAATGAATGAAATATGTTCTAGATTTTTCAAATGTGAAATAAAGAAAGTTTCTTTCAGTATTTTCCTCTCACACAAATTTTGATCTAATAGTAATCATAGTGTACACATTCAATTGGTGGAAGGTTGTTCTTCAACTCTCACAAACTAGCTCTTAAATAAGACTACTTTTATTTTGTAAATAAACATTTTGAGATGTTACACCCATTCTTCAATTTTTTACCTTTGAAACTGTACTTCCGGAATCCAGATTAAGGCTGTAGGAATACTCGTGGTCTATTTTTTGTTTGATCAGTAAAAATTTGCTTCATTTGAAGCTCAATATGTTTGTTCAGATTATGTTCTCTCTCCCCCTCCCTTCTGAAAAAGAAGAAAACCTGTAACAATGATGCCATAAAATCTTTAAAAAATGCTGATGGAGCTAAACTTAATTGACTGAACCCTAGCGTTATAGTGGCAACTGGTTTTCTTCTTGTCAAGAAAGACATTTGACTTATTATTTCTGGTAAGGGAGGGGGGTTCCTTCAATTTTTATTACAAATCTAAAATTAGTTTTTTTGCTGACGGAGACACGCAGTTTTAGATTACTAAATCGTATCAATACTGAAACTGTAAACTCCTGTACCTAGGTTAGAAACATTGCAGATTTCTAGCTATGCAGTTAATTTCCTTGAAAGACAAAGGATTATTATCTTTTCAAAGTATTCAGTTTCACTATCCCTCGCATTATTACGAATCTTCACTGAAATTTCATGCAGAAATTTTGGGTAAGAAATATTCCCATAAAAAAGTAGAGAAAGAGCAGAAAAATGAAACAGTGCTGGTGTGGTACAAGATTTTATAGTTTTACTATTGATATGTATGCTTTTTTTTAGTTCCTTTACTTAAAAAATCAAGACTATACATCATATGTTCTTGAAAAAATTACTGTTTTCAATTATTCAGTGCAGAGTTATCAAAACGATGGTGGAATGAAAAATGAACTAAGAGCACAAAATAAAAATTGAAACGATTTTATTTATTCACTTTATTCTATTCTATTCATTTCCTCGTACGGTAGGAATAAAATATAAAAATAAGTAAAAATTTAAAACTGATTTTAAAAATAAAACACAAAAATAACGAACGAAAAAATAATAAAGACGAAACAAAATATTTTTACATGTAAACCAAATACTACTCCGAAGATTCAAATTTCCCATCTTTTTTCTTGTTCATTAGCTTGGAAGTAAAGTAGATTGGTTGCTCGCTATTGACGAAAGCATGTGTACACTTAGAATCTATGAAATAAGGGAGAAGCAAGGACGCACCTGCAATAACCAAGGAAAATATAACTCATCGAACTTTGTAGAAATTCTTATGCTATCAAATAATTCACATTACTTGAGGTTGGCACTGCAACGACATTATACATTACGAATAAATTAAGAGAGAGAATACAGAATGGAGATGTATCTAAAGCAAGCTTAATAACTGTTTTCCTAGAGAGGTGTTCATAAAAGACTAAGCTGCGCACATAAGTAGGCTGAACAAAGGCAATTCAACTGAGGACCGCGTTGAGGAAAAATGGTATCAAAACCTAGCATTGACTGATGACTTGTGAGATAAAAACTTTCGTTAGCAAAACAACTAGCATTTGAGAAATACATAGTTTCTGTTATGACTTTTGATCAAATCCAAAAGTGACTAAGCTGAGTAAGATCAGTCTCAAAGAGTTTGACCGCAGACTTTGGAACAGATGAATATGATGGCTCAAGGCTGCAATTGACTTTACATTTTGAACATGGGAAAATTTGCTCTAGCCATCATTCCTTTAGTATACTCTGGTGTCAAGGTAGATATATAACTGACAGAGAATATGCCCGGGCTACTACTGATGAGTTATTTTAAGAGATCAAGTCACATCAGCTGAAAACAAGTAAGTATTGACTTTCTCAAATACTTGTGATTTTGGACAAATACTAATCCATGTTAGGCTAGTTATGCTTAATTTTCAAAAGTAGACTGGTGCAAAAGTAGTTTCACATGAAATATGTTATGTATCACCCAGAAAGGCAGGATAATCTATGATTTGTGCACCTCTTCCTGCAGTTAACAAACTGATGTTCTAAAAGGCCAGAATTTTCCAAAAATGGCCCACTGAAAACATAACACCTGACCATGATGTATAATATCAATGCCTAAATGCGAAACGTTTAAAAACCTCTGATTATGCATTATTTTTATAGAAGAAAAGTACCTAATCCAAGTGTTGCCTTGCAATTCAATGTACTTTTTTTATAATAAGTAGAGTAAATTCACAGAAAATTTTGATTGATACAGCTGAAGAGTTTTCCTTTTAAAAGGAATATAATGTAAAATATGAGCAGAGACAACGTCACAATCTGAGAAACGCATTTTTTTACTTCAGCCATCATTTTTGTATAGTATGTGCATTGCGTTAGAAGCCAAGTGTCATAAGAGCACATGGGATCCTGTATACTTCATATCTTTCATCTCTGCAAACTTTCGAGTACGTAAGATTTAAGTCTCTGACAGATGAAATCATGATGAAGCTACAGAGGGATCTGAAAGAATTGCGCGGTAACAGATAATGTTGAGCTTCTGACGAATTGAAAAAACCGTGTTTCCTACTAGATCACTAGCCTTCCTATCTTGCTTTTCTTTTGTCTTGTGCCCAGCTGACATCATTCTTTATTCGTTCTGCACTTGATTTCAAATGGACTTCATTCTCTGATGCAGAACTACTATTCCTGTCTTATCTATAAAAGCACGTACATGCCTGGAAAAACTATGGCACCTACATTGTTTTCAAAGCGAGCCAGCAATAGTAGTTCTTTGGTGCAAAATTTAGTCCAAATATTCAAGCAAAATAAAAAAAACTGCTGGAAAAGAGTGTGCAAGCAATTAGAAAAAGTGACAAGAATTGGAATATGCCATCAATGATTAGTAACATGAGTATTCAACTTATTTCTAGAGTAAGAGGAGCGGCAAAAGAAATGCATACCGTCTCGAATTTTGAAAGAGTGTACTTAATACTTGAAAAACGACTTAACAATACATAATGAACAAAAAAAAGTTCAACAACAGGATGTGAAAGGAGATGAACTGTTTTCATATGAGGTAGGAGATTTTTTTTTTTTTTTTTTTTTTTTTTTTTAATTTTTTTTTTCAACTTTCTTACATAGCACTAGGCCAAAAGGAACCTGATCCAGCTTAAAAAAATTGTATCATATAGTTGCTTCGAACTTTTGCTGGCAAATGTTATTCACGACTTACTGGTGAATCAAGAAAAAACAGAGATAAGATATGTTAAGCAAAATATCTGAGATGTTTACATGAAATGAAAAGCAAAAAAAGAATTGAGATCTCCAGCTTACACAGGAAGAATGTCTCGAACAGTTCTTTAGGGATAGTAATAAAACCAAACCTTTACTGGGCGGGAGGGTTCAATTAAAACTTCAACCAAGAGTTAAGATCGGAATTTTTTTTTGTCCATATTGACCTCCTATCCCCTATTTCAAAGTTTAAAATCTACAGATTAGCATTGTTTTGATTTTTTATTCTTTGCCCTCCTCTCTCCCCCCCTCCCTTCATTCAATACTGATGAAATTTGAGTAAAATATACTAATTTTTATTACCTCCTCTGTTTTTATTCCTTGCGAAATTTCCATAAAACAAAATTTTTAGAACCCTGTGTTGTTAGGACTAATATCAGTTACATAGTGAGAATCTTAAGAGAGAGAAAAAATGTACGGAAATCAAAAAACTAAAAAAAAAAGAAGTTGTTGACAGTTTCACGATTGAAAAAAAAAAAAAAAAATAGAGAACAGCTCAAACAAAAAGTTCATACTTATTTTCTATGGACTATCACAAGAGTTTAAACTTTGAAAACACGAACAAATTACATAAGATGAATTGAGACAACTGTTGAAGCAATCTGATGCTTTTAAACAGAGAGAAAAAAGAAGCAACAACAATAGTTAAACAGTAAATTAAAAAACGTAGGAAAATCAAATTAAATTAAGAGAAAACTAGCATAGAGGCATACTTGAACAGCATTTAAAAAAAAAAAAACGGCAGCAAGAGCAAACAAAAGCTGATACTTTGACACAAATTAATGGACGCAGTTTCTAGTGAGGCAACTCATAACAAGTATACGCTAAATTCTGATTACTGAAGGCATTCCACCGGTGTGACGTGGATGAGTTCATGAATGCTGCTATTACAGGGAAAAACTAATATTCAATGAGATCTTTAAACTCACAGAGCTAGTTTATGTACTTATTTGACTGTGGACCATATTCAGGGTCATTCTGAAAGCAGTTCCTTCTTCTAGGAGGCCCTACGATTTTTCAAATTGGCAAAAGTTTTTGCTTTCTATTTTTTGCAGTGGCAAATCGTTATATTCCTTTGCAAGGATCTTTTTCGAAAGTTTTACCGTTAAATTTTACTCGAAATTCCTTTTTATAATGCTTAGTTAAGGATCTACCTAAACCTCTTTCAGTGACGATGTGAACCTTATTAGGCCACCTAAGGAAAGGAGCTGATTAAGATATGACTTTGAGTACGAGCCTTTAACTTCTTCACCGGCAATAAACCAACTTGAGTTTGCTAATTTCAATTGAAATACTTATGACCTTACAAATTTAATTTTCTCTGCTTGCTTCCAGCACATCTCTTGCAATGGTACAATTAAGTGAAACATAAATTTTCCTCAGTATTATTATAGTATTTAAAATATGGAAATATGTCTTTGTTGGGTTTATTTACTTCAGTCACATAATGTCACATTGACTTCTCAAATTTGATCAAATTGATGTACTTCTTTAACTAAGAAAGCCTTCTTGTATGATAGATAAAGAGTCAATATGACAAAATCGTCACACATTTTTGATGCACAAAGGGCTGAAAAAACAGGATTTTATGGTGACAGAAAACAAGATTTAAAGGAGAAACAGGGAGGAAACCCCAAAAAATTTGAAATACCCAATCTTTACGTTCAGTTCAAGTATAAAAAAATTACTGTGAAGGCCTAAGAAGGAGAAAACCCTTAGGTTCAAGAAGAGAGCCAAAAAGTTACAATGATTAAGTGTTAAAACCAAAACATTTATAAGTGTGCAACTTGCAGCCTGAGTGACTTTTCAGAACATAGAGATATTTTTAGAGTTACATTCAATTCAGTCTTTCGATCCCAGGAAAGGTGAATTTTAAGCACATAAAAGGGAAGAGAAGAACATTTCATTATGATATAAATAATCAACAAAATTTTTTTGCCAGGCACATAAAAAATCTATGGTACACATCAACACATTCATCCTTTGATACGCTCATTTATACACTGTACACAAAGTAAAAATCGAATTAATAGTGATATACAGAAAGAAAATAGAGCGTATGCTAATCTCAATCCTATTCAAAGGGCTTTTAAAATATGTAAATAAAATGGAACAAAAAAAAAATTACACATGAAAATACTGGGAAAAATGAATAGGCCTAACTTTTTGAAGAGGACGATTTCAAACTGCAGATATTGTTTTGGCCAGATTTGAAATTTTCATCAATTTTTGAGAGAGATTTGACTTTTTCTACACAGCTTTTACTACGATCTACTTTCCGCACTTGTATATTACTTACCCTATTCACTAAGTTCTCATCAGACTCAATTTTCTGGACTGAGTCTTCAGAATTTCGACTCTTTTCTAGATTTTCACCGATTTTTGACTCTAAGATTCTATTTGACTGAGGCTCGCCTACACTACTACTACCACTTTTGTCACTGCCTAGTTGACTGTTACTTGTGAACACCGGTTCTTGACTAAAAACAATACCCACTGACTTTAATGTGTCCTTGAAACTATTTAATGCTTTTCTAAGAGACAGGCAAAAGCCTTTAGAAGCTGGCAAAAGGGGGTATTCTGGTAGTTTGATTGCTCCTAACTTCTTGAGCCGATTTTGTTTCTCCTGTAGATCGATCAGACCGCTGATGTATGCTGAGTGGTTTTCTGAAATGAAGAGCCAGTTCTCGAGGCGCGTGATCAATTTTTCCGCCCTGGCAGTGAAATGCTTCATTATTTCTTGCTGAAACGTTGAAGGCGGATGGATGAGCAGTTTCGTCATGGCTTGCACAAGTTTCAAAACAACCATTTCGTTGTAAAGCTGAGAGTTTGAATGGCCTTGCTGTGTTCCTTTTTGATTTTCATAACCTGCTTCGTTGAAGTACGGTTCACTCACCAGAATCAGACCTGAGCCAAAGAGATAAACTTAAATGACTTTGATGAAACTTGCAAAGGCTACCAGCTAACTGCAAGCAAGAAAAAAATTCCCCCACTTTCCCTTCACCGATACAAATAGGTGCTCCTTTGAGCAACCTCACCAGCGGCCCGATTATTGAAACTATGTCCGCTTGACGGGACAAGACATAGCCCTGTATTAACCATACAATATATAGTAATTCGATGTCTTATCGGGCAACTTTAAACTTTCAATAATCAGCCTACATGAGGCGGCAGTTAAACATTTCCAGTAATCAGCTACAAGCTACAAATTTCAGCTCATTGCTTTATAATCTTCATACTTAAAGTTGGGGAAAAATATAAATTCCTTGATTTGTAAAACTTTTTAAAAATTCCTTAATTTTTTCCAAGGCTTGAAATAATACCGATTATTTCCCCTGCCAAAATTATTGGAATTACCTGACTTTTAACATTGATAATTTGCAAACGTAGAACTGGAGATGAAAAATTTTTGGCATTAATTTTTTTTATAAGATTAGTACATTAGCCTGAACAGAAAGGCTCAATACAAGTGACATTAGAAAAAGTTACAAAAAAGAGTAATCTTACAAATTCAAAAACTCTTGCAAGGTGTAAAGAGGGTTTTGTAAAAAGTGTTCTTTTAATACCTTAATGAACAAATTTGGCGACTCAGCTTTGATAAAGATTTCTTTCAACTCTTTGGGTAACTTGTTGAAAAATCTGACGGCCCTAAACTCAAAGCTATCCCAGTCCCAGCCCGTGTTAAAATTTCTCATAGTTCTCACTAGAATGTTTCTTGTTTCCATTTGATGGTCATTTTAACTTCTCTCCTTACTGATATATGTCATTTTTATCGCTTCCTTGATTGAGATAAAAATGTAACGAGCAGAGACTGTCATAACTCGGAGTTCAGGGAACAGCCTTCTACAAGACTCAAGTCTACCTTTTTTTGCTATTTTTTGCAAAACTTTCTTTTGGGCTAATACGATATCACTCGAATCCGAGGCATGTCCTCACAGGTGAATGCTATAGTTAATAGCATAGTAATAATTCATTCCGGAGTCTCCGTCAACTCTACTGGCTAGTTTCCTAATGGCAAATATTTTGGACGCAACTTTACGCTGTACTTAACTGGCATGAGAGTTCCAGCTTGGATTTTGATCAATATGGAAACCTAAATATTTGACTGATTGGCTCACTAGAATTTCGTGGCCTTGGTAAACAATTTTTTCAAAGTCCTGCACATTCCACGGCAAATGACAGAAACATGTGAACCTTTTTTCATCAGGTAATAATCGTTCAATGGGTTGGTTGCGCTGATCACAGAATCGTGTTTTGATGCTTGATTCTTGTCAATCAGCTAAAAATAATAAGAGCTGTCCAAATAGCAACAATCTACACTCCATGTTAACTGAGATATCGAGTTTAGAAAAATTCAGTTGTTAATGTTATCTACCCCGTTAGAAACACCCTTTGGTTTCTTCCACTTTGCTTCCATCTGAATTTCACGTTGAGTAAACAGTGAAAATGTGTGTCTTACTGACAAATGAAAGCAAGGTGGAAAAAACTAAGGGTGTCACTACTGTGGTGAATGTCATTAAACAAATTATTCAAAGCGCGATATCTCGGTTAATATTGAACATAGAGAGTTGCTAATGGGACAGATCTTTTTATTTTTAGCCGATTCACAAAAATCAAACATCAAAACAGGATTCGGTAACAAGCGCAACTGACCCATTAAATAGAATCACAATTCCACATTGAAAATTATTCTTCTAAATAGATTCACTATTTAGAGTGGGAATTGGAGCATTGAATGCTGAACTAGACTTGTGAATTTCTTGTTCCTTCATTATGCAGGCTACACTGATGTTTTTCTACATTTCAAGATTCTTCAGAATTCCAATCTTTTGCATAAAATTCCCTGACTTTTCCAGGATTTTTTTTATTTGATGAAATTGCCGCTTGGTTTTCCAGACTTATAGACACTCTGCTAGATTCTTTTGGCATTAAGGTGCTGCACTTGAGTTGACAATATGCGCCACCAAAGTCAACAGTCGCAATATATTCAAAGGAAATCAAAGGGGTCCAGCACTTAGGCTGCGATCCCGAGCTGATTGTCTTTTCCAAATCATCAACTTGACAGTCGAGTTGTTCACATTTGACACTTGTTGAATACCTTAAATTCTATATCTTAGATGAATTTTTCTGGTCATTTCTGTTTCCTACAGCTGTGGGTATCCTTGCAGAGCTGCGAGTTGAATATTACCCAAAAAATGTAGAAAGCTTTGAAGTAAGAGAACTTGAACTTAACGAGACTTACCTTGAATTGAGACAAGTACTTGAAGTAGATTTGAAGAGGAGGTCCACATTTCAGTGCCTCGTCCGCTCCAAGTTCCAAGCAGACTGACGCAAACTTTACCATCTTCGTATAGGTTCGGATTCAGTCGGTCAGAGCAATAACTGGTATAGTGGCACAGAGGTGGTTGATCTGGGTAATCGGAAGGTAGCTGGATGTCAAAGAAGAAGAGTCCATCTTCATAGGGAGTGTTTTCAGGACCCTCTATCATGGCTGAATATAAATCCTACATAATGGGAACAAAATTTCAATTCAAATATACCATTTTACTAGTTAAAGTTATTTTGAATGAGCTCAGGGATTAGCAACACCATAATGGAGAATTTGCATGCGAATTTATTGCTTCATCTGAAAGTTCTGAAAGAGCTGATTTCACAATATTTTTTATAATTTCTTTCTGATATGGGAAATAGTATAAAAATAGATTTAAAAGTGAGAAAATGCACCGCTTAGTGACGTCATCTGGCAACATTTCTCATTTAAACACATGTATTTTACCAGATTAGATCATTTTGTCGTAACTTCTCCAATAATTGTTCAAATCATGAACCAAGAGTATCCTCATGTTCAGTTCACTCACTAGTTTCCACTTAAACACGAAATTCAACAAATTTCAGACACCTGCAAATTCTCTATCGATATGTATTTTTATAGGGTTTAGCCAAGGTGTTGAGCAATAATAAATATGTTTTGTAATAAATAACAAATGACCGCTGTTAGATATTCAAACTGAGATTGATTCCCAGATTGATCCAGGCACCGAGAGGGTAGAACAATGTTATTTAGCCTTGGTTTCCCGATTTCTTGTGTTTTATTTCGTAAAATTATTCAGGCTACTTTTTGGGTATTATTTGTACCCATAAATTACTTAATAATCTATTGAAAACCCATCACTTCTGTACCAAATTTTATTGAATAAACTGAAACAGTTCGACTTAACATTTTCTGCTACATACAAATATTTGAAACATAATGCAAAAACTACACGGGTAATGATACTGTGCTTGGCTGATTCTGTGAATATTTAACTAATTTGAACCCTTTCGCCCTTCAATTTGAGATGCTCACTATGATCAAGGGATATTCATTAATTCATATTTGAAATCTACACTAATTACATTTATACATTACATTTTATAATTTGTTCCAGTTTGTTCACATTTGTTTTTGTTTCCATTTTGTCATCCTTGTTTTGTTTTATTGTTGTAATTTTGTTAATGGACTTTATCTGTGTATTTTGTAAAAAAATAAATAAATATTACTGAGGCAATCACACCTCGTTTGACTTACTAAGTCAATGCTACCTCCCTTAACCTCACTATCAATCAGATGAACATAGAATTAACCCTGACGAAATTTGCACAATCTGTAATACTCAACAGCCTGAAGATGCGCACCACTTATTCTTTGTTTGCCCCATTTACCATAGTACTCGAAAATATTATTTACACAGCTACCTTAACAAAGACATAAACCTAATTCTCAGTAAAGACTCAAACGAGCAACAGCTTACAGATATTTATGATTATTTTGCGACAATTCTGAGTATAAGATCGTTCATAATAAATGAATAATTGAACCAAGAAACAAAGTTTGCCTATAATAAACACTGCTATTTCATGTACATAACTGTAAACCCAGCAAATCTTAGAGATCGGTGTAGCATAATGAAGTAATCTCATGTTTGTAAATGATCTCCCATCCTAATCCCTTTTTTAAATCCTCCCCAGGATAAAAAATAAAGTATTCTATCTATCAATCTATCTATCTACCAACTTACAGTGTCAATATTTAAAAAAAAAAAAAAAAAAAACAAATATACCCTTTATGCATTCCAGATTTTGTTGAAATCTTGGATTTGAGGCACCCTAGTTGCCTAAGGGTTTTTTTGACCTTGCATTTCAAATCTACGGCTAAAATGAGCAAATGATACATCACATGACTCTACCTGTCTATTTTAAAATTCTGAATTTCTAGAGAGCCATATCATTTTAATGTATTTTCCGCAGAAAATAAACTATGGCATTTTTAATTTTAGGCATTTTAAGTGGTCTTCTGAAGTTAGACCGCAATAATCTTTTTATGCGTCATTTAGGACAACCTGATGATGGCCTTTACACAGGATTTGGTTACACGATTTTTTCTGGATAACTCCCCATTTCGCTGTATTTCTACCTGGTTACTCAGGTTTCGTTCTATTATTAAACGAGGATCAATAATTTGAATTCAGCCATCACTCACCATTCGACCTTCAAATCCTTTGACAGTTATTCCACATGGTAAAGACGTGAGAAGTAGCTTGATTTCATTATTCACAGTTTTCATAAAGTTTCTTGGATTGGTTACATGTGGCAGTACATATTTTGAGGACTCATACTTGTGGCATTCTGGCACAGCACTCAGCATAGAAAAACCTGAAAAAAAGATATTTTCAAGATAACAGTGACACTTTGGTGATTTCTGAGAAAGTTGAGGACAAAAACTGACTAAAAACTGAAAAAAATACATATGATAAGCACAACGTCAGGTTTTACTGTAGGGCGACCCTTGCATATCCGATGAAGAATATAAGGGCAGCCTTAGAACATTAAATGCAAAAAGACTTATACTGGCCCTCATTTGGTCCCTTGAGCTGGCCTCCATACATCGTGTGCAACCAGTAACAATTTTTCCTGCCCAGCTGAGACCACCAACCTTCATCGAAGTAATTGTGAAATTTTCAATATTTCTACAGCTGGAGGGTGGTCCTAGCACCACCAAGATCATTGAGGCTCCTGTCGTTGTCATCTACAGATACAGTATTGAAGGGTGTGCAACACATTTATGATTCCTAACGATGACTATTAAGGTGATTCTATGTGATCTGCGGATGAGATCCGCCACCATGCTGCGCTGCCTCATGGTTTATGTCTTTGAGAAGCAATGATTATCGTAAAGTACAAGATAATACAAGAAACTGATCCATAACACGTGGCAGCATTAATACTGAGTAGAATGCCATCAAATTTTTGGAGATTAATTGTAAATGTATACCTGAAACTACAATAACTGACAACGCTCATTGATTCAACACGTAAGAGAGTTATTATAGCACCATATCTTTCTTACACATTGAGTCAATGGGCGATGTCCGTTATCATTGTTTCTGGTATTGCCTGATGATCTCTGGGAGGATAGGGGGCAATGGCGATTGTGCGTCGCAGAGCGCGAGGCGGCGCTATAAAAGTGGCTTAATGTATGTATAAATTTACAATAAATCTTAACAAATTTGATGTCATTCTATTCAGTATTAATGCTACTGCACATTACGGATCAGTTTCGTGCAATAACTTGCACGTAATGATAGTTATTGCTTTTCAAAGACAAACCGCATAGCAGCGCAACATAGTGGCGAATCTTGTCCCTAGATCACATAGAATCACCTTAAAATCACTTAATGAAAGTAAACATACTGGTTCAAAAAGCATTCTTTGTCGTCTGACAAAGTTCTTACCTTCTCCTTCCTTTTGAAGTAAGACTTTTGACACGGAAGCCGGTAGTTCAAACTCAGCATCTACCCCAGAATCAGCTGATGTATCATTTTCATACACAACAATGGTTTGACTCTTTTGTGTTTCCGCAAGAAGGTCTAGTAAAGATTTACTTCTGTAAATGATTGATCCATCGGCAAAACGAACATCTGCTGTTTCTGGATCAGGCGATTCAGGCGAGTCAGGAATTGGACCCTCGATAGGTGTCAGCTTCTCAGAGGCAAAGGAGTTTATCTGGGTATATTTATGAATATCATCAATCATTTCTGAAAAGCAAAGACATTGAATGATTTAGAGAAAATAAAAAGAAGATATTATAAAAAAGAAAGAGGAAGCGAGTAGGTAGATTTAAGATCTATTGAGACGAAAAAGTTCTGACCTCACATTAAAACTGTTGTATTTTTCAGTTTCCGTTTTCATGGTCAACTAAAGTTCCTATCATATTCGCTTCATTTCTGACATTTCTTCTGATGCAGGCCAGTATGGAAAGGAAAATTTCACCTGAACTTCTGAGGTACAAAAAAGTTAGATGAAAACTGAACAGTTGCGTTTCTCAAAATCTAGAGTTCTGTCTTCACAGTCATAATGTAAAGAATTAAGCTCCTTTGACCTTAAACTTTCTTTATAAGTCTACAATTATGGCTTGGAATGAAACTAAGGGGGCTTAAATAACTTACCATCAGCATTCTTGACTCCTGTCAACTCCTCTTGCAAAGATTTACAAGAGGGATGGTTGAGCAGCTTATAGACCTCTGCTTCTGCTTTAAGAAGCTGCTCAAGGATTAACTGACACAACTCTACGCACGGATGACAGGTGGTCTTCCAGCCACCAGTTGCGGCTATCACTTTTTTGGGCTGATCAACTGGTTGTTCGGCTGAGCTGTTCTGGCAAGAATCCATTTGCGTGTCTTCAATTGAACTACTAAGTGCTGAATCTGATTTGGCAGCATTTACGACAGAATTATTAAAGAATTCCATTTCTAGACTAGCTAGGTTGGCAGATAAAAATTCCCCGGTGACAGTGGACAGCGACCGTGAACTTTTCTTGGCAGCAGGGGAGCTCCATTCATCACTTTTGTCTAATTCCGGGCTTACAACAGTTTCAGTCTCTGACGGACGAAAAAAAGTCAAAGTAAAACAACAGAAAATAAAATATATTTACATATTTACATTATGTATAACTGTGCGTGGAAAAAGGAGCCTTGAACCTGGGTCCTCGAAACTGAGATTACCTACTATTGTTTAGAAGAGTGTTTGATAAGATGGAAAAAAATGCTCATAAATATCAAACCAAACTTGAATTATGGCATTTTGATGTTCGCAGTTCATAAAACTCTGTCGTGAGAAAAAGCTACCTACTTACAGTTTTAGTCTGCGCATTTTGTGTAAGGCTTGGGACGACATAAGACTTTCAGATGCGCATTTTCGAAGATGCTACTAAGATAAGAATATCCAGCCTTCAGCTCCTGGTTCCAAACTTTCCATGTTTAACCCATTGACTTAAACTGACGGCTCCCAGCCGTGCGCACTGGGCCAGATCTGAAGAGACGGCTCAGAGCCGCCCGTCGATTGCTTGCCTTATTTCGCCAATTCTCCAGTAGATTGCGTTCTCATCAATGTTTATATGAGTAGTGTGACCACCCTGTGACTTATTGTGTACGGTAATTTCTTGTTTTGTAACAATACTTAGATACCTATAATTGTGCGTTTGAACATGAAATAACCTCAACATTTTCGGATTTTGCGATTTCTGCAACTTAAACAGCGATAAATCACAATAAAAAAATCATTTTGTTCAAAGTTTTTACCATTTTTCTCAAACGTTGTATTGTGAATGCTTATTTTGTCTATTCTTACCCTCTGAGAAGGAATTTTTGGATTATTTTAAAATGTTCAAAGTTACTGATTTTCGCCAAATTGAATGGTAATTCTTGGCCCTGCGGAGTCAAATTAAATCATAAATCAATGGGTTAAGGATTTCAAAAGTTAACTTTTACAGACAGGCTTTCTGGTGGTAGAGAAATGTTTGAAAATTCCTACCCTATTCGAGAGCGGTGGCAGGTTTTTAATAAGTGACAGAGTGATTGAAGTCTTGCAAGAATGCAAGAATTCAAGAATTGCCGAAAAGGCAAAGAATGACTCGACAGAAAAGTTTCCTGTGTTGGTGTGTCCTCACAGGTCTACTTGACGAAAATAGCTAGTCCGCATGAGACTTCAACTGGTGATTGCCTGATTTATTTATTCATATTAGCTCCAAATACCAAGCAGGCCACCTTGAAAACCTTTAGATAAATGTGCAGTGCTATAATATTTGTGATATAAGGCCAGACAGTTTTTTTACATTTCTGTTAGCGCACACATTTGGTGCGTTTAGTAGAAAAGCAGAAATAATACTAGGAGCACAGTGAGAGTAACCAGATTGATTATTTAAATTAAGTTGAATAAAAAGAGAACAAACCTTCATTGCAGGAATTTAAGCTCGATGATTTTAATAAGTTCAGCCGTTTTACAGAGTGTAATGAAGACTGTTTAATCTCACTACCACTATTTTGATCATTGGCAACTTTGGCATCGGATTTCTTCGGTTCACCAGTTCGTTCCAGTTCTTTAACTTCAAATATTAAAGTGTAGAAGCGTTTGTCACGGAAGAAAGATGTTCCTAGATATTTATCTAAACTCCTGCAACAGAATTATAAACCTAAGTAAGATTTGAGCAGCAATAGAATTATGACACTATGATTGAGCAACTCTGATTCAGAAGAAGATGTGCAATTACTTTTTCATGAGGACAGTTTGGACACGATCTTCTTACACTGTTCTATATACTTTTTCGATTATTCAGAGTGACAAATTTAATGGAAGAACTGCTGTTCTGCGGCATTCTGCTGTTTCATCAGATTGCATGTTTTCCTTGGTGTCTATTGAAAGTTGCACACAAGCGAGGTTTGATGGCTCAATTTGAATCTATACCGTTATTGGAAGAACGTCAATGGACACCTTTATTTGAGTGCTATAACCTTAACATTTGAGACTACACTATTCAGACAAATGACGACGTCCTGTGGATCCAACTTTTTTAGAACAGTCTCAAAAATATTCATAATTAGACGCAGCACAGCAGTGGCCATGCAAAGAACTGAAATGCCTGAATTCACCGTACAAAACTGGCATAGAAAGGACATGAAATAGATGACAAACCTGCAATCTCTGTACACGCCATAGAACTTTTTAATGTTTTCACTAGTGAGCAGCTCGGGAGAGTCCCGGATCATTTTTTCTAGGCGTTTCAGCGTTCCACGGGCCATTTCAATATTGTTTGCTAATTTGATCTTCACAAGGAAGTTGTTATCCACCACAGGTGATGAAGGGGTGCTGAAAAAGAAGAAAAAATATTATTGAATAAACAAAATATAACATATCTAACTTTCAAATCGAAAGTAAAAGCTTATTACAGTATATAATAGTTACTAGGGGACTATGCCCCAAGAGGGCACTTCACGCTTTTTTAGGCCCACATTGAAAAAAGAACGACCCAAAAAAATGAAAAGATTTTCATACCAGACTCATTTGTCCAATCTTTCTCTGGCTGGGATCGGTTGAACCAATAAGAATTGAATAAAAAAATCGGCATTTATTTCAATCTTCACGCCAAGACTGAACCGAAACATAATGGAGCGTTTTGTCGCTTTTGAATACTCGGTAGCAAAGGAGCATACCTTCAATTCACTTACCTTGCTAACAGACCAAAATTCAACATTTCCCCTTAATTAATTTTCGGCTAAATTTGAAATTCCCGCCATTTTCAAATTTTGCCCCCCTTCCTGAGCTCTTCCGTCTACTCTTATATAAAAGAACCTGGGTCCTATTTTCAAATTCTGATTACAGAGAGATAATAATCTAGGGACTATCACCTGTCAATAACCGCAAAAATCATGGAAATTGGCCCAGTAGAATGCTCTAGCGAACTGTGACAAAAAATTGAAATTTACGTTGTTTAAATGGGAGAATTCCCAACTTTTCCTCTTGATATAAAAACAACCTAGGTCATATTTTCAAAATCTGAGTACAGCAGGCTCATTTAGAGACAACTGCCTGTCGATAGCCGCAAAAATCAGGAGAAACAGCCCTGTAGAATGCTGGAACGAAGCGTTACAAGATATGCAAATTTAAGAGGTCTCCAAGCTTACAGTACAGATACGGTAAAATGTAAAAAATATCTGCCATCTCTGGGTTTACTGTGATTAGACAGTTAATGCTGTTCATTTGAAAAGCTTGTGCTCAAGTGGCTGCTAAGGTATGAGCAAAATTTCTACCTCTAACATAAGAACCTGAGGTTCATTCATAATTCAACATTTTTTTGACTTGATTATTAGATACATTCGCCTTTGCTCCAAAACTCAATTAATTTTTCAACATACCATTAAAGGATTAAGATACTCACTAAACAACTTCTTCACTGTCTGTTTCCCAAACGCCTTCACTGCCAGAGTGATCCCAAATCTCACTATCATCGCTATCGGTATCATTCAGTTTATAGAGGTCCTGAGGCCAGGACATAGTTTTGAATCCTTCTGCCCACCAAACATAAACCTGTCCTTCTGGATAGATGTCAAGTATCTGCCCAGCCGTTGCATTTTGATGCTCATTATCGACATTACCTAATCTGACAACAACGTCTCCAGGACGGAACTGAAAGTCTGGATGGTCCTTAAGATCATAGACTGACATTTCGTTTTCTTGCACAAGAGATGGAACTGGATCGCTGGGGCTCACGTAAGTCAGAAACCATTTTAATTTTGCAGTCCGCCCTATATGATCCACTGATTGAATTACACCATACAGTCTATTGTATTTTTCAGGCCCGACACGCTCTAAGAGTTCCGTGTCCTCCGTGCGATTTTCAATGACAAAATCACCAGGGAAGAACTCTTGATCGTCTAAATGATGGATTGGATAAAGTTCTGTGGAGGGGATGCCAAGTTCTATGGATCCATCTTGCCAAACAACATCGGCGGCGGAGAATGTTCGAACCGTTTCAACAACTAGCATATCACCAGGTTGTACATTTAAATTTGGCTTCTTCTTGCGGGCTCCCTTGAGTTTTTTCTTTTTGAGAACTTTGGCCATTAGTTTAACGACTGATTTACCCTGCCTTTGATTGTTGCTTTTATTCGATGTTGTTGAACTACATGTGCTAGACAAACTGGATGGTCCATCTCCACACACACTTTCTGCATCCTCTTCTTCTTCATCTGAGTACTCTTCATCACATTCGCTATCATATGATTCCGACAATTCGTAGGGTTCTTTACAGGTATCGTTCACATCATCATCTGTTTTTTTACTGGCTTCTAAAGGCGGAAACTCTTCAAAGCTGTTGATATTAGGACCTGTTTCTTCCGGATTCTTCCCCTTGACATTAAACTCTTGCCAGTCTGAATTGTTCAGGGCATTTAAAGTTGTATTCATGGTGGACTTAAAAACTTCACTACACTTCACCGCTGCATTTTCTGTTATTTTTGGCAAGTCTCTAACCTTTAAACTATCTAAAAAATTGGAGTTATTTTCATTTGAAGCTGTAGATTCAAGTCTAGCCTTATTTTCACTGGCAGATAAGTTCCCACTGACAATGGACTCGTCATCCATTGTTTGAGGTGGATTTTTCGAGCCGAGTTCATCAACAGAATTAGTCTTGTTGAAATGACCACAGACTTTCTTCTGCGATAGATGAATTAGAGAATATACTTCATCGATGGTGGGTTTGGCAATTCCTAGTAAATTTTGCATCCAGCTGCTCTTATCAGATCTTTTCACATTTGAATCAAGTAGACTGTTATCATCTGAGTTTTCATTAGAGCTAGCTACTCCACTAATATCCATTTCACCACTACCCGTCTTTTCTGCTGGAGTTGGCTGCTCATCAGCTTGACTATTGCCTGAAATGAAATAGGAGGAAAAAATTTAAAAAACTTGACCCTCAAACAGGAAACAGCATCTTGAGGGCCGACGTACAATACTGCATGACTGGAATTTTGGCGAAAATGAGTGAGCAACTCTGCCACATTCTCCAGTATAAAATACGCAAGCTGGTTTATTTCGTTTTTTCCAATTTTTTATGAGAGCGCTGCAATAATGCTGTTATGTATAAAAAAAAAATTGCAAACCTGACCTGTAAAATTACAAAAGTGGCAAAGTTTTTTCTCTGTCCTGTAAAATCGTCAGTGCACATATAAGCAGTATTGTTCCTCAGCCATTGATACTATTTTGTTAGATATAAGTCGTATTTTGTTCGCCGCAACAATTGTTTCCTGTTACCGATTTTGTGTTATTAGTGTCACTTTTTCACAACCAATGAGAGCAAAGCGGCTAGAAGTGAGGTTAGAAATCTTGTTAACAAATGTACACAACAGTCGTAACAATCCCCTGAGGACGTTCCGATTGTTTCGAAACAATGTCGCAAAACGTTGCCAAATTGTGCAAAATAATTAAACGAATAAAAATAGGCCACACCCCTTAACATTCGAACAAAAAAGGACTGTTACGAGATGTTCTGAGTTGTTTCGTCGAACAAAATACGACTTAACTGCAAAAACTTGTTCTTTTGTCAATATTCTTTCATAATTTGTCCCCCCCCCCTCAAAAAGTTAATTTTTTTAGAAGATTCAAGGGGAGAGATTTAATCAGATAACAGATATAATAACATTTGAGTACTTGTGCGATTTTCATCGTTTTTCTGACTTATCAAGCTTTCTGATATTTTCTGGTCTTTCAAGATTTTCCCTGAAGTATATTTATCACTTAAAGACTAATATGCCATCTAATTTAAGCAGAGATAAGATACTTTAATACTAAAAGAAGAAAATAGTCAGATGTTGGAAATCAAAGCTACAGGGTCCAAAATCCAAAATTAGTGCTATGAGGTCTTCGATAAAATTCTGGGCTCAGCTGTTGCATGTTGTTAACATGTTGAACGACACAAAGTGCGGAAGGAGCACTGCTCGATGAAGAAACCTGCCAAAACAATTGTAGTTTGCGATTTGATTCAAGTGACCGTTGTTTTTCTTGTGTGCAGAAGTCAAATTTCCAGTGACCAATGTAAACTAAAAGCTTTAATATCTTGGTTAGGAGTTGATTTCGGTATTTTTTGCTGCGCAGATCATGTTCAACATGAACTTTTAAATGAGAGTCATGTATCAGTATGCTTAAATTTGTAACTTGTCTCCTAGTCTGTTCAGCTTGGACAAGTGCATTGATAATACCTCGTTGAGGTCTCACTTTTAGACAGGAACTGGCTTCGCTCTTATTAAAGCAAATCAGCTAGCCGCAGTAAATCAGATAGAAGTCAAATTTTGTAGAATCTTTTTCTTACCGATTTATCTAAAATTGCTGATAATTTTTACACTACGACCGTTTTAATCAACCGCTCATCGTTGAAACGGCTGTAGTGTAAAAAGTATCAACAATTTTGGATAAAAGGGTAAGAAAAAGTTTCTAGAAAATTTGATAAAATATGGCCGATAAAGTCAACAAAAGAAGTGATATCAGAAAGAAGTGTCACTGATGGATTTTTCTCCTTGATTACAGCATGAACCTTAGCATTACCCTTGATACCTGATAACATGTAACCTGGAACTCTAAATATAAAATTTAAAGAATCTAAATGCAGATGGGTACTTACAATACGATCGTTTTCTGGCCAGTCTATTCAACTCATCGGAAGAATTTGGCAAGTTTCTACCGATCACAGACAGTTTTTCTTTCAAACCTTTCTTCCACTCAGAGACTGTAAGTAGCTGATCGGAGTCTTTCAGGCGGTACATATTGCGATCTCCTACTTGCAAAGTGCAAGCTTTAAAATAATTTAAGAGTCGCAGCCTGTAATTAGTCGAACAAACAAAAATTAAAATTTGCAATGGGACCCTTAGCTTATTATCAATGTTTTCAAACATGGTTAATCCAAATTTCAGGCTCATCCAGTTAATGTACAACCATTAAATGAGTTTTCTCAAAGGTAAACTGTACTATTTCTACCCTTCTTGCATCCCTGCAAAGACACTTGTCTTCTAATTAAGTGAGCAATTTTCCTTTACAATGTTGATGTTCAAATTGAAACTAATACAGGATTTCCACAGCATTTGGAATATGAAATTCCCTGACATTTCCCTGATTTCCCTGACACATTTGAGTAAAATTCCCTGACAGTTGAAGATATGCCGGATGGTTAAAAAGAAATGATTTGAAATAGTTTTAAAGCAAAATTTGTCGTTCAAAACGTCAAACCCATTCTCAAAGGCAGATAAAGGTGAATTAACCATTTTTCCCTGATACATTAATAATTTTCCCTTACTTTTTCATCATTTTCCGACATTTCCAGGTTTTCCCTGACTTTTGAAAATTCCTAGACATTTCCCGGTTTCCGCGGTATTCCCTGACTGTGGCAACCCTGCCTAAATATGTAGATATTATTCAATTGAAATATAAGGCTGAATACACTTACTTCTTGAAATCTTCACCCATAATCATGGTGTGAAGGGGTTTACCACTGGTGTCACCGTCTTTGCAACATATTTGACACTTCCAGTCAACGAGTGCTGAGACAGTATCAACAGCTTCAACATAAACCTGAACACACAAACAATGTTCACAGAACATTGAAAAATCCGAATGAATATTTGCTTTAAATACAGCGTGAGCTGTTAACATTGATGATCTTGCACAAAAAATGGATTCTGCAATCATCAGTTCTATGAAATCCAATAAATCGTGGTCCTACTGTATTAAGGAACAACGGGAGGAAGAATTAGCAGAAATATTACAATGACCAGGTTGATTCCAAAATGGAAATTTGAGATTTTCCAAGGATTCTCCACAATCCAGAGAATTCCTTGAAGAGTCATTTACTTTTTATTCTGAAATAATTCTTTCTTTACTTTCTATACTCAGGCCTCGAATGAAATTATCAACGAGTGCCTCCAATGACATCATTTGTTTTATCGATTAATTAAACAATTCAATCAAAAGTTTTTTATTTAACTGATAATCACCTGATTTTCCCTCAATTTTAGAGGCTCACATCTTAAATTGCTGTCTCCCTCTAAACGTAGGCTTGTATGTAGATCGCATTTAGCAAAAAAGAACCAGCGCAATTACAATGTTGTAAAAATGTTGCCTTTTCATAATTATTTTATAAATCTCCCAGAATAGTACAAAGTTTTTGCTTCCCGCCGAAAAATTGTTAATTTTAAGGGAATATAGTTGCGTAACTTTTAATACAGCGCATATATTAAGTATTTTTAAAAGAAAGAAGAAGTCACACAATTTTGAAAACACTGTAATCTTGCTGGTTCCTTTTTGCTAAATGCAATCCACATGTTTGTTTAATGCGCATCATGTGATATCTCAGGTGAGGCGGTAATGTAAGGAGAAAGCTTACTGTTTTCTAACTTCACAATAAAATTTGAAGCCTCAAATAAGCCAGAAAATCTGATCATCAAGTCATATGCCATTCATTAAAAGATTATCATTATAGACTCATTTCATGCACGGCTCTCTATGAAATAGGGACACTGGGTGCTTACATGATTTAATGTTCCACAAGTATACTTCAAACCCTTCACAACAAATTGTGTGAGTTACTTCATTAAAACAAGGTAGTTTGTGTTCTCTACTTCATTAATATTTAATTATTTCAACTGATTGTTGGCTACCTTTTATATGTTTGGATTTTTTGTAATTTGATTAACTTTAGTATCTTCTTGATTAATCTGAATAATCCATATTTTCACTACATTTTATAGTGAAATCCTTCCTAATTAGTGGTGAGCATACCTTAATTTTTTTGGCTGATTTATTTGCTAGAAGTGCTTTAGTTCTTTTTGTACAATGAATCCACTCCGCTGTATCCAAGTACTTGATAGGTCCTCGCAAACACTGTCCAGGATAGTAATTCTCAGCGAACTTCTAATTGAAAACAAAGGAAATTGATTAGGTGCTTGCATAACAGCTTTTATGTATCATAGCATTGGATAATAAAAAAAAATATTTCATGATAATTCTAATAAATGATAACATGCTGAACAGAAAAAACTCAAAGGTATCATGGAGAGAGTGTTATGTGAAACAATAAATTTATTTGGTGACCTATTAGAGCTGCCTGTCCTATTGACTTGTCTTGATGAATCTTTTCTAATTTGCAGCAGATAAAACACCGCTTTATCAGGTTCATGGTGATCAGGTTGATTTCTAAGGTGCTAAAAGTTCCAAAAAAAATCTGTTTCTTACTATCTAGCATTTTCACCTCACTCCCAATTCAACCTTACGATTAAGGTGATTCGATGGACACCATATTTTTTGTCAGAACGACATGCGATATATCGCATCAATTGGTTCCATTTTTTCAGCTACTCATCATTTTTCTCCAATTTTGAGATCGCAATTCTGTTGTCAGGAGACTAAAGCACTCACTTACAAATTTTAACAAAGAAATTCAACGTAATAAAGGCGTGGTTTTTTAGAGAGAAAATATCGCATTCGATACTGATATCCAAACCGCACTCGAATGCAATATTTTCTCTCTAAAAAAACCACGCCTTTATTACACTGAATTTCTTTGTTAAAATTTGTGAGTGCTTTAGTCTCTTGACAACAGAACTGCGATCTCAAAATTGGAGAAAAATGACGAGTAGCTGAAAAAATGGAACCAATTGATGCGATATATCGCATGCCGTTCTGACACAAAACATGGCGTCCATTGAATCACCTTAAACGTCTGATTTTGAGGCAAGATGCCTAATTTCTCAGAAAAAATGTGTAGATCGCAACTCTTTTGCGAATGAACAGAAACAAGAATTCCCAGATTGATTCTTTTTTGCACTCCTGGTTGTTTCAACTTACAGACATTAAAATTATTTTCCTTTGGTCGGTTAATCCCTTTTTAAAAAACGAAGATGTAAGAGATGGCTTGATGAGCAACCACCAGTGACTAATTTCTTTTGTTGCTTCCAACGCTTGGATTATTGAATATTATCAAACAACCTTGATACATGAATAGCATTGATAAGATGAGGGTTCATCGATTAAAGTCATTTGATATTGATTCAACATTCCACGACCAGCTGTTGTCAGCAATCATGTGAACAGAACCTTATAATGACCGATCAGTCAATCAGAGGGCTTACATTCAATATTCAGCCTGAATTTTCCTCTTTCTTCCACATATGATATGTGCCAAAAATAATTCAAATTGCATTGGAGAGGGTCTGAGATTTCAATTTTTCCTGAGGGAGGCCTCCTACACCTCTATCTACGGGGAAAGTTCACGACCAACCCTCAACCCCTTCCAGGAGGATGAAGATTTAAAAAGACTTGCAACACAGACTACGCCTGGGAGCCCAAAAGTCACCTATTAGGATTGGCACAATAGCGAGGGTCTCTGTTATCCTCCATTACCTTTGATGGTTTTTATTGACCAGCAGTGTGATTTCTGGTGTACGTTGTCCTTTAAGAAATTCTTATCATAGCTTGGCAAAAAAAATACTTACATCATTCTGTTCATTACAGGAGAGAAAACAGTACGATTCGGGGTCGCTTAAATAACATTTGGAGCCATCCCGAAGAAATAATGTGAGGCGAATGTGGACTAGCTGAACGCCACCGACCCATGAATCCATGACAATTGACGTTCCACTCGATAATTTCTATAATTTAAAATTGACAAAATTAACACAAACACGTAGAGAAAGTGTACAGAGATAATGATGGTTGAAAATAATTATTTTAAAAAGAATCTAACTTCCAATGATGAGAATGAAGAAAAAATAAAACAAAAATAAACCCCGGATAGAGCCAGTAAAAGAACGCCAAATAAAGAAGTCATCTGTCCAACAGTTCATTCAGGGTAAAATGTAAAATGATACTCGTTTATGGCATGATGTGCTATAAATGTGGGAAACATAAGTTACTATCATTAGGACTGCTTTCTTGCCTTTCTATACAACTGAAGATTTGAAAAATAAACTTTTTCTCTTAAAGATACTGACAAGTCCTTTTCAAAGACATAATCAGATCCATTTGTCTAAAAGTAAAGCATTTATTACTGTAACTATAAGGGTGAATTTCAGCTAATGGGATAAAATATGGGAAAGACGTTTAACTGGTTGCTCAAAACTTTCAATTATAATATTTTCTCTCGATGTTTGGTTTTTTGTGTAAAAGAAGGTCACACCAACCACAAAAAAATTTCTCAAGAGATTTGAAAAACTCTAAACCTTTTTTCAACGTGCTAAACAGTGAAAATGTCACTTTGGTGACGTGTAACTCAGGGGTAGTCAATGTATCAAATCGTTATATAAATAAACCAGGACTTTCTGCGAGCTTTGTCTAATTTTTTTGTAAGTCTTGAAAGTATATTGTTTGATATAATATGCATTGGAACACCAGAAAACTATATTATTCAATTTACTCAATATTACTCAATATTACGTCAATTTGGTGACGCTACGCGTTTTAGTTTGTGGCCACTCAAGAGATAGCGCTTATGTGCGGATTAAAGCGTGACTGAGTATGGAAGTGGACAACTAACAGACGTGTACTTGATAAGTCACATGTTTCTTCCAATTTCAGCATGATTTCAGTTTTTTTCAAGGTTTTTGGAGTGTCTCACTTATTCAATGTCAGTTTGGTGACGCTGTTTCCCATCAAAACTTTTGGTGGAATTTGTGGGCAAATATTATTTAAGTATTTTTTTCTTACATCTACAGGTGGCCTCTCGACCTAACCTCAATGATTCGTTTGATTTTGTTACTGCAAGTTGGCAGGAAAAATTAATGACAGCAAAATGTTATGTGACATGTCCAAACCAAACTGACATGTCAGGCTTGGTAAAGAAAAATAATCGTAAAGATATTGCGATGCATGTAATTAAATGCTATGGTATGGAGCTCTACGATAACAGAAGAGTAGTCTCTGGCTTGATACGGCCGAATCACTTTTCAACTTTTCTTCAGAACCATTTTCTTCTATTAGCTGAGATCCACCCATAAACAAAAGTGTAAAGGGCATTAAGAGCAAATGAACTTACTTCAAATGGAATGAGAGATTTACTGTCAACATTTTCAATAATTTTGTTTGTTCCTTTAATCTGAACGCAGGCACTGACATGAATATTGCGGCAGTAGCCTTTCATTGAGTGCTCTCCTCTACTCAATCGGCGAACAACATCTCCTGGCATTAAAGACCTGTTGGCAAGCCCTACCTGTAATAAAAACACAAAACACCTCGGTTATTAGGAGTACCATTCAAACTCATATTATTCATATTATTTACTCTTTCATTGATTTCATATTAGAACAGATTTGCTACATGGAAGCGGTTTCAGAATTATAAGACAGGAATAATTCAGTTATTCACCTACTCCTACAGTACAAATTCTCCTAAAATTGTGGAATGTAAGGGTAAGTACATAATCCGCTAAGGTGGAAGCCAAATGCATTGCCTAACCTCAAGAGTTGATCACAGCTGGAGTGTACAGGATATGATAACATTTGCATTATCATCAATGAGAACAGATGGTTACTCAAAGAGAATCATGAGTTATGGGAATATCAACTATTAAAAGATAAGAGTAAGGATCAGGTGGCAATTAGTAAGAAGTTCGAGAGAAAGAGATGGAGCAATGGCTGAAGTAATAAGCATGGCCTACTTTGATAAGTGCAAAAATTAATTGAAATTCACGATTGTTAATTCTTGTTTTAATCGACATAGGGTGCTGCTGCCCTCAAATTAGAGCTCGTGCATCGTATGTTGGGAGAAACGTCAATCTCCGATTAGCTCTGAATTCGCACCACTCAACAGGTTAATACATTTAGTCAGGTGGCACCACTGGTGAATGGTGACATAAACAATACTTTGACGTTTGTCTCAACATGCGATGCGCAAGCTCTAGTGAGCACTGTTCCATTCAGATTTGATGATTAACGTCCGTCCCAACGAAGAGTAGACAAGCTACATAAGCATATCATTGAAATGATCCATAGAATTTTCTTTGACTGCATTACATTCCGTATTTAACACAGCTAGTGTCAAAAGGGACAAACTAGCATTTCCTTAATTGGACAGGAGAGACGAATAAACTCTCGAATGGTAGTATTAGGGATGATCATTATCGGAGGCTGAGTGATGTAACGATGGATCGAAAGGTAGAAGTGTTACTTACAAAACTGGGTTAAAGAACGCAGATTGATGGTACTACAGAATTTATGCTATCATCTGATTTCACCTACAGAGGATGGTAAAGTAGTAGGAGGAGTGTCAAAGTGACTCAACCAAAAAGATACATTAGGGCAAGTTCCTAACCCTACAACTTGTCAGTTAGAAAAATGATAAGTAGGATGATAAAGGAGGGATCTCTGATGGGGACATAGACATCTGAAGATAAAAAAGGAGTAAGGAGCAAGAGGAAGGTACATGAAGCATGCGACAGTGAAGGACGAGTAAATCGATCAGCTTTTAATTACTTTTTTCTCAGAGATAACTTCTTTCTTTCCATGAGGGTGCCACGCAACTCTGATATGACCTTCTTCAACTTTCGGCTCTTCGTCGTCGCTGGAGGAGGAAGAATCATCACTGCTGTACAGTTTGAAGTTTTCCACGACCATTCCAAACATAATTTTTCCATTTTTATTGACTCTGAACACTTCATCTTCGTAGAAAAATTGATGGTCTGCAGCCATATTACACACGTAGTAAGCGATTGATTTCGGAATAAAAAAAACTACAGAACTCCACTGTACAAAAATTAGATTTACATGGTAATCAAGTACATCAAACAACACAGTTACTCGTTAAACAATGCGTATAAGGGCGTAAAATTGGTGATAAAAGAAATTTTGAAGAAATTATAGCCTATCTTCCTATTTCAGAACCTAAATCTCGAAAACAAAATATCGATTCCCGATCGTTCGACAGCCTATCGAATCGCAAATCAACTTTATACCATCGATACACAATGTTGCCAATCTAACCGTAGAAAGCCTTTACGGCTACGAAAATATCTTTGATAATCATTTAGAAGGTGAGATTATTCAAAATTGAAAATCCTGGTCGTAATTAATGATGGTTTCTCACGACTATTTCCCGAAAAGAACTGGTAAATACTACACTTTAAAAAAACTTTTTTAAAAAAGTTTTTGTCATTAAACATGGCAGCAGGGGTGATAGTTTCTTGGAAAACAGTACCGCGAAATTTGAATTGACGGACGCCCAACACTGGCGCGCAAAATCGTAACTAATTTAGTAAGTCAGGATCGCCCACTCTGTGACGGGATGGAAGGAAACATTACACGAGCTAGTTTCTAGGCGATATTGGTCTCTAAAAATTAAAATGATATTGATAAAACTTTATTTTGAGATGAAAAGAATATTTGCAATGAGATATTGGCACTAAACAATGTTCTCTGCGAATTGCGAACAATAACGACTGCGATATTTCCAGGCAATTTTCCCTAAAAAAAAGTCACGCAAAAAATTGCAATACAACGGACAAAACACACAAGCTAAGAAAAATGCACCATTTTTGTTTTGTGCTAATTTTGACCTCCAATACTGATGCAATATCCCCTGGCAACATTGCTTCCTATCCCCATGATTAAAATTCTCTCGAAGTTGCGATAGGTATAGTATCCCCTTCCCATATTTTCGGGTTTCGCGGATTAAAGTAATATTGATACATGTCGTCATCTTCCGGCCAAAATATCAAAAGCGCCATGCGACGTTTAAAAATTTCCGCCGCCATTTTATTTTTTGGTAGGAAAAATTGCTGGTTGAATCTGTTTGAAAGTTTTACCGAATTTTATTGGCGACACAAAAAAATCACTGAAATTTTCGGACAGCCTGATATGGCGGCGGAAATTTTTAATGGTGCTTGTGATGCCATGGCTGGGAGGTGACGATAAATCGCTTTGCAGGAAAAAAAGCAAAAAATTGTATGTGTATTTTTAAATGATCTTGATTATTTTGCTACCCAAACGCCCAGCTAGAATATTCTGCTCGACATAATTTCAGGAGGCATCTTCAAATTTTCCATAAAGTTCAAAAATGGAGAGTCTTGCGCTTATAAATTGTATTTTGAAGCAAGAATTTTTCGAAGAATATGTATTAAGGCTAGTTTTACTAGAAATAATTAATATCTCAATTTTTTTCAAAAACTGCACTTATGCGCGTTGTCCTCCACCTCCAAGCCCCTTAATTCAGGCCAGAGTTATTGGGATCTTCGCGAAGGAGTGTTATTTGGAGGCTATATAAAATGGACCGCGTGAAACAGAATTAGGAACCAAGCCACATTAGCTAATGCCAAAGTCAATCAGTTGGTTTAATTTTTTACATGAAAACGGTTGGGCGGATTTTCGGGCAAATTTCAATAAATTTTCTCCATAGTACGAAGCAGATTCCTTACAATTTTCAAGAAAATTCGCACAAACGTTCTCTCGTAAAAACAAAAAATATAAAAAAAAAAAAATTCCCAGTTAAATTTCGCAATGGCTGATGTGGCTTGATTCCTTTCTGTTGAACGCGCATATATCCACTCAATGAGGAACCCGGGTCGAATGTTCAACTTTGAAGGTATGTACGAAAATTTCGACAGATAAGTAAGTGCCTCAAAACGAAACTTCCCTCCTTCCGTTCCGCGCCGAGGATGCGCACGGCGAGATAATGCGCACTTTCAAACGATGGTCAATGATTAATGATGATGACTGAAGTCGAAGCAGCAAGCCGGTCGTAATGGTCTTCCCTCCTGTGCCCCTCTCCCCCGCCCCGCCCGCAACAAATGTGTTGTCATTAAGGATAATGATGATGACTCGACTTGGCCTCGCCATCCTCCATGCCACCATTCTATAATCATCATAATTCTGTTTCGTCGCTTTTATCATTCGAGTCTTGGCCGGATCCTGGTGCGGTGTAGGATAGATTCCAGCCTGGCCGCCTTCGCTATTTTCGACACACCGGGCAGTGGCAGAAGTTCGCTCGTGCGAGCTTTTCAACCGCGGGATCTCAACATCTCGCCGAATCGTAGTTCGCGGATAGCTGAAATCGCGCGTGTAACCACATCGCATCGTGTTGTATCATCGAAGAAGGAACTTGCTGAGTGAAGTAAGTGATTGCTTGGTCACATACTTTATTTTATACCAATGCCTCGCATCTGAGAAGCAGAAAAGTTCATGGTGTAGTCTTCAATATCCGCGGTCGTATTATCCGCGGATGCGTGGACAGACTTTTCATTGGGGGGGGGTTATTGTACTTGATACTTGATTACTTTGATTTTGGGCTGGTTATTGTAAAGTATTCAAGCTATCGAGGTCGCGCAGAAGGAGTAGGACCATGGGAATGAAGGTTAAATAAAATGAAAGTGAAATGGAATCGATTTGGTGGGTCGTTATTCCGCAGTCTGTAAAGCGCGCCTGAAATGACTTGCCTAAATATCTCCTTCCCGAAATACTCAAAAGTTTCAAAATCTTGGATATATTTTTTTAAACGATTCATTCCTTATATTTCAGCCTATTTGTAAATAGATTCAATTCATTTTTTACCTGCAATTTATTATCACATTCTTTTCGTACTGTAATTTCACATGTTTCGTGTATCCTGATTTTATGAGACCCCCCCCCCCTCTTGGTCACCCTCTCCTTCTTTTTTCTCTTGTTCATGAACTTTTAGAACCCCTGCTTTTGGGTTTCGGTAAATCTGCAGTTTTTTTAATTTTCCGAAGACCTAAACATCGAGGCCTCATTTTGCCTTCAAAATCGGCAGTAGGCAAAATATTGTACATTGGTGTTGAAGAAGGCACGCTTTGTTGCCGAACTGCAGAATAAATTATTGGAGTGATATTTGAAAACGTAGTTTCACATTCCCAAAGGTTTTTCTGCCGTAAAATGTTCAGGAATTATTCTGGTTGCATTCAGGATGGTTTCAGAAGTGGTGTGCTGGGCCGTGGACGATCAGAGTAACTCGACGGGGATTTTTAGATGTTTTTAGTTTAATTTCGGGCAAACATGACAACTAGGTTGCTATTGTTGTGCTGATTGTTGTGTTTGTGCGGCCATATGATTAGTGATAAGTGATTACAGTGTGATAATGTGAATACTTATCATCAAATTCCTGTTACTCCATAGAGGCACCATGATATTTTGATGAAGTCACCTAATTATCGTAGAATGTCTCACATTTTCTTGCCTAATGGACTTTAATTCAATCATTGACCGTCAACTTATTGTGTGCAACCAGTAGACAAGCTTTGAGGTTAGCCTCTTCACTCCTAATTTAGTTTCATACTTATTTAGCCGTAGTCTTTCACACTAGTCGATTTCAAGTTTGAAAATGGATCAGTTTTCGTATGGAGATAACTTTTTTCTTGATGTATGGACGGGTTTAATACCTTTTCAAGAGCCTCCTCACATGTAATGTACTTAAATAGGGAAGCTCTGATCATTGAGATCATTGATTGGTTTAAGAAAATTGATATTGCTAGAGCTCCTGGCCATTAAATCACAATATATTTTGAGCTTTCCTCCAAGTAAGTAAAGCAGAGTTTACAATGGAATCGTCAAGAGCATAGTAACGTCTAGCCGTGAAGCATGACGGATGAAACAGACGACCCGAGAGGTTTTAGAGAGAACAGAGGCGGACTTCTAGTGCAGATCAGCCGGTATTTCCAAAGGGTTGCTTCCAGAGTAAGATAGTTCAGAAGGCCATGAATGCCCAACAGACTATGAAGCATGACATATAAAGTATTTATATGTATGGTATGGTCGTATTCAGAGAATGGCAGGAGACAGATTACGGAAGAAGGTCCTAGATTGGGTTTCTTCTAGGAGAGGGCATTCAGTCAGAGGTTGGAGGGATGATATTGAATATTGAGTTGCAAAAGTGCTTTACTTCTAAAGGATTGTGGCTTGAAAGAGAGCAGTGGCAGTTAGGCACCGTAGAACGCCAGGAATTGTTATCAAGAGACAGCTCCATGTAGGTATGAAACAAATCGACAGCATAGGTCTGTAATCACATGTCGGCGGTGTAAGTCGGTAATCGCATAACTTGTTTGCGGTGTCTGAAAATCTCCGCCTCTACGTTATTTTTTTAAAGGAGAACCAATTGACATCATTCCTTGGAGTTTTTGCAGAATTTTCTCAGCACAGAGAAGAAAAATCACGGCAGTTTTAAAGAATTGCCTATGAGTAGTTTTCCATTTAAAAAATGAAGTATCACAGAAAGTCTGCGACGTCGCAAACCAAGTTATGTGATTGCCGACTTACCCCGTTGAAATGCAAAATAGGTGGGTAAGTAAAAGCCAAAATACACAATCAACTACCAAAAGTGTTTCAGGGTGGTCTCAATTCGAAAGTCTATCAAGATACAAAAACTACTAAAATAAAATGAGCAAAAATTCAAAACAAAGATTACTTAAGTATCTATTGCTGATTACATTTATTTTTTTGTCACTCTCATTTTATTGCGTTTTGTCTCCTAGTAGTAAGGGGATTGAGACTTCTTCTAAAAGTGGAAAATTTTACTGTGTAGTTTAGCCTTATTTAATACGCAGCCCATTTTCCTTGTGTTTTTAATTGTTGAAATTTCAATATTCATACTTTTATTGAATGATCTAATTGTCTAATTAAGTATTTTATTTTCTTTCAGAAAATGAACAACGACCAGCATTATTGTTTACGGTGGAACAATTTTCAAACAAATGTTGTATCAGAACTTGAATCTTTTTGGAATGATGAAAATTTTGTTGATGTGACTCTCTCTTGCGGAGCAAAACAAATCAAAGCTCACAAGTTAATTCTATCTGCTTCTAGTCCATACTTCAAACAAATTTTCCAGGTAACACCATTGAATAATCTGGTCAAATGAATTTATAGCTCATCTAAGTAGCATAATTGACTTTCCATTATCGAAAGCCTCTTTCAATAATTAAAAAAAAGTATAAAAGTAATTAGCTAAGTAAAAATATAAAAGAAACTCAGATAGGCTGCAATAAACCCAAAACAGGAAATCTTGCGTCACGTACATCTAAAATCTTTTAGGTGATCCTATAATTACCAAAATAGTTGGAATGTGCAACAAATTAAACTGCTACATGAGTCACGCATTCAAATTTTGCAGTTGTGTTTTTTTTTTATTTTTCCCACACCAATCCGCTATGTTTATCGTCAACTCTTGGGGTTGAGAGGGTTTTCAGAAATATGCAACTTTAACCATATTTTGCAATTTGATGCAAATGTTGCGTAGTGGATGGGTAAGATCCAATCTCATCTCCCTATTATCTGATCAAATGCTGTTTACTCATGCAATTTTAGAAAAAACTTTCAATTTTGGTTTTTTTTTTTTTACCTGAAGCTGGTGAGAGTTTTTGAAAATATAGCTTTGAGTAGCAGTCATCATCAATTTGCAGGCACAACCTTTTTTGTATTCATGTCAGTGAAAACTAACTGCAAAAAGACAGCATTAGGGTAAATAAGTCATGTAGTGATAATATCTTTTGTAATCGGCAAGATCACTGAAAATTGGATAAATGACACTGCTTTTTTTCAGTGATAATTATGTCAGAGCATTTTCTCTCTGTGACAGTCTTTCATATGGATTAATTATCGGAATCATTCATGAACCAAGTTGTTGAAATGAACTTGGGGAATTTTAAAAATACTAGAAAACCTTAAGATTTAAAAATCTGTATCATTCATGCAATTTCACCTATTTCTTTTTTTCTCAGGATAACCCATGCAAGCATCCTATAGTCATGCTGCAAGATGTTGATCCTAATATATTGAAGCTAATTCTGGAGTATGTGTACACTGGAGCTGTAAATGTGTCTGAAAAACTCATGCCATCTCTCTTACGTACAGCTGATATGCTTCACATACGGGGTCTCACAGAAACCTCTTCAACTTCAGTTCCTATGGTACCTCTCTTTCTTAGTTTTCCTTTGTCTCTTTGTTTTTGTCTATGATATCCTGTCGTCACAGCTGTAGAAAGATAAAGAAAGAAACACCGATGAAAATGTAGCTTATTGTCTGCAGTATTCATAAATTTCTACTCTCATTTTATTTTGTCAGAAAAAATAATCTGATCATTAATTCTCCTTCCTTCGAAAGTATTATTTTGTTTACTTTCTTTTTTCTTTAATTCAGTTTTTTTCAATGTTAAAAAGATCAGTTTAAGACATTCAGCTTCACGATGTATTACAATTCACTTCCAGACAAGTTGCAAATTCAAGTATTATCATGCATGTTTTTTCATCAAAATTTCATGCAGAATCTGATGTGTGCAACGAAAATTTTTGGAAACAACTCCTAATCAAGATAGCAACTTTTTTTTTTATGCTTAAATTCAAACTTACCACTCATGAAAAAAACAATCTACTTGCGTTCAACTGGACACTGAACGTCTTCGTAACAGGCTCTGCAGTACCTATAAGTATATAGCAGCCTTAATCTCAACGCTTCGGCTTAGCTGAGTTGCATGTTGTTTACTCTTGGTACAATACAGAGCGAGGAAGAAACTCTGCTTCATTAAGAAGCCTGCCAAAACCGTCTCAGTGCATCACATTAACTCAAATTTTTCTTGTGAGGGGGAAATTTAAATTATTTGTGAACAGTGCGAAATAAAAACGTTAACATCTTGGTTAGGAGTTAATTTTAGTCATTTCCATTACAAAAATCATGTTCTACACAAGAATTTGAAGAGGATTCTTACAACAAAATGTTTAAATTTTTACCTTTGTTAAGTGATCCATGCTGCTACAGACTTCCTGAGTAATATCAAATCAACAAACTATTTTTTCAGTAATTTTATTCATCTCGAATTTCTAAATCTGTACATTTTGGTAACCTTTTTCCAGTCAACATCTTCAGTCGAAAATATCAAAAGAGAGGTTCCAGACTGTGAGCAAGAGGTCATGCCTCCAGTCAAAAAAATGTCGCGGAAGTCAACTCTCCTTGATGAACCAAGGATTAATCATTTTGAGGAGGTAAATCAATCATACCTACATTTAGAATAATGCAGGTGGTTTTAATTTATGGTGCCTCTTGTAGGGCAACAACTTTAACTCCAATTCTTAAATTAGATCATAATTCTAAAGTGCACAACTTCGAGTATACTTTCTTGCATTTCCAATGCTGCACAGTTTCTGAGATTCTTCGAGAAGACACAAGAGGGCCTTTCATTAAAATCTCAAAATTCATTCTGTAACCCAAGTTGACAAAAAGGGCTCGCCTGAAAATAGATCATAATTCTAGAGAGCACAACTTCGAGTAAACTTTTTTCGAGAATACACAAGAGGGCCTTTCATTAAAATCTCAAAATTAATTATTTAACCCAAGTTGACAAAAAGGGCAAACTAATAATTTTCAAAATTATAATTAAATTTTCTAGTTTAAATTTTAATAAAGAAGAACAAACTTATAATTAAATTTACAATTTAACCCTTTTATCAGGCACTTTATTTATTTATTAAGATATGGGGGTTAATCAATTCTAAAATTGCAGTTTAGTGTTATCTATTTAACTATTAATAATTATGAAAGTTTGAGCTTTTTCGACTAATCACAAAGATATTGGTGTTTTATATTTTATTTTTGGTGTTTGAAGAGGACTAATCGGAACTTCCTTTAGTATAATTATTCGTTCTGAGCTTATAAATGTTGGGTCTTTTTTATCAAATGAACATTTATATAATGTTGTTGTAACTTCTCATGCTTTTATTATAATTTTTTTTATAACCATACCACTAGTTATTGGTGGTTTTGGTAATGGACCACTAGACAAGGTATGAATTTCAGCATTCTGATACATGTTTCTTAATCAAAATTGCACGTAAAACACGATGCGCACACCAAAAATTACCGAAATCAACTCCTTACAAAGATATTTAATGATTCCTGATGCGTGAATTCAAATCACCCGCTCATTAAAACTCAATGCTCTACGTGATTCACATGGCGCGCTGAACATTATCATGATAGTCTCTGCGATATAAAAATCTGGCAACCTCAATCTTTGACGCTTTGGCTCAGCTATAGCAAATCGCTCATAGTTTGAACAACACATGGTGGGAAATGAACATTGCTCGATTGAGAAGCTTGCTGAAACCGTTATAGTGGGCGATTTGACTCACATAGAGCTTTGAGTTTCTTGTGAGCGGGCAGTTCAAATTCCTCGTAACCATTGTGAAATAAAAACGTTAATATCTTCGTTACGAGTTGGTTTCAGTCATATTCGTTGTGTGAATCGTTTTTTACGTGAAATTCTGGTCAAGAAACATGTATCAGATCGCTTAAATTCGTACCTTGTCTACTGGTCCATTGACTTATCCCGTTGATAATTGGTGCTCCTGACGTGGCTTTTCCTCGTATAAATAATTTAAGGTTTTGGCTTCTAGTGCCCTCCCCCAACCCCCTTTGCCCTTTTCAGGGACCAAGGTTGATTTTCTTGTAGGCAGTCATATTTATCATTTAATCTTATCTGCAAAATGGAATTCTCTTCATTTATTCAAGTTGAATAATGTAACTCAAGAATTAATATATACCATTTTTTCTTTTTTTTTTCTTGCAGCTGAAAAATGTTGTTGAAGGTACAAGTGAAACTTGCTCTAGGAAATCGCAACTATTTAACCCAGAAATTCTCAGTAACAATCACGTTGAGTCCCAGAGCTCCAGTATGGAGTTTCAAGGTAATTTTTCCTAATGCTCTACCTTTAGACCCCAATTCCAATCAATGAAACAGTTTAAAAGTGTTGATCAAGTGTTGATCAGTTGTTAATTTGTTGATTTTTATACAATTTTTAACTTCTTAGCTTCGTAGAGGAATATTCGTCCGAAAACCCGGAACAAAGATGGTTGTCCAAAACTTAGTCTGAATGTTGTTGCTGAAATGTGGAGGAAGCTGTTCCAGTGGGGGTGAATTTAATGAAATTATAATTAGGTAGTTTAGCAATCTAGTGCTGTTCACTGACATTCTTTTGCAACAAAAGATCAACAATACATTCAAAGCAGGGGTGAAGAAAGGTGCATCAGCACGTTGAGTGTTAAATTACTTTTACTTTGTAGCGAGAAAGTTGATTTTTCTATCTGATCAAAAAAAGTTGCGCCAACATATTGATGGCCAAAGTGCAAAATGATTTATCTCCATTGTGATTTCAAAATTTCTGCTCTTCTTTCATTTCTGCGAAGAGGAACAAGCCATCTTAGTGGTTCAAAATCTATACAGAATATTCTGCTAATCGAGAGGAAAGATCAACGAAGTTTTCAAGTTATTACATCATCTAGTTTTCCAAAGAAAATGTAAAGTATGACAGGAAGTTTGTGACATCGCAAATGGAGATACCTGGTTGCGCACTTTAGCCATCGATTTGATGGATTCTTTTAGGTTTATACTTTATTTTTATCCAAGACCACTGCAAATTTAATGTTAGCAAGTAGCGTTTTTTGAACAAAATTTTTAGGCAAAAGAGACAGATTTTTTTCGAAAAGTTTTCACATCCTGCTGATTCAATCAAATCTCTGCCACTTACTTCCTCCTCTTTTTCAGCGCTCGTTTATGTTCTCCTACAAGTAACACTCTTCACATTAAATCCCCCCCCCCTTTCTCTTTCTTTAGAAAAATAAAATTTCAATTACTTTTTGTGTCCTCAGGAAACACGGATTCCCTTGAGGGAGCAGCAAATATATTCAATTTCCCTGGAGAAGTAATTGCCGATGTCACCATTAAAAGTAAGTACAGGAAAATTGTTTGTTTATCTACTGACCGAGGGTATTAAGTTCGTTTTGAGTATGATTTTCAGTCAAGGTACACATATCGAGAATGTGATCTTTTCTCAACAAGATTTCCTCTTCCAAATACCATAAGTAACTGTGATACTCTTCGAAGGAAACTCTATCACGATTAGGAGAAAAAACACTAAGAAACGAGCGGGAACCACAATTGTATCGAGAGACTAATCTATTTTTGACTAATCTATAGGATTTTACTGTCAAAACATAACTCAATGATTTGCAAAACTGATTCATTTTATTTACTGCATGGATGGTTAGATTATTTTCTCACTAATTTTTTTTTTTCTTTCTTTCTTTTAGGTGGTTCAGAAGGATCTCGATCTCATTCTCTAGATCCTCGCCCTTGTCCAGTCTGTGGACATGTTTACAGCAATCTATCAAATTTACGACAGCATATTAGACTAATTCACAATCCAGAGTGTGTGACGTGTCCTTTGTGCTCCAAGACTTTCAAAAACAAGTTGTACCTCAAAAGACACTTGATTAGTTTTCATGAACTAGCACCACCCTCGCAAGACCAAGACCGTGCCAAAGCAGCCATGTATAGTAACCTCTTAAATAATGCCGCCTTGTCCTCTGATCAAAATAGTAATCCAGTTGATCCGCGATCATACTCCCATGTTATGTCCACGCAAGGAATTAGTCCAAGAAGGAGACATGACGAAATCAATAGCATGTTGTTTGGGCATCAAAAAAACCTAATTAATCCCCAAAAAAGCACATTTTTTGATCAAAGCTTAGATGATAAATTAGAAACTCCCATGGATACGAACAGTAATTGTTATAACGAGTTTCACCCTTATGGTGCTGTGTTGGATAAGAGTATAATGAACAATAATCATGATACCCTGTCATCGCACAACAAACAATCAGTCCTAGCCCAGGGGAAGCACCAATATTTACAGAGTCCTGTAACTTCCTCAAATAGTCCATCAAATCCCGTCCAAAACTAGTAAGCTTAGTCATTTTCTTGGTCTTGCATTTTTCTTGTCTCTCAATTCTTGTAGCTCTCTTCTTTATCCTGATCCTTAAGTATACACAATGAAAGTAGCAGCTGGTATCTCGACAGTGAAACTATCAGACCACATAAGTATCTTGTGTGCGGTGTTTAAAAATCTCTTCTCCCATTTAATTTTTTTGACGGAGAGCAAATCGATATCATTCCTTGGAGTATTCAGAGCTTTCCTCTCACAGGGAAAAATTGATGTTGGGTGGTTTTCCATTTAAAAAATAAAGTATGACAGAAAGTTTGCATTGTTGCAAACCGAGATACGTGGTCTGGTTTTTTGCTGTCAATATACTGTATTGGTGCATAACAACTGAAAAACATACACACAACTATTTTTGAGTTTAAGGTAAATGTCTGCAGTTTCTCAATTTGATCTCATTTCATAACCAGATAAATCCCTCTGTTCCAGGGAACTCTCTAAGAGTTGAAAGAATACTTCGAGTCCTTTCCTCATGCACAATAATAGATTTTAAACTATAACTGACTGTAATAACCAAATGGCATTTCAAAGACTTTGAACTTTAAAAATTTGCTTTAGATAGCTTTAAATTTTTGAAAAAATGCTATCTCAGTAAATACGAGTTGCTGATTGTCTGGTCAAGACAGAAAATAATTTCACAGGTAACAGACAACTTACCTTGTGGTAGAAGTGATCACAGGAATCTTTTATGGGAAATATGTATGTGACTGTCCACAGAGAAAGGGAACTTAGTCCACGAAAATTCATAATCGGGTAATACAAAGGCTGTCCCAAAAGAGCTGGGAGTTGGCCTGCTCTGAGCAAACTATTGAAAATATTAGAATACAGTTTGCATGATTTTGTAGTTTATTTTATTAGCTTTCTAATGAGCCCTTGTTGAACTCATTTGATGAAAAATTCACATTTTTACAGCGATTTTTCGGCAACATATATACGCAAACCCCCTGGAATTTTCGCGTCATTTTTTATTTAATCTCCACCTCCTTTCTGTGAGGACAAACAAACACTCAAAATGAAGTTTGCCCATTTTCAGAAGCAAGATGCGACTGCAAAAGCTAATCAATTAAGCTACAAGTTCCTGCAAACCGTATTTCAATATCTATAATACTTGCACAGATCAAGGCAACTCTCAGTTTTTTTGGGACGGCCTTTGTAGATATCACATCATTTAAGGGAGTCCTTCAAACATCTCATCACAAAAAACAATGTTTTTTTTCAATTTACTCCTGTTTGGGCCTTAAGTGGTATTAGAACAATACCTGGTGCTTTGATGAGTACAATTTACTCATACGCAGCTTTTAAAATTTTGATGTTTTGATGATACACAAGTGTCATCAGTAGTTAGTAGGAAATTTCCTCTGGCACCAAACAATTTGAAGTGACTAGCCGAACTTCTGATAAATCTCTCTATACCATCAATGTACATTGATTCAATTTTTGATGTCTGATCGGTAGGTTCTAGTATAGTATTTTAAGGTTGCTCTCTGCTTTGTGCGGAATAGCCCTCAGGTAATCTTACTAAGTGTACGTAGTAAGTGTCTAAGATTAGAAATTTAATTGGTATTCAAAACCACGATAACTGAAATCTTCAAGTGGTATGTCTTTATATTGCTGTCTAGATTTAGCTGGCCACTTCTAAGAGCTGAAGCTGGCATCGTTGTATACATAAATTTGGCTGTGCAATATTAATATCCTTCTATTTAAATCCTAGGAATTCACTTATAAATTTTATAATCCTAAATAGACCAGTTTTAATTGCTTGTGTGGGTATTAGTCTTCGGTTTCATGATGAACTCTTCAAAAAAAAAAAAAAAAAAAGAAATCAGTAGAAAGAATGCTTCTGGCATTAGGGTTCAACTTTATGCAAGATATTTGCCCTTTTTTTCATCATTGATCTAAGTGTCTGTTACAAAACTCCACGAATCACCCACAAAATGCGGTGTTAAATTTTTATTCGATGAAAATTTTAATCTTGTCCCAGTTCATTTTTCGCAACAATCCTCCAGCCTCGATGGCATTTACAAATTTCATTTGTCATGACTGAATCACTTTTACGTTCCTCTTGCATTAAGTTAATGGTGCATACTTCTTTTTATTCAAAGTATAAATATGTTACTTTGCCCTTTCGTTAACAGATAATTGTGTGTCATTTATTATTAAGTTTTTATTTTATTCATATTTTTTCCCCCCTCATAAAAATTCAATGGACTAAAAAAACCTAAAACAGTAGTAATATGAAATGATGTTTAAGTCTTCTTCCGCTTGAGTGATTTTGAAGCAAACCCTGTAGGTATAGCCAGTTGAGAGAAAATTTTTTGACTCCAGTAGAAGTGGTTTGGTGTGACGAAGTACAGGAGTTCTTTTATCATATAACTAAGTTCATAGTTTGCCATTGAAGACAAAGTGTAAAATTATCCTATTAGTTATTTAATTCACCTCAATCATCATGTTCCCAAAGTAGATTTTTCAATTGAACTCTACATCATATGTTTCTATTGGAATTACTTAATCGTGCCGTTTGTATTTTATGTAAAAAAATAAAATGACCTACGAATTTGATTTAGTATGCTTGTTTTTTCATGTACTTGGAAGTAGTTTGTCGTTTCTCACTTAAAGGAAATTCAATCAGCTCAGATGATACTCTTAAAAAAAAAGCAGGGTTCTTCCAGCCGTAAGAATGAAAAATCTAGCACTTTCTACAATCTTTTTCGTAATTTTCTTCTATACGTAGTTTTCTCTCAGTATCATGAGTGTAAGTTGAGAATTTCTAATGCACTCACAATTTCCTCCATGGAAAAGGATGTTTTTCCCGACAATTTACTTAATGTCAAACACTTTGGTTTTATCCAGCAACTACCAAGCATCGCATTGGTTTTTGGCAAGCATCTACCGCTGAGGTTTAGTAAAGAGAAAAATTGCAGCATCTGCCAGAAAACCAAGCAATTTTAAGGTCTTGTAAAAACATTTCAAAATCAAGCAATTTTCAGGGCAGCACGAACCATGAAATAACTTCTAGCAGAAATACAGAAAAAAATGTTGAGTGCTTTCATCCAACTATTACACAAATTTGTGAAAGAGAGAGATGCTAATTTCATGTTTCAGTATGTACGTAATTACTCATAGATTAGGGGTAAGGAACTCATCTGAAGGATCATCCAGGAAAAGAGCAAACATCGCCAGTGACACTGTGGAAATGCATATTGCAGCTGTGGTGTTTCAAAATATCTGCTACTTTAATTTTAGAAGGAGACCAAAACATTATGAATATTTTGTGTGCTGTTAAGTACATTTTAATCTGCGTAAAGGAACAGTGGTGTTGCACTATCTTATGTTAGCAACAGCAGATGGACATAAGCTCTTTTTCCAAATGCCCCTTCAATGCATATTCAAAGACTATTTGAAAAGATGAAGAGGGTATTTTGGCACAGATAAGTAGATCTAAGATGTGTTAAAAAAAAACTTTAATTTTTATTTGTATTGCTCCTCACTCACATGTGTATTGATTCTAACATTTCAGAAAAGCAAAAATGCACTTACAAAAATTTTCTTAAGCTATACAATTTGAAACCTACATTAAGCTAAAATTCAATTGGACTACATTTTGCAATTTGGAACTATAAATTCTAGCCCGGTTTAAAAACAACGTATGTGCCATTAGTTTCCCTATGCACATAAGTGTTTTTCAAGAAGAGCAAGAATTTATAGTTTCAAATTGCAAAGTGCAGTCCAATTGGGCTACATTTTGCAATTCGGAACTTTTACCTCTGACTCAGGTTAACGACATATTTATGTTCAATTAGTTTTCTCTTGTAGATGGGCGTTATTATGGATGTACATGAAATAGCGGCTCCTCATTGCAAAATGAAGTCCTGCATAGAGATTATAAAGTTTGTTTCCATGCTTGAGTATCACAGTCTATTGGTAACCTAAAACACAGCTTCACCTAATCCTTACGTTACTTAATTATATTCTTGGCTACAGACATAGGTTATAATGCAGCAATGTTCCTACTACCATACAGCAACCATTACAGGGTTAAAGTGTCTTAAAAATTTGTAACTCGTTTCCGTATTTGACCTGTCCAAGCAGCACAGGTTGCAATCAATTGCAATTACATAGTAAAATTATTGCTACTGTATCAGAGTGTCCCGTGTGTTACCTTTTCACTAAATGGAGGGGTTCCTCTCATTGAAATTTACAGCAATGAAATTTAAATACTTTGCGATTTGATTCGCATTGCAAATTGGCACCGTTAACACATGGGACTTGTATTTTGTTGATTATCTAAAATCGGTATTTATTGACCAAATTAAATAAAAATTCAAATTTCAATTCAATTACAAGGTAAAAAAAAGTTGCAACTTTATTGCATTAAATTGCAAAATTATTTTAATGTTTACATTGCACTGTGCTACTTGGGTGAGGGATAAAAACACATTTTCGATTCAAATACCTAAGTAAATTCATGAAGTTACATCCTGAGTAACACCTGCACTATTAAGATACAGGACTTTGAGTTTGAAATTTTGTTGTGAATATTATTTTGCTCTGGAGGTCATTTGTTCATGATACTCAATATTTCAATCTTATTAAATAGTATTTTGGCAATATAATTAAGTAGTGGGCATTCTGTTGTTTTCCCTCTCCTTTGCTAAATTATTCAGGTAACTTTTAAAACAAAATAATTTTTTGTGCCAAAAAATGAAGACATTATTTTTATTTCCCAAACAAATTTTTTACTTCAAAGATAGTATCCCTAATTTATAGTAACAATTAAATTGTGACAATAGCTGGACTACATTTTACAATGGAAAACTAATAGGTATTTCCAGCTCATTTGAGAAACAACATTTGTGCCAATAGATTCTTCATGCAAATAGGTGCTTTCATGGATGAGCCAAAAATCGCAGTTCCTCATTGCAAAATGAAGTCCAATTATGGTGCCAAATAATTATTTCATAATTTGCTCATTATCTTTGAGTGTTCCACCAAAATAGAAGCTCGATCAATACCTGAGTGATACGCCCCATGTGTTGTAGAAAAATCATGTTCACTATTGGCCTCTCCTGCGAATAAAATGACCGGATGGCGAACAGTATTGTTGACACTACAAAAATCGATAACTTTGTTTAGATCAACTGGTCTTAATCCAAGTTGCTGACAATTTCTAGTTGCATGACTGTAGCCCCCTTTAATAAAAGGATTACTTATCCACTGCGATCGGACAACTTTTTTTGGTAATGGCACTTTCTCATGAAGAAATTTTTGCAACAGGACTTGACAATCTTGGGCTAGTTTTTCTTCTGAAAGATCTTGCACTACCTTAGCCCCGGGACCACCAACCCATCCAACTAATATGGGCGGCTCACGACTAAGAACATCAAAACCCGTTACATCTCGAATCCAATTCATACCTAACTCTTTTTCAGTGGAGTGAGATGTGACTTGCGTCCATAATAGCTGGAATCCTTCTGTAGATTGATTCCACCAACATTGCTCAAAGATGAGGAAAATTTTTTCTATCGCACCAAAGCCAATGGTGTTTACCATGTTGCGATGGAGCAGAGGTAAAGGGGGTGAAAAGAGTTCATGGTGATGTTTCTTCAAAAATCCTAACGAGCAAGTTACAATGACATGACGAGCAAGAATTTGAATTCCATTTTCACACAAAATCGAGACAGGGTATAAAGTGCTCAATGGTTGGAGTTGATGAGCAGACTCACAATTGGTGCAATTTTTTAAATTTAACTTTGATATCAGCTCATCGGTGATATTGCTTGATATAATATTAAAGCTGGAGAGCTGGACATGATCTGAAGATGCACCACCATACCATCGGATTTTTTTAACGGCAGTATTCAGCTTAATCCTGTCTTGTGATAGAGCTGAAGAAATAAGTTTAACAAGAGATGAATATCCATTTTTCAATACAATGTTATCTTGAGATCCATTCAAAGAGTAACTGCCCCACTCTTCGATCGGTAGAGAGTCAAGGGAATCGCACGCGTTATCGATAATCTGAAATCGCCAATGCCAGTTGAAAAGCTGCAGAGCTGTTTGCAAAATATCCTCCGGTAATTTGGAAAGACGATCTTTGAACTCTGCCGCCAAATATTCACCCACTGATTTTGTTGTTGTGGTTTTAGGAGACAAATTTTTCATCCTGAATGGTGAAAAGTCCTCCATCTCCTTCAAAATTAAGTTAACTTCGTCACTGACTCTATCTACAACTGTTTGCGACACCACTGTTTTATCGTCCCTCAGATACAGGCCTTTCCCTTCGGAACCCACTTGATCAGACAATAAGCCACCTTCCTGCGCCCATTGATACAAGCCGTTTTCGGTCCCGTGAAGCCACTGTGCTCCAAGCTCCATGACTGTTGACCCTTCATTTATGGATTGAATTCTTCCACCCAAGTGATTTTGTGCTTCCAGGATGACATAATCCACATTATTTTTTTCGAGTGTGACTGCTGCCCCTAAACCAGCCATACCTCCGCCAATGATTGCGGTATTCACATGTTGCACTTTACTGTAATATGAGAGCAATCTATCTGCCTCTCTCCAGCCAGTTTCAATGGCTCCATGCACAGTTGAAAAAAAATGCGAGTGGGTGGCCTCACCGGCAAACATTATCACCGGTCTACCAAAGGCATCTAGGATGGGCTCGGCTAAATCTTCACTTGATGAATTGTTCTCATTCGCCTGAACGGTGACAAAAGAGTAAGAGCCTCTAAAGTGGGTATTGCCGTACCAATTTGACCTTGCAAATCGAACTGGGTTGGGAATTTGATAAAGTTTTGACAAATACCTCTTTAAAAGAAAGAGTAAATCATTTTTAATTTCCTCATCCGGTATGTTTGATACATAGCGAGCAGCGTTCCCTCCTACCCAACCACAGAGAGTATTTGGAGCATTGTCCAGCACAAAAAAAGAAAAGACTTCCTCCAACCATTCTTTCTTCATCTCTTTAAGTTCTTCTTTGATATTAGAGTCTAACAGAATTTGAAGAGATGGCCACTCGTCTGGCCACCAGCGATACGGAAACTGAATAAATAATTTTTCAGCAACTCCCATCGCTAATGTATTAATTGCAAGCAATTTTTTACCAGGGAGAGGTGGGTTAAACATGAACGGGACGTTCGCTTTCAGAACACCCAAGGACACACAGACTATAGTGTGATCAGCAGTGAAAACACTTCCGTCAGCACATGTTAAAACCAATTCATGCTCTCCCTGGACAATCTTGGTAACTTCTTTACCAAATTGCACGTTCAAATGTATTTCCGATTTTGACTTGGGTTGCCGCTGCAACAGTAAATCGATAACGTTTGAATAGCCTCCAGTTTTCCAAGCAACATTTAGATTGCCATTACACTCTTCATACTTGCGATAACCCTCGAAGGAGACATCGTACCAAGAGTCTGATGCTTCTAAAGAATTTTCAAATTTGTGGAACCACTCCAGAATTTGATTAATATCAGCATCACAAATGTTGACGTCTTTCAGTTCAAGTAGGTTTTCATTAAAACTCTTCATGAAAACATCACCAAGAGACAAGGATCGGTTCGAAGATGGCTCTTGAGCATGAATTTTCTCAGCAATTTTGAAACAGTAAAGTAAGAGGGAATCGGATATTTTTGAGTCCATCATACTTCCATCGGGCTTGAAAAACTTGGCATTGACTATGCTGGCTTTGCTGACAATAGAGTCTTTTGTCAAATTTAGTGGGGCTGCCATTGCATATACAGCATTTCCTTCTTCTCCATGGATCCACTGAGCACCCAGGTCAACATGCTCCTCACCTAGAGCTATAGTATGACACCGCCCACCAAGTCTTCCTCCAGCCTCCAGAAGCGTCACATTCTCAAACCCGTTTTGAACCAATCTCGTTGCGGCTGCTGTACCTGCGGCTCCACCGCCTACAACAATAATTCTGGCGCAATTCATTCTACTGTGCGTTAGGGCTGAGATGGTACTATCGAGAAGTCTTGTATCAGCTCCGAACTTCATGGATTAGAAGTCAATAAATGATCAAGAGTGTTTCAGTAAAGGGATTCTTTGATCAGGAGGAGGATAGTTAATGGCAGACTCCACGTTAAAATCTATTAAAAAATTAATAAAGCCACTATCTAGAGGAAACAATTCCCAACCATACCTTCTACACGATAATTATCAAATCCTCAGTGCTGAATTATCCAGATGATGATAAGTCTAAAAAGCAGAGGATAAATAATCAGTCTGACTTTTAATACACTAGCACAAATATATATTGCTGAGACAAAAATATTAGATAGTGAAATACATCTTTAGACACTTGCACATACGTAAAAATCGATATCAGACCGGTATGATATGAAGAGGCGTGTTAAAACGTTGATAAGGGGATAATTGATAAGAGATATTGTTGACATGTTTGACATAACCTACAACGTGGTCTCGAGTTGCGCATCTCCGAATACAGAGCGCTGTACCGTCGACGGCGCTCACAAAAAACCGCGAAATTTGAATTTTGATGATTCTTTCGGAGGTGTAACGCAACTTTTCAAAATTGGAATGTAAACTGCGATTGCCACACGCTTGAGCTATCTATTTGCTCTTACCAACTAACTCCGATATTGAGGGACGATAGATTATAAATCTGGATGGAATGGATTCATAATATGGTGTAGAAAAAGAAAAATTTTCAGAAAGAAGAGAGTGAAAATGTCTAAAGGAGAGATGATGACCCCGAAGTCAAGATGTTCAGGACAGCCGCTCCCCCCCCCCCCCCCCCCCCCCCCCGGGTAAATAGGAAAATACATGATAAAGGCGTTACGAAAGTGAAAATGTTCTGGCCTCTTTAAAAACTTTAACACGAATTTTGACACAAGGTATCTAACAAAGAAAATTGCTGTAGATTCAGCCTCGCTCTACGACTTTTCCTTCCGCTCTCTGATAATAACATGTGAACAACGATAAGGCAATGTTAATTTTAAAAAAATGCAAATCAAATTTTTACAATTAAAAGGTAGTGATATGTTTTGCAAGAGAAGCTGTGCTCTTTGGAAACCAGTTTCACAATATTTACGATAAAAATAGTTCTAAAAGAAAACAGAGAGAAATACTTTCTCCTCCTGGGAATTATACGTGGTCAGTAATAAAATCGTACAAGATAAAAAGAAACATAGCTAAAACATAAAAAATTTAACCGACAAGGCATCTCCACAGATAATAAGGCAAAAACATAGTGCGGTCAAAGAAATGAATGTAAAACATCAGTCTTATTGTTGATTAGAAGGGACATAAATCTTAAAATACAATTGAGCTTCATTGACAAAAAAGTATTGACAAGAGAACCGTGGGATCACTTGAACAGTGCTAAATCACGGAACTCATTGAGTACTATGTAAGGAATAGCGCGGCAATTTTTTCTAACAATTTGATGATGTCATCATCTACAACCAAACCAGCAGCAGCTTGCAACTTACTGTGAAGCGCAACTCGCTTCATTGACAGTTTTGCTTTTTGACAATTTGCGGCAAGAACCCAAGTAGTCGCTGCTATGTACTTAAGTTCAATCTTTGACAAATTTGTAACTCTATCTAGCTTTCCTGAGAGCATGAGTAGAACTTTGTCATCAGAAACTATTTTTGACTGGTTAGGATGGCAAAATGCTAAGTTCATCAGAACATTGAGGGCTAAAGTTCTAATTGACTGCTTCGAGTGATTGGCGAGGGTCACTATTGATTCAAAAAAGTTTGGTAATTGGATCAAGCTGATTTGACCTTCATAGAAACTAGAAAAGCAACAAAAAAATCTTAACCAGTGAGAGTCGAAGTCTTCGTTAAGTTTCTTTTTCCCGGCTATCTTGGTGATAGAAGATGTAACTTGATTCTGCAAAAGAATAAATATAAAACAATTATACACTCATAGTGAGAATTTATGTAATGCAAAGCTTTTTTAAACTTTACGTAATTTCTAAGAAACATAAACTATCTGAAAAACCTAATTTGCAGAAGTAAAAACATGAAAGTCTTAAGTTCTATTTTGAAACCATTGAGGCAAAAAAATATTGAATTCTTACCTTAGAAATAATTAGCCTGCACTGCTTTGACTGACAGCAGTGGCTTAGGACTGTCAGGGCTGCTTGAAACATGACTGAAAAGCTCTCTTCACTGATGACATAAGATATCAAAGCATGAAGCAAAGATGGAGATCGTGGTGTCTTGCCACAGATTATGGTGCTAGAGACAAATGAATGGCAGGCTGTAAGGAAAGAAAAATTAGTTTCAGGAATGACCATTGACAATATGTACGGAGAAAAAATGTGCAACAAAAAAGTGACTATCAACAAAACCTCGACTGATTCGTTAAGGGAAAAGATTTGAAAAGCTGAAATTGAGCTGGTCCGAAAATATACTCTGTGGAATGGAGTAAAGGATAATTTTTTGTTTGAAATTATCAATGCTTATAATCTAGCACCACAATTCTACAGGCAAATCAGTCATTTCAAAACTGAGAACATCTTTTTGGCAAAAGTACTGAGATTTTAAAACTTGATTTCATAAATTTTTACCAGCGGGGAATGTTGATCATTCTTAATGACCAGGATAAAGAAAGTAACTGTTCAAAAAAATACATTAATGCATATTACACATAGCAATTCAAACATCTGAAAATTGAAAAAAAAGACAATAAGAAAAGGAACTGAAAAATGATTTGGAAAAATTATAAAACTCAAACATAAGGATAATGAAAATATTAATTTACCTATTTAAATGAGGCAACAAATTTTGGAACCTAAGGTATTTTCAGTAAATATTCAGAAGCCAATTTGTAAACGGCAAGATTTAGGTAGTCAGGATTTAAAATATGAAAAGGGAGCCACAGGGTTCTGAAAATTTCATCTTTTCAAAATACAGTTGCGAGTTCTTCTTTTATTTTTCCGATTCATTTTACAATTCAGCGCCTGTTATAATTTCGAAGAAATTATACAGAAAGGTAAAATTAGATCATTATTCAATGAGAACTTGGAGAAGATTTAAAAAAATGTGAATGTGAACGGAATAAAAAATTAAATACTTAAAGCTTTCTTCAATAATTAAGGCAAAAAAAAGCTTACCGTCAGGTGAATCTGCAGTAAAAGTGCACAGAACTTCTAAATACCTTTGGAAAAGGTTTGAGTTCAAAGAGCACCATACCCATAAATTGTGAAAGACAGCTGCAAGACCATTCTCTGCCATGCTATTTTTTACTAATTCACTGCTAGCTAAGAAGTTGCTCAATAAGCCTAGAAGATCAATCAGGTGAGTTAAAGTAGGATGATTCTGGAATGAGAAAAAAGGTACAAAACTTATGAGTGGAATAAAAGAAAAAAAATAATATCTGTAGTTTAATGAGTCTGGGACTTTTTGGCAAAAAAAAAAAAAAAAAAAAAAATTCAGGATTCTCTTTATACAGAAGTTGTTAAAAAAAATTACTATTCTCTGACAGCATCTGTTAAATGGTTGAAGATATAGTTTTATCCTACAGGCCATTCGTAGATATTTTCCGCTCATTGACTATATCAAGCTAGGCATGGTTGGCCAATAGGAGATATATTGATGGTTCACATAGCTGAATCCAATGACCATTCACCCTTTCCACATAACATGCCAATATCTGTAGCACAGGAAAATAAAATATAATGAAAATGAAAGATCATTAATGCATATTTACTCTGAAATAATGCTTATCTCTTGTCAACAAAGTTTCTTGCTGACAAAAAGCGTTGCGCTAGGCAAAAGAGCTGATTTTGCGTCATGCAAGAGATCAGTATCTTGACATGAAGTTTTAGGTCTTACTTTTTTCGATCGGAGGATGTCTGGAGCAGCCACACTGAGATCAACGTGAATTTTTTTCAATCTAAACAAAACAAGGTTTCCAAAATCATGTTTCAAAGCACACACTGATGTTTCGCCCCAGTCCATGAACAGTTGACCTAATGCTGAATACAAAGCCAATCGCTTGCTCCCACTTGAAAATACATCCCAATGAACTAATAACGAAACAGTTAACTCATTTGCTGTATCTGCAACAAAATGAACATAATTACAGTATAAACATGTACAGGGGCAGACGGAATGAAAAAATAACAAAGAATGTAGGCCCATTAGTGCTTAGACTGGCCTAGAGGTGTTCAAACGAATTCTTGCCGGAACTCTGTCAATATCGTCTCTTACCAAAACTGGCGGCAGTACAGACAGTGGCGATGATATCGTTAACAGCCGGCCTTATCGGATTTTTGAGAGCTCGTACTCAATGCATTGTTGCCCTGTGTGTCGGTTTATCAGATTGCCTGGCGCGGTGGCGCATAAAATAGATGTACAAATGGCAACAGCTTATTTTTGTCATCTCCGAAAACTCTGATCGCTATCGGCAAGAGCGCTCTTATCGTAACTTTTTCTTGACAGAACTGTTTCGGTGGCTTACCGACAACCAATAGAACAGCCCTAGACTAGCCCATCATAGTTGTTTTTTTTGCTGCAAATAGGAAGCACACCAGTCAAAGATGATCCTAAATGGACCCTGTTAAGCAGAAAGGAACCAAGCCACATCAGCTATGGCCAACTTTAACTGGGCAATTTAATTTTTTACGGGAGAACGTTTGTGCGGATTCTTTTGAAAATTTTAAATAATTTGTTTCGTACTATGCAGAAAATTCACTGAAATTTGCACAAAAATCTGCACATCCGTTTTCGGGTAGAAAACCAAATTGCCCGCTTAAATTTGGCAATAGCTGATGTGGCTTGGTTCCTTTCTGCTTAACGCAGTCCAAAAATGAACTGAACCGACAGGATTTTTCCCGGTGTTCTCGTCTACCTGTCTGACTCCTGAAAATGCGACAAAATCTAGATAATTACCAGCAATGGAACATTTTACAGGATTGTACTCTGATTGTTAATTAGATTCATTAGTATAGATGAGATCTGTTTTGACGGCAAGCTTCCATGTCTACGCCGATGGAAATATTCAAAACAATGAAATATAATCATGAAAATTTTTTGATGACCTGAGAGAAACAGCTGTAGTATTTTGAAGATATTTGCTTTAATTAACAGCCAGCATGTTCACAAAAGATTTATTTCGAAATTATAACAACACCCGCAGTAATGATGTAAACCACCTCTTATGACTTGACACCATCAAAGATAGATCAAACTATTATTGCCTAATCTATATCTATATCAGGTATGAAAACACGAGTCTGTGACATGTGCACCTGAGTTACTGTGAGCAAGAAGATCAGATACTCAGAAAATCGCATTGTTTTTCGAGGAATAAACTAAATGTGTTCATAACAACATATTTCAATATCACCCTCAAGTTCTACCAACAAGTATAAGTAACTCAGGAAAATTTGACTGAGGATACATTTTCTATTACCTAACTTCATCATGCAAATACAATTTGGCCTTTTTTTTGTCTAAAGTCATTGAAAGGATATACTCAAGTGTTATAAAGGTAAGGATGAGAAAGATGAATTGGACTACATTTTGCAATTTGGAACTATAAATTCTAGCCCAGTTAAAAAACAGCGTATGTGCCACTAGTTTCTCTATGCACAAACAAGTTTTTCAAGAAGAGCCTAAATTTATAGTTCAAAATTGCAAAATGCAGTCCAATTGCGCTCATATTAAATAATTTTGGGCCCCATTTATCAGTTGGTGAGGTTCTAGGTGAGAACTCTCGAAAAATAATTTGCATCAAACTCACTAACCTCTATTGAAACTTGGAGACAAAGCTCTAACGGCGACCAATGCATTCATTTGTAGAGTCCGGTTGGAGCTGGAGAGGGAATATAACAATGCTGAAATTGCAGGAGGATTTAAATTGACTAGTGTGCTGGACGATGATGGAATTGTAGATATAAAAAACCACAATTCACCCCACAAGGCATCGCGCTCTAGCGTTAAATTCTCGCCTGCAAAAAAAAAAAGATAAATGAAAGCAAGAAGATGTACAGTCCTGAAAGACTTCGAAGTTTTGGAGTTGTATTTTTAAGATGATCTTTAGAAAATTCCTGAGTATCGAGGTTCAACTTGATCAGATGCATATAATTTTGGATATCACAGCTTATTACACTAGGCATGATGCAATTTTCCACAGAAAAATCCCTAATGTATGTGTCATAATAGGAAATCACTCAAAGTTCTCTGGGAAATTGGTTAAAATAAACATTCCTGTAACTTTGTAAGGAAAGGATACATTTAATTCTGTCTTATTAGAATTTCCATAAAAGGTACTCAGTTAAATCTCTAGAAATATATGTTGAGAAACATTCAAGGAAAAGAAATTCAATCGCATTCGGAGAAGTATTATTATAGTGAAGGAGAAACCCAGGGTTTCATGGTTCCCATAAGAGAAAACAAGCTTTGTTGTAGGAATTTGTGAGATACAACAAGTCCCTTGGGTCATGGCGAATCAGTCAAGTTGGATGTCAAGGATTTTTTAGGCATATTTATTGTTTCAAAATGGGAGGATGCATAGAAAATACTCACCAAACAAATCAGTATTCAACAGAGGCAAAATGGCAACGGAACAGTTGGGCACAAGAATATTTTCAACTTTGTTCATTGTATGAGCTAGTAACGAACACATGGCAGTTAACATAGTTACAACATCCCGCGATAAATTATTTGGCACTTGAAAAGAACTTAAAAATCTGAAACAAATTAAATATTTGGTTCAACATCATAAATACAGGTTAACTGATGAAAAATTAATTGCTTTAACTCAGCTGCAGATCTAATTCATGGTGTCCAGCATTGTTTACTTTTCTCATTCCCTGATAATACCCTAGTTTTTGCTGATTTTCTTGGAAACATTCCCTGATGAAAACCTACAATTTCCACTTACTTTCCGGTAGATTCTCTAGAAAAAAATTAAATTTTGCTCCAAATTTTGCTTTTTCATCTTTTCTTTAATTCCTAGAAGCCGAGTTAACACATATCACCAGTTTTAAGGATAATTTGATCAAACCACTTCGGGAGAAAAAATTCCCCAATTTAAGCACTAATTCTTGGCCGAATTCCCTGTTTTTCCCAGTTGATATTTATTCCCTGATATTGATTCCGATTCCCTTTGATGGCAAAGATAGAAGCTAGTCACGCAGCCCTATCCTCAAAAATAACCAAAATTTTGATCATTAATGAGGATAACACTCCTCATCGTAATGTCTTCAATTAATTAGAGGCATAAGGACTTAGGTTCATAGGTTTCTTAAACATGAAGGATAATTTTGTTGAGGAATAAATTCAAACATATCTAACAGTTTACCTAAACAAAGAAACTGTAAATCCATCTTGATAGGCGTCTCTCAAAGTAGTTTCCTTTAAACAACATAAATTCATTAGGAGGAGGCAACAGACTTTCAGTAAATCTGGCGTGGTTGGTGCATAGTCTTCATTTGTTGTTGGAGATCCTTCTTGCGTTGAGTCCATGAGAGGTGATATCCTTAACTGAGCGACAATAACAGAAAAATATTCAAAGAGTCCTATTTCTTTACACCGGTCTACCATTAACTGAAAAATAAGGAGAAAGGATGCAAAATTAGGTAATAATATTGGATACATTGGTTAAAATGAAGGAGAGACAGATATCTAGTGACCGAGATTAACAGTAAGAAAAAACGGCGGAATTTGCATGCTTGATACCAGTCTTCACCAGTTGCCACAACACTAGCCTTATTATTATTCTGTCCTGCTAAGGGAAAAAGTTGTATGAGCCTTCAGACGTTCCCATAATTTTTTAACATGAACTTAATGAACTAAATTTATAGGGAAAATTGTGAATATTTTCCTTCAAATTTTCTAGATAATTTTGCTTGAAATATCTAAAAAATTTCAAGGAAAGACATGTATAACTTTCCTCAAAAATACATATTTTAGCCAGAGAAAGGCAACTCTCAAATGTTCACGCAGGGTTCTTCCTTAGCATGGCTGCATTGGTTAAATACATAACTAGTGCTCTGCAATTAATTCCTTGGAAGGCCTTCAGACAGCACCTCTATTACTTAGCAGCACGATGAAACAGTGGCTTGGCGTGCTTTGCAATATATATCAATAGATCGGCCATATATACTATGGAAAAGGATCGAAAAACAGGGTGATTGCAACGATCACCTTGATAATCGATTCTTTACCTTAGCTGCAAATGGAGGAATATCGATAATCAATCATACACGCCTGGTCACTGCAATGAAAACGCGCCGGTCAAAACACTGGTGACTGTGAACGTTTTTGCCTGACGCAACCAACAAAAAAACAACCAATTCAGCAGAATACGTTTTAAATCCTCTTTCCCCTGACTGTCACAAAAGGTTATTTATTTGCAAGACAGCGCCATTCTATAAATAGAAAATTTTAACTTGTTAGTTTTGTTCAAAACTTAATTCCCCAATTCTCTCATCCAGATCTGCAAGAAAAAAATTAGTGAATGAGCTCACTTCTTTGGTTCCATGGCTTATGATGTTGGAGCAGATCATGCCTGCATTCTCTCTTACAACACTCGCTTCTCGATGATTCATAAGAACACCTAAAGACGTGCTCCAAAGACCATCAACTGCAGTCAACATAAATTCGGCACCCGCTCTTGAGCTTGTCAGACCGCTGGCCAACTGGAAAGCTGAAGCCCGTACAATTACGTCACGGCTTGCGAAGAGCAGCGGGAACCAGATCATACGGCTCTCGACAAGCCAAACATCCTCCCATCTCTGCAAGAAAAGAAATTGATGAAAATTGCAAAATGCAATCTTTAATTTCAAGAGTATTTTTACATTAATGATTTGTCCCCTTACAAAAGAGCCATTCACCTTTCGTAAAGATATAAAATAATTAGAACAGGTTGATAGATTGAGAAGATACTTGAGCACTAAAGGTATATAATTTTTCATAAATCATGTTCCTCAACTTTTGGAAGAAAAATTATGGCTGTATTTTAATTTTTTTTCTTTTTTTTACTGAAAATTTGTCATCTTTAGCCTTAAAATAGGTAACAGGTTTGCGACAGAATTTAGAAAAATTTAAGTCCCTGACACATTTTGATTTTGATTAGAAATAGATTTTATGCAAAATTTGTTGCTCTAAGCGTCAAATTGATTCTAAAGGGCAAATAAAGGTGCCTTAACAATTTTTACCTAATACTTTTGTCAGCTCCCCTAAAATTTCCAGGTATTACCCGATTTTTAAAAATTCTCTGACGTCCCCCAGTTTTCCGGTGTTTCTTGACTGTGGCGACCCTGCATGTAATAGGCATGGTTAAAAATCAGCGCAATATAGGGAGTCCATTTCACTTTCTGATGACTGCTTACTTCTGGAATGTTTCATCTTTGATGCTGGTTATGATGGGATTTGGGTTACTTGTTAATACTCACTTTACACCGCACCGCACAGTGAAAAAGATGATTGAGGAGGATCAAAGTGTTCCTTGTGACGCTGAGCCCCATGAATGATTGAGGATTGCTGCAGTGGAACGCGGATATAAGCTCCCAAAGTTCGGTGGAATCAATTGGTTGCGATGGAGATGCTATGGTGATCTCTACAAAACAGGATAGCAACGCATCCAGAAATGCTAGGTTGTAGAAATGCTGTGTGTGGCTGAATCTAAGGCACTTTTCAATATTGTTGGTGATGTGAGTCCAATTTTCCGACCTGAATAGCTGCACACACTTCCTGCTCAAATGGAATACTTCTATGCATATTTCTTTCCACTGAAATGAGAGAATAATGAGTGAAGAACAACTTTATCAGCCAAAAACACATAATAAAAGAACAACTTAATTTGGAGAAAGGCTACAAAAGGGGGACAAATCAAAAGAAAAACCCGGAACGTTTTGAGATAATTACAATTCCAGTATCAACCGGAAACAAAAATTAAATGAGTCGTCGACTTGCTGTTATTGCTGACCGAGACTCATGCTGTTATTAAGAGAATAATAAATCAACAATATTACAAATATCGATGCCTAAAATTTGAAGACACTTGACTTGATATTTTCCAATTTCGGAATAGCTGCAGATAGAACTCTCCCACGTAAAGGAAAAACGTTAAATTAAACTTCAAATGTAGCCAAGTTGCCTCCAATAAAGTGTTTATTTTTAAGGGTGATTATAAGTATTTTTCAATGAAATTCACTGCGAAGTTGGAGGAAAAATATCCACAAGTTTCCGGAAAAGACTGTACTTTTTCATAGGAAAGTTGCGATGTTTGAAGGCTGACACATCATTTTTTCCTAGCACTGCAATACTATAGAGGATACTTTAAATTTGTGGATGGATGATTACAGGATTACAGGATGATTACAGAGGAATCGAGAGATAACATTCAAATGCTCTAGACTGACACCATTCTGTGCTCAAAAGAGAAAAATATGAAGTATTTTGATTCCCTAAAAGATGAGGAGTTGTGGGGTAAAATATAATAATTTATATGCTTGCAAGACTGCGCATATACTTTTCAAACGAACATTATACGATAGTGAAAATAACAGAAAAGCATTTCAAATGGAGGTACGTGGCTTTGCCATTTGGCTATTGATGTACTAATTATTTTGAAAAACTTAAGGATTAATTAAGATGAAAAGGAAGAGAAAATTTGAGGGGTAGAAAGTTTCATCAAGGCGTTGAAAGCTCTAGAAATTCTTTTTTCTTGCATTAGCAAGCTCAAACTCCACTATGATGTCAGTGAATTCCAGTTGCACATCACTAATGTCAAATTCAATGGACATAATGGCAACACTCACAAGCCTTTCCTACCGTTGAGATGTCCTCAAATGATTGTGCACTTGCCTTACAATAGAGAAAGATTGCTCATGTGATTTCTTATCTAGAATTAAATAGTATAAATTATAGTCATTAAATTTGCCGCCATAAAGTTGCCCATGATGTTCAGAGAGGGGTGCGATGGCTCACCCGGAGATAGAATAAATTTGAAGTGGAAGTCAGTGCTACGCCGCTGCCACCGTGCAGATTAACCTGACTGTGGTCTAATCCTTCCAATATTTTTCCCTCATTTTTTTTTCCACTCTCACTCTCTCTTTCTCTAAGCTAAAAAAAAATCCGAAATTTGCCGTTCAGTGCAATGGCACCGTTTGCACTCTTCAGTGTAGATGGGTTCTGAACGAAGAAGAAAAAAAAAACGATAAAGAATCACTTGACTGCTCCACAACATTTAGGACTCAGACTTTCAGAATAATGCAACACAATTTTCAAAGGAAAAGACAAAGAAAAAAAGATCTCATGTACCTTTGTGAGAGTACTATCATTGCCAATGTGAGATACCACAAGTTTTGATAAAGCATTCCTTTCATCGCACAAAAGACTAGGGAGCCATGTAAGATGGTGTCTGAGTATGAGAGAGTGCTCTGCGATGAATTTCAGTACAATTACGAGTAGTTCCTGATCCATGGCATTTGACGGTGGTGAGGATAAAAATCTTTCTACGGAGGCTCTGAGTGGAATTTCGTTCAGCTCTTCTGCAGTAATCAACCAATACATTTCTAGATATCTGTAAGATTAAAAAAAAGACAAAAACTAGGTTAGACAAGAGAACTAAACCACATTTTTTACTGTAATTTATTACCAAGGATTCTATCATTCAATTTTACTGGTCATTAGCAGCTAATTATTCCAGGGTGGCAAAATTTCATGAAATTTCAGAAAGAACCCCGCACAGAGCTGGGCTCAGCGGCTCTCTATGAAATTCGATGAAACTTTAATAGATTCATATAAAGTTCATAATTAAGGAAAAGCCAAAAAATTAGCTCACTTTTGCGAGTAGAAGCCGAGATATTCGCGATTGAACCCGGACTATTATCTGTGCGGCGGAAGCAAATTCTCCGTGTCGCCTTACCTTGCTTGAGCACTTCGGCCAGGAAACCCCCTCTCCCCACCAGGTAACTATGATGTCGCATTGTTTACACTCACTCCTTTCATCAGGATGCTCCGTTTGGGCTGTGCGATATGGAATTCCCTGCTTCTCGCACCTCTCCCGTGCCGGCCAGTTTAATCTAAAATGTAGTTGCTGAAACAGAATTGACAGATGCAGGGAGAGGGGGGGAGTACAGCATTCGCACCAGCCGAGCGCATATGCACCTATCTTCACGTGAGTGACGTGAGGTCTGATCGAGAACGCCAAACAACGAGAGGAGAGGGGACTCAGAATTCTTCCGCCATGCTGCGGCATGATAGAAAATAGTTCGGATTCAATTGCGAATATCTCGGTTTCTACTTGCAAAAATGAGCTAATTTTTTGGCTTTCCCTTAATTATGAACTTTATATCAATCTATTTAAGTTTCATCGACTTTCATAGAGAGCCGCTGAGCCCATGCTCTGTGCGGGGGTTCTTTATGAAAGATATTGAAAAATACCGGTTCTTTTTCATGTTTTGCAAAATGTAAAAATTGTGACTTACTTTTATTTTTGTGTGTTTGAGAGCGGGTTGAATACTCTGGCCCTTGAAAAATATGAAATATTTCACAACCTTGGGAGATTTCATGAAATATTTCACAACCTCGTGAAATTTCATGAGATATTTCACAACCTCATGAAATTTCATGAAATATTTCACTAAAATGTCCAATCTTTCATTTCTTTCTTACGTTTCATGCCACCCTGAATTATTCAACGTTCCTTCTTCTATTCTCTCTCCTTCAAATGGTCTGGTTTGTAAAATGTTGATTAATTGGATGATAAGAATACCTGGCAATGACATCCAATGTTTCGATGACAGTGGTATGATGAGTTGCGTTCTGAATAGCGTAGAGTAACTGGGTGATGCTGAACGGCAGCGATGCTGACTGCAGTTGAAACATGGTCTTCTCAGAAACTACTAATCTGTCACTGTTGACATCATCATAATTCTCGATGAGACTGTTGATGTTTCTACCACTAGAACTGACAATATGCCAGTGAATACTCAGGCACTTTTTACAGTTTTCATCACTTAAGAGTCCTAAAATCAAGAAATGTACGATAAAAGTATAATACCTGAAAGTAAAAGTAACAGGCAGCATTAAATATTGACGGCACAATTTAAGTAAGACTCTCAAAAAGTAGAAAAGTTCAAACAAACCTTATGCGTTGCTTGCCTTCTAGAGAGGGAACACTATACATGTATCCAACGGCAATAATTCCGTAATTCTGTACATAATCTCAAAACAGCCAAAATTTTCGTCTCCCAGTAAAAAAGAAGGGATTAAATTTTCCTCCTTTTTTCTTACAAGCAGATGATTATTTCCGATGATGCTGCTCTTTTGTCTTGACTAAATACATATTTAAATTCTTTTAAACATTAAGCAACTTGACAAAGCAAGTTATTAAAAGGATTTTGGGCAATGAAGAGTCAAATTGCTTTCTCCGGAGACATTAGGATCAGAAAACAGGGATTTCATTTCCGTCTGACCTCGGGGGAGGGAAACTTGGTTTGATTTACATAATTTCATTGAAACTACACATTCATTCAATCAATCAAAATTAAAATAAAAGTCTCCGAAAAGAAATCGGTGAAAAAGTTAATGCTATTTACCAGTTAACTGAGGTTCAGAATGAGGACTTGATTTAGCATGAGAATTGAGCTCGAAGGGTAAAATAACAGATCGTTTGACTAGGTCAACCACAGAGATACAGGCAATTGTTGGTGTTAAAATTTGCTCTGCAAAGAGTAAAAGGGCAAACAGCTCGGTGGCATCCCTTCTCAGCCTCAGCTCATCGTGATATTTGAACAAACCTAGATAAAAATAAAGTGTGTTTCGTGTGAGGAGTTTCAAGACTATTAAATGAAAAATTAACAGTAAAAACCGTCAAAGCATGAAATGATGGTTTCAGTACAATTGCTGTTCAGAGTATTCAGATTTAGAATCAATACCTCATTCTCAAGAAAACTTTCATGAAAAAAAATTAACTTCTTGGACCCAACCGACTTGGACCGACTAAAGTAATTTATTAATTTCACTATTTTCATCCTTATTTTAAGCCAAGCAGCCAAAGCATATTAGTGCATCACTTATCCAAGGCAAAAGAAATCATCTTATGAACTCCCACAAAGAATAACGTCATACAAAGTTTTTCGAATGAGATATTTCTGTTAATATTGGTCGTAAAAATTAGGCGTTCCAGAAGATCTTACTGTTTTCTGCTACTCTACATAAGCTTGAACCATCAAAATTCTACATCTAGCGCTTCTGACTCATTGTGTCTGAAGTACCAGTAAAAAAACATGTTTTCTCTTTCTGAATGCTACATTTCAAAAAATCACCCACATAAATGGCTTTGTAATTTGCTAAAACTAAATCTTACAATGTATGTATTGTGTATTTACATTGGGACCGGCCAGCAGATACAGCAACTGCAATCTTCATAAATCCAGCCCTACATTTGCTCTTCTGTCATTTTGGCTGTGGCCCCATCGTACAAGATTTTTCATGTATCTTGTCGCTCCTCCTCTTAGTCTAGAAAGGGCCAGAGGGGCTTTTTTGTTGTGAAAGATTGCTAAGACCTGAAGCTTTTTCTTCTTTTATGATTATTGAAATTGATTTATTCGAGAAGTAAAACAATGTAAATGAAACATTTGGAAACAAATTTTTGACAAATAAGAATAGATTAAAACTTACCTAAAAATGCTGCTTTATAAACCTCAAAATCAGTTGATAGCTCCAAACGTAAATGTGTATTATGTCTCACTATATTCTTCAGAACACAGATTGTTGACAAAATCATGTCCCTTCCTGAGTCGGTCCGTGGTTCCTCCTAATAAGGGAGGGGGGGGGGCAAAAATACGAAAAACTTATAAAAGTAGTCGAAAAATGATAAATAAAACCAATTGGACATAAAATAAGAAGATCAGGAAATAACGTTTTACTGAAACGTTTATGTATGTAAGAATCTATCACACTCAAGTCCGTACAGGCAAAATGCAGGTTAAACAATTACTGCATCGTCTGAACTGTCCCAACTAACGTGGAATCTTTTACACTCATAGTATTAATAGCGAGCTACATATTACCATTTCATTTTACATACCCTCTGCTTTCTTTGTTTTCCTTTTAAAATTTGAAGAAACTTCTCACCCGGAGACTAATAACTATCAAATAAAGTGACGAGTTTCACAATCTAATAGGAAATGAAATTTTATTCTTCTAAGGAAATTTGTCTAATATGTATAAAAGATTTCAGGGTAGGCACCCGAAAATCCAAATTTTGCTGACTTTTCCACGCCTAAAATCTACTATCATGCGTTCATAAAAAGGGTAATTCCCACTGCTGATTTCAAAACTAACCTTCAAGTTTTGAGTATTCTTTCAAGAGAAAAAGATGGGGGAGGATTAAACAATTTGCAAAATCTGCCGATGTATTGTTGAAAACTGAAAAGATACTCAAAGTCAATGGAGCAGAAAAATTTCGGTCCGTTTTGAGAAATTTTCTAAAATTTTTAGATAAATTTTCCCTTAATTTTCCCAACTGTTCAGGTTTTTAAGCCTAAGAGGCAACCTACACTCATCTTTGGCTGGAATATTCCAACAATCAATTCAAAAATTGAAAACCTCAATTCTATACAAATATACTCTCACTTCCCCTAAGAGCACTATTCAAGAAAGAAGTAAATTCTTGCAGGATTGACTAGAGCAAACAAATACTTTTATTTTGATACTTACAATCTCATTTTTAAGAACGTCTATGACAGCTTTCAATCCATTTTGTTCCAGAAATATATCATGAAGTCGCCAGTCTTCCGTCATAACACTCAACTGAATCAAGGCAGAGCGCCGAAGCCTATCTTCGACACAAGGCGCTGTTAGTAGCTCGAGAACTCGAATCATACTTCCTGCCTGAAATGAGAAACTTCTCCAATTGTTTTCTGACCGTATTATGCATGCTTTACATAGATTAAAGGGATAATATTTAAAACTTGAAACTTAACTGTCAAAAGAGTTTAAGCGAGCTCTAAGTTAACAACTACTTATTCTATTACAGATTTAAAAATAAAATATCATTAGCTGAAAATTTTATGAAAATTTGATTGAAAATGGACAATTGAAGGAGGAAAAGTGGCTAATTTTCCATACCTAGAAAAAGTGCACTTCTTTTCTCTTTTTATGTGTGTGTGTGTGTGTCTGTGAATTCAAGATCATAAATTTTGGGATTAAGTACTACGCTTAGAATTCTAAAAACTATTTTTGTCTGAAAGTTTTAATAATTGTTGACAACTCTTGCCTCATAAACTCCAGTTAAGATCTGTCGCTGGTGAGCAGGTTTTTCAACAATGAATATTCCCGAGGCTTGTTCGACTACAGTTGTTGTGCGCATCAGCCACATGACTCGCGCAATTCCCTCTTCACGAACAATGGTATCATTCCGAAACATGAGCCGTAAATTTCCGGTGAGTAACTAAAACCAAAAGACCACAGAAAAAAGATCAGAAAAATTTGTGCTTTAAATTATTTTTATCACCAGTGAATATCTCATTATTCGATACATACTCAGATAATTAGATTGCAATGAATATGTATATCAAAATTATACTTGTTAACCACCTTATCATTTTGAGTTCCCTTACTTAGAGAGATGCTAGAGCTTTTATTACATATTACATATTTTATATACTTTTTTATGTTGTAGTATTTAGCTCAATGAACAAATTTTAAACGTTCGACTTGCTTTAATATCAGTATTTAATCTTTAAAGTTCTGTAATGACAGCTTTCATTCCACTATTTTTGAGATAGAGAGCATTCGCTGGTACAAGATATACCACCAAAAATAAGAGGAAGTCTCACTTCTCTGGTATACTTGTAACAGTTGCTTTTATGACGCGCTGGGGTGCTTTGGAACACCCGACCGCCACTGGAATCTTTCAAGGTAGAGATTTTCCAGAAGCTGAACTCTCTCCAGGATGCCATCTATCCACCTTCTTGTAAGACGCCCTCTGCAAAACCTACCGGAGGAACCCAATCCAGAACCTTTTTCCGCAACCTGGTGCCAGACATTCTCTGCCAATTCTTTAGAAATATGACTCTAGATTTCCAAATCAAAACGGTCATACTTCAAATGAATCGGTTTCTGTTAAACGGGCGTAAGTCCACAAATCCAAATTTTTCAGGAGAGGCAAAAAACTGATTTTCTCGTTATGCAGGACACCACTAAATTTCAAAAAAGGGTTCAAAGGTTGTATAAACACCCGTTTAAAAGTTCTGAAATGTTTTTTTGGCTCAGAAAAATTTTAGTACCCTTTTAGGCTAATTTTAAGTTTTGGACTTACGCCCTTATACCAGAAAACGAAGGATGACTGAGACAGTTTCAAGCCAAAAAACTAATATTAAAGTAAGTTTGAAAAATGTAGCACATGGTTTTTTTCTTTTATATAGCATAGGGAGTTATTATATGTTTTTAAATTTATTTAAAGGCCTAAATTTTCTAGAATTACTCCTATTTTTCCAAAATTAATGAAGGTGACATGGGATATTTTCATGGGATATTTAAAAAAGTGTTGAAACCAAGTTTTCAAATTTCAATCATGTATTTTTGTGATCAATGCACAATAAGAAGTTATATCACCTAACAGCTAGGTCAAGATGTAAATTCAATACAAATGTTCTTCATTTATTATGAAAAAAGTTGCAGAAACTTTAGAAATGCGCGAGTTTGAGAACTCGCCCCCCCTAATCCACAGGCTTCTATACATAGGACTTCCGCCATCTTTTCAGAAAATGTGTATGTACCCTAAAGGAGGCTGAAAATGCAAAAAAAACGATTTTGAAATTTTTGGACTTACGCCCGTATAACAGAAACCGATTCAAATAAATTACAGAATAGAGTAGGAAGCTGATAGAGTTACCTGTAATTGCGAGAGAGGAGAAGAATCTGGGTTCAACACCCCAAGAACGCAACGGCCGAGTTCGGTGTTTTTCTCTGCAAGACATTCCAAAAGAGGTAGTACAGGCCCAATGGCAGATAGAACTGTTTTGAAAGAATATTTTGGAACCAGTAAACGGCATGATAAGATATGAATCAATAAATCTTTTGCTTCTTCCTGAATCTGAAAGAAAATTGAGTGAGTCTTGAATTGCAAGCATAGAGGAGACGGAAATGTTACGTACCTATTATGTCTCTCAACTCACAAGATTGACTTTTTTACAAGTAATCATAAATGATTAAATCTTTAAAAAAAAAAAAAATGTAATGATACCTTGGCAGGTAGACTCTACAATAGGTTTGCAAATTTTTAATATTTCTCCTTAGCTCTGTCCCTTTCATTCAAAAATTACAACTATACCTTCAAATTCTGATTGGTGCGAATAGTCCATAGACTTAAAAAAAGACCCTGCACTTTTTTATTGGAAAATCCCATTTTGAAGGTTATTCATGGGGTTTTGAGGAGTGATTTTTTAAGGGGCAACACTGAAACCCAATATTGGAATAAGGTGGCAACCCATAAAGTTTGCCTTTTTTTTCCGAAGTGCTATCCCCTGATTGTCACTGGTCCATTTTTTTTCAACTTTTTTTTTTTTTAATGCTAAGTATGATCCTAGTAAATAAGTCTTTCTTTATCAATTTTTTAGGTAGACTAATGGTAATTTTATCAAAGAAAATAATTGAGAAATACCAAAATTTTCCAAATTTTTGTAAATTTCATGGCTGAATAGCTCGTGGTTGGCCTTTACATGAATGTTTAAGAAAGCTACTTATTTTTTCCATGGAGAGTTTCTATAAGGATTGCATTTTGCAAAAAGTAACCAGAAGCATTGCGATGATGCTAAGATTGTGCAACTTCATCCTTTGCAATAAAATTACGGAAATCTTGAAAAAGTATGGTATTTAAATGGTAATTTTTGTCTTCAATATCAGTTTTTAGCAAGTAAAATAGAAACTATCGATGGGTAATCAGGTTTTTCCTCCAAGACAAAAGAAGTTGCACTATCTTAACAACATTGCAATGTTCCTGGTTCCTTTTAGCAAAATGCAATCCAGTGACAGATCCAAATACATATTGGAGGGGTATAGTTATTTCATTTATAGTTCATTTCCTCCTCCACCCTTTTATAAAGCTGGTGAAAAAAAATTCACAAGTGCCAAATGTATTACCAGGAGAGAAACTAACCTCAGGAATATCGTCGAAAACACCATACAGAGCAATCTCTGAAATGACCTCCGAGTTCAACAAGAATTTCAAGTGAGGAACTGGATCTGACGATTTGACCGCTTGTTCAACTCCTAACTTGGAGGTAATCAATTTATGACACTCGCTATACATGAACGACCGAATATCACTGCAACCATTTGCTAGCAATTTTAGAGTGATATCAATTGAAAGCTCCATGTCCTCCTTGTTAGAAATGATTCTGTAAGGGGAAAAAACACAATGATGATCAGAAATGTTCAGCGGTGAAGGGAAACCTTTCCAAAGTTAAAAAGGATCACTTAAAATGAAAAGAACCAGGCATTGAAGTTAGCAGATTTTCACTTGCGTGACAGATATTTCAAAAAGAAATTATAAAAAAAGCATGATCAGGGTTGCCACAGAATTTAGAGGATAAAATTCTCTGACATATTATGGTAAAATTCCCTGACAATTTAATAAGTGCTAGATGGTTAAATAGTAGGGCTGTGCGAATAGTGAATTTTCCGAAGGAAGCGAATAGCGAATAATTTCGGCAACTATTCGCGAATAGCGAAGCGAATAACAAATAATTTAAGTCAATTATTCACAGCTGCAAATAGTAAAACGAATAATTGGAAATGACTTTTCTAAGTGTGAAAATTCGCGAATATTACGAAAGTCGACAAAAAAAATGTGACTAATTTTTAAGAATTTTCCATTTGCTCATACGCCTGCACAGAAAACAATGAAATGCTATGATAGTAGCCTAGGCTGTTAAGAATTTGTTCAAAGATCCCTGGATGCTGGCTTGACTGTCCCTGCAGTTACGTATGCATTTCCAGGATTTGAAGGTAACTGCGCGGGCAATCAAACTAGTATCGCAGGATCACTAGACACATTTTAGTATTTTATTTTTTTCACTGTAAATAAAAATGTGTTAATGAACTTTTTTTTTCAATTTCAGAAATTTCTGTGTCTTTCAATCCTTAATTTGGGCTCTTTGCTTATTCCCCCAATCGCAATCGCGCTCGCTGTTCGTAAACTCGGCAAAGTCGGTAAAGATCAAAGGAGATCCGCCGTTCGCGATGTCGCGGGTGGAAGCGGAAGCCTGGCGTAGGTCCTCGCAACGTTTCACGATTGTCACTCGGGAATTCGTTATTTTTGATGGCGCGAATATTTGAAAATTCATTCCTCGTGACAGCGCGAATATTTGAAAATGTCAGTTCAAAAATTCACTATTCGCGACGGCGCGATTATTCGCAATTTGCGAATAGTGCGCGAGGCAGACGAAGCGAATATTCGCGGCGCGAATAGTCGGAATTGCGAATATTCGCACAGCCGTATTAAATAGACATAATCAGTAATAGCTCTCTGGCAAAATCTGTTGTTTGAACAGTCAAACACATCCTAGAATGCAAATAAAGGTAACTCAAACAATTTTTCCCTGACATATTCGTCAAATTCCCCGACATTGCCAGGTTTTAGCTGACTTTTTAAAATTCCTGGACATTTCCCGGTTTTCCCTAACTGTGGCAAACCTTGATAATGCAGCAAGGTAACCTGAAAGGAAATTAATTTTGGAGAATGAGAATACAAAAAAGCTTACTTTTGGGAGCAGAAATAAATAAATGAGCGGATTAATTCAAATTTGAGATGGAAAGGTATGCTTAGAAGGGCAGCTGACATATTTTGTAGAGCATCAGAGATGGGCATGGTTAAACCTGATTGCAGAAATATGCTTGCGGATGACATAGATTCCTTGACAACTGTCAGCTCGTTGTAGACTGAAATTTCTGACTTCTGAAATCAAACACTGATGTTAGTCTGGTCTGTTTGGTTGAAATGTGTGCTGAAAATAAACAAAATAACGGTTTCTTCCTTACTACTTTCCTTTCAATTGGTTTAAGAGATGAAATCTAACATTACGGAGAGAAAATGAATGATCTGATTTTACTAGGCGACAAAATCTACGCAAAAACTCGCTGGTGGTACAGGATCTATTTCACTCCACTCAGGAGGGCCTACTGATAACGAAATCAATGTTGAAAAATAATTTAGATCTCTACTTCGAAATATTTAGGGACTTTTGTGTCTTTCAGGGTCAAAGTACAAAATTTGTTGATATTGTTGTTATGATACCTTATCCTTTTTCACAAATGATTTGAAAAAACTTCAAACTCAGTTTACCTTCTTTAAGAGGGTCTACTAAATTTTCAAAAAAAAATATATTTAAAAAATGATTACGTTTGAAATTGTTTGGGAATTTTCAATATTTGAGAATTTTATTCAGTTTAATAGCTCTAGAACTCTGACTTATTATTTCGTTTTAAGCACCCTTTTTTAATGCTCCTGATTTCATTTAATCCTTTATGTATGGCTCTATTGCAGGCAAAAAAGAAGAGCGAGTAATTATAATGCCAAAATTTTGATACTTTTATCGGAGAAACTAGGGATATTTTCAAGTATTTTGCAGGTTATATGGCCCTCAGAGCTGTAATTTACAATGGAATCAACAATATTTTTTTAAAATAATTTTTTTTCCCTTTCGTTTACTTTAAATAGATCTAGCTTCAATAAGAAACAAAAGAAAAACATTTTTCTTGAAGTTTCGAAGATTTTTGGAATGAAGGAGTTGAGCAATTTCCACTATTTTGTGGAGGAATCAAAGTCAAAACATAAAAAAAAAAAAAAAAAAAAATTTCATGAGTCTTAGTGCGAGACTGAGGGAGGAGAGGGGGGAGTATTTACCTCAGACGGATGCATTGGAATACTAAGCTGAGGTCACATTGAGAGATATACAAGGTCTGTTAGATTAGAAACCGGATTTTGGTCATAACTAGCCCACAATGCGTCTGAATTAAGTTTTCTTGAACTTTCCTGATAACTGGAAATATACTGAAGAACGCTACGTTCACAAATTTGAAAAATTCTAATTAGCTTCGTTGGTATGTGGCTTGAAGTAAGGCAACCTCATGGGTGTTCTGCGATATTTATGGTTAACCAAACTTGTCTCTTTTTTCGGTCTTGCACTAAATTTTTCAACCTACTTAGACGATTGGAGTTTCGTCTCCATGTCGTAGCTGTACACTCAAGTATTGTCACCAAAAATTATCCTATCCAAAAATGTAGGATCATTGTTAGAACATTCAAGCAGCTAAAGGGAAATTGACACTTGGTCGGATTTTTGTTCAACGGACAACAATAAAGGGGCAAGGGTACCTGAAACTCGATGCATGTCTACATATTCTATCAAAATTGTATGTACAGAGCCTTCAGAAATATTACACTGTTCAGCAAGCTCGAAACAACCATTTTCGAGCACTTTTGCCCGCACTTCTTTCACGTGACAAATATCAGTTGCCGTTGATGGTCGATTCCTCTGCTTCTCATCTTCGACGAACACCTGACCAGTTTTGAATTGTTCAACCCACTCAAAACAGTTAGAACAACTCATACAACGATCTGAGTAAACTTTACTTAGCATACCAAAATTTTCGGTACAAGGTATACTGAGTTAAAACAAAATTTAATGTTAAATCTTTGCTCTATTAGTGATTGCATGATGAAAATCGCAGACGAACCTGACTTACTTGTATTCAAGAGGACACAGAATAGACACTGATCAAATTAAACAAAAGACGTGAGCCTGGCATTCTTCAGTATATTATCAGTTATCAAGAAAGTCCAAGGAAGCCTAATTTGGATGCACACTGGGCTAGTTATCACCAGAATCTGGTTTCTAATCTAACAGACCTCGGAAACCCGTTTGGATCTTTCTAGACTTCATTAGCAGATTGCACTCAGACAATGAGTCCAGCTTAGCACCCTGCAAAATCCTAGACAGCGATCGAACACCGTCATGAGTCTTGCACTGAAACTCATTAGAGTTCATTTTTGTGATTGCTTTCCCCGCAGAATTGTGGAGACCCAGCACTTTTCTGTCACCTGCAATATTCTGGTCAAATTTTCCATGTTTTTTTCTTTGCAGTTTCCAAATATAGTTAAAAAATTGAATGGAAATTACTGAAGCAAACTTACAAAACCCAAGTATTCAGCTCATACCTGAAAAATGTTACCATATTGGCAGATGAAACCATGTAATTTAGGATACAGGAAAAGCAATATAGGATCTAAAATTGCATGGGATAGAATTTCTTGCAGAAGTTCTGGGACTACCCTCGTTGCTATGCTGACAGGTACAAGATTGTCTAAAAACTCGCAGACTGACGCTATCAATCGCAGCTGCTTGAAAGAGTCGCCAGCCCATCTGAAAAAGTAGTAGTAGTAGTATTAAAAGTAGTAGTAATAATAACTAAAACTCAAAGGTGAGTTTTGAACACTGATGTCGACGATGAAACTGTTGAGATGTGTATCTTGGTTTGCAGTGGTGCAAACAACAGTTCGTACGACAAAATTTAGGCTCTGTTCGGCATTTGAGGAAAAATAAATCTAAATCTTTGGATACACTGAATCTTTATAGAAGATTCATTGGAAAATTTTCATGATTATGTATGTTCCATCTGTAAAGACTTCTGTTTGTAAAAAGAAGAGAAAGGCTTTTAATAATACTTGGCATCTCTGGTGTTTTCAAGGCATTTCTGAAGGCAAAGTGAAAATTAGTGATACAACTTTAAAATGATAATAATGTGTCAATATACATACGTTTTATATGCAACAGCACTCTCAACCATGAAAGTGTTAAAATGCTGGCAACAATCTATGGCCACGATGTTGGTTGATGTCCATAATTCCTTCGGATCGCAAACCAAATGCGAGATGAATAGTTTTAACGCAGAGCGGAACAAATGTACGGAATTGCAAACCTCCGAGATATGATTGGTAAGATGCAACGCAATTAAGGAGCATAGTTGAGGTATACTGATCTGCTCTGATTTTACGTTACAGAGGTCTTCATTATCTGCCTCTTGCTGTGAGAGAAAATAATAATAAGAAATTTTTCATTCAAGATTCTTTTAAAGGTAAAAGTACAATTCAGGAAAAACTTATGTTCATTTTGAAAAGGGGTTGCAGTTATATCAGAAGAGCGCTTACAATTTTATGCGAAGTTCACAAGTGAGAATACATACTCGACGACTAAGTATTTAGAACTTAACATCCTCATGTTGCTGCATTTTTGTAAACTTCAAACATCTAGCCTCCTCAGGTTCTCGACTGATAGTTGGGTTGTGTTTTGAAATTTTGCCATGACTGCATAAATATTTTTCATACGATTAAATCATTGAAAGCAGGCCCGGAGAATGAAACTCAGAGAGTAATTTTCTTATTTCATTGACCTCTAATTATTTTACTTAATTTTTTTTTTTAAATACACGCGAAAACTGTTTGAATTTTCAGATATTCTTGCAAGTTAAAAGAAATCGAACAATTTTAGCAGCATTCCTAACAGATACTCTCTGTTCTTTTGTGCAAAACATTATGCTATAAAGGCTGTTCAAGCCGAGGGACTGGTGCTATAATTTCAAAACTGATAAAGTTGAGGACCTAATCATAATTTCAATCGAAAGATCAATATCTACCAATCGAGACCAAGGTAGTCTATCTTGTTACCTGGTTAAGATTCCTATCACCTCCTTCGATTCCTGAGGCTGGAGAAGAAGACGACACATCCTGAAAAGAAAAAAAAATTATGCTCACAACAGACCAAGAATGGACGGAGCTATGAATGTAGAAAAGAAAGAAAGGCCTGAGTGAGGGGTTCAGTGGATTGACACATCAAATTTTTCTACCACTCTGAACACTCTTGGGAGTCTAAGAACAACATAAGAGCAATACATCATGGTGGCAATAATAGACATATAAATATGGAACTGGAAAACAGTCTATTTCAACTAGAACATTCTCAGGGTCATTAATGGAAATGGTACTAAACAGGAAATCTGCAATAAATTTTAATGTGACAGCTCAAGAGAAAATATTGTTTGGATTCCCTGACGGTGCCTAATTCTTGTGATAAAGAATCTACAGAATTTATTATGCTAATGACCACTTAATTGTGATTGCTGGAATTAGAAATTGCAATAGCATAGTAATACATTATGGAATGATGCATTCTATTGACAAGGCTCACAGAAATACTGATGGGACCCGCTTGCTTAAAGATACCTGCCAATTCAATTCTAAGAATGTTCCCTCTTCAATATGATTAAGTACTCACAAAAAATGTTGTCAAATGCAGAATAATTTTCATTTTTTTCCAGACAACTTCTTACATTGAAAAAAAAAAGAAACAAAAAGACACCAAGCAATGGAGTCAGCACGAAAAATTTCAGAAAGCAAATTCAACTTACATCAAATTCTGTCTGCGTGGATACAGTTCCAGGATTGTCAGTGAAATTCGAATACTGTATAAATGATGAAACCAATCGATCCAAACAGGCAATGATAGCTTTTGATGATGAGGATTTAGATTTAAGCAACCACAATAAACTCTACAAAAAACAGGAGAGGAAAAAATTAACATAATTTCATTTAAGATTCAAAACTCCTTATGAATGTAATAGGATATGGAGATATACTGCAACGTACACTGTAAACAAAGGCAAACTTTTTCACATTTTTCAAAATGTTCGTTAGAGAGAGAGAGCTTTATTATCTGGAATAAAAGAATCAGTCCAGATATCGAAGAAAGGTAAAATTTCAAAACTTTTTAAGACGAACAGATTGAGAAAGTATTTTTTTCTCATCCACAAAGTCGCAATATTTTCAATAGCAATATAAACATGTAATTGCAAATGAGTAATCACATCTTTGAGGAGTTCTATGGTAAATATTGGATAATATTTCTACTCTTTCATTGAAATTTTGCTTTTATAATGGTCATCACATTGATTCAGTAGTTGTTTAACCCCCACATCAGCCATTCTGAGCAAATACAATAGCAATTTGGCTATATTTTCGTGTTCACATCAAAGCACCAATTGAAGGACTGCTTTAGCAATGCAAGGGCTATGACCCGAGTGACAAATTGCAATACAGCAAATAATCAAATATTAAAGCTTTGATGAGCAAAGTTGTCCATCAACCCAAGGTCATTCATAAAAACATTTACAAAAAAAAAAAAAAAAAAAACAGAAATATGTAGTCAGCATGTTAATTGACTACCAAAGCTGTCACAAAATCGAGCTACCTCTTCAATTACAGTCTGTTCAGAGACGAACCTTTAAAATTGACGAGTGTTGAATGAATACAGGAGCGGGAAAATCACGAATCAAAACTGTCATGAAAAAATGACAAGAATGGTCGACCAGGCTCGGATCCTTTAAAGACTGACTCACTGCTGACAGTACATGATAGTCTGAGAGGATTAGGGTTTGCCACTTTGGCGAGCAGACTTTAAAAACTTCCGCATCAAAGTCGTTCAGTTGAAAGCTATGATCAGAAAATTTGAATTTAAGAAAGCTTAAATGATAACAGATGATAATAAAAGGAGCCGGAATTGAAAATTTATTGCAATAAAACATACCTGGTAAAGAAAGATAAAATAGATTTTCAGTATTATAATTGGACGTAAGTCTCTGAAACGGAACAAAGCGCCATGGGGGGAGGACGAGAAAGGGCAGCTTGGATTGGCAAGTGTTGCGGAGCGTGATGCTCATTCCGTCCTGTACTCGCAATGCTTTTCCATGACGCTTAATTCCGTTTGACAGAACGCCCTATCCGGGATTCAAAAATCCCCCAAAGGAAACCCATTTGGCGCTAAGTTCAGTTTGACAGAAATACGTCCAATTGCAACTGAATTTCCTCTTTAATGAAAGCAACAAACAGGATAGATGTTACATTAAGTTACGCTCAAGGGGATAGATGGGTGTTTCCACTAACATTGCGCAGAGTTACAAGGGGTATAAAAAGTTAGGCAGAGCTAATGTACTAATTTTGCAACCAGTTGTACAAAGCTAATGAACAGAACAACAAAAGCAAGGCAATGGATAATTCATCTGCTTTGTAGTTCTGTCACCAACAATACCTACTTTTTAAACATTCTTACGATTAAATTCAATATGTCAGATTCATTTTAAATGTCTTCCAAAATAAAATTAGGAACTGAGAGAATGGCACAGCTAGTGTTGTGCAATTTTAGAGAAGTCAAATACACTGTTCCAGGGTGTCATATTAATATGAAATCAGCATCAAGCAAGATTAAAAATAATTATAATTATGAATTTGGTGGCAAACCTTTCAGGACTTTGATAGGGTAATGGAGATTCTCGATCTGCGATTGACGTTCCATTTTTTGGTTCTCCGGGCTTTGCTGCAGAACTGCTCCGCCAACTTGAGCTTTTGCTTTCAAACTTGCCTAGGTTATCCTTCGCGATCCATAAATCATTATCTATTTTTGGTGCGGGAATTTCTGAGGAAAAACATGTTTTAAAATGTAATTAAATCATAGACAATTTGTACAGAACGTTTGCAAAGGAGAAGCTACAAAAAGGCAGAACTAATCTGCATTCGCATCATTGAGGTTGCCAGTGATTTGTATATCTTTTACATGAGATACAGTTGAGATAAATGGATTCCTTATCAAACTTCCAGTTGTAGGGAGCTACTCATTCGCGTACCCGGCAACCGCTTACCAGATGGGTACAGTAGGGTCTGAAGTGAAGTTGTCATTTTTGAAGGGGTAAACCCTTAAAAATAAAGTCAGTAGATTATTTTAAACATTTGATGGCTTAAAACACGATTCGAAATATTTGCTTCGTTTTTTTATGGATGTGTTATCATCAGATGTGTGATTGTAAAGGAGCAGTTAGATTAGTGGGAAGCTATGCAGCAAATATTCGACACTATTTTGACACTCTTACTAAGATTTTGATTTTCTCATGGTCATCATACAGTATTTTTCCGAACTTCAGACTAACACAAGCTTTCACTCTTCCGCTATGGGCTTATTCTTAGAAACCCTAGATAATCAAAAGTCTACTTTGCTTGGAAAGCTTGCGTAAAGCTGATGGAGAAAATGGAGAACTGAAGCTTAAAGAACATTTAATTGGTTAGCATTGAAAAATGTGTACCTGCTCTGACACAACATTTAAAAATCTCTGATCCTGTTTCATTTTTTAAGAGAAACTAATCCAGACATTTCTTAGATGTATTTTTGTGAATATTGTAGAACGAGTGAAAAAAAAACATGCAAAAATATTGAAGAAAAACCTCTCATTCGTATCCTTAACGAAATAAAACCTAAGTGGATACTTGCAACGAAAAATCAGCGACACACATTATTCAACTTCAGCTATCGATTTACAGATTCATACTGACTGGTCCTGCTGAGAAGAGTATGATAAATGATTTGACAGTCTACCTTCTATTGAGCTTTTTGATTTTGCAGTCTTCGATGATCCAGAAGATCTTGCTGAGAATGGCTCTGCTTCCAGGCGTGCATCCCTGTTCTGCTGATATAAATTGGGTCTTTCGGAAACTGAAGCACTAGGTTCTGAGAAAATAACTGGGTCACTTTTTTGTTTCTTAGAGGAGACATCTTCCCTGTGCACTGAACTACTACTTCGACTTTCTGGACTCATTGGTTGACTGGGCTTCGCTTGGGCCGGAGAAAACCTTAGGTTTGTTGAAACTGACTCGCCTAATCCAGGATACAGTCTGTGGTGTTGATCGTAGTTCATGGGCTTCATATTTTCTTCAAAACCACGAAAGACAGGATCCCCTCGGCTGAAATCGTGACTTAAATATTCTTGACTGTTCCCATAGTTTTGGTTGACGGTATCTTTTTTTGCTTCATAAGATGGTGGGTTTTCATTTCTAGTATTCGTTACCGCAGGGTCTCCACCCCTAGAAGCGTTGGACTGAGGTCGCTCGTTTCCAAGATATTTACGGGAGGACTCTCCACTTTGAAAATTGAAAGGACACTCTGAAGTTCTTAGATTATGCGTAGAGATATCGTCAGTGAAATCGTTCCTGAGAGGAGAGTCTTCATTTCTAAAACCAGTATGTGATTTCATATTTCTTGGGGGTACAGGATAATCTCTGCAACTAGCGTTCACATGAATTTCCTCTCTACATCCTGTATGAAAGTACTTATCTCTATGAAAGGAGGAGGAAAAATCTGCATGCAACATATCAGGGTGATTGTGCGGTTTTACATTTCCACAACTATGGCCAGAGGATTTTTGATTGAAAAACTGATTCGCCTTGCTACTGGTAAATTTTACATCATTTGGATCATCATTGCTAAGCTGAGGAGCACCCTGGTTGAATTGGTACTCGTATTTTTCACTATGACTGGATCTCCCGGAGGAGGGCGCTGAGTGCAGACTTGGCTTTCGTACTTTGCTTTGCCCATTTGGAGGGTAACTTGTATATTCTAACGCAAAGATGATGCTTGATATAAGAGTTGAGAGTTTTCTTTCACTGGCTGTGATGTCAAAGTCTCGAAGAAACTTCAATCTTGGATCAATTTCTAAAAATTTCAATCTGCCTGTTTCTGTCTGAAATGTCAAAAAAAGAGGACAGAATTAAATTTTGCAAAAAGTAGACAATGGCTTAGAGTTTGGTAGCACTGAATTGTAGACAAGTGGAACATTAAATTGATGGACACACAAAACATTTAATTTTTTCCTTGATCGTTAATTTGGAAAATTTCCAATGATTTCACTTGGCTTTACATTAATGTTTAAGAAGGAAACTTAAGGGTTGTGTTAATCAGAAATGACTCGAGTTACATCAAGATCGAACATAAAAAAAAGAGGTTTAAAATTTTACCTCTCCACAAGACTCGGTGTTAACAATAAACTTACTTAAATGCCAATTTTCAGTTTTTCACGATCAAAATATTTTTTCTTGACTTTAAATTTTTGATTGGAGAAATGTGCAGCTTGGTCCTCTTCTGTGTAATTATGTCCATGTGTTGCACAAGCACCTCAAGGTACTTAAATTTTGATCCAGTCTAGCAATTTGTTGAATAAAACTAGCCTTGAGGGATATAACAGCTACTGAAAGTTGTTGTTAAGTACTACAAAAAGTCATTTGCTAATATAGTAAGAGCGATCGTGCTTCATGATTACATTTTTTGATATGATGTTTTTCCAGAAACTATTCTCAACTGTTCAATTTTTTTGCTAGGTAGGAAGACCCAAAGTAAAGTTTCATTCAAAATGATTAACATCTGAATTTTTCGAACATGTCTTTTAGTTCGTTTTTTATCTGCAATACCCTTCGATCAAACTAAAATGCATGAGATAAATTGGACCGAATACAGTAAGAGGTAACCCTTGCAAATACAATGTTTTCAAAATTGTGCGCTTTCTTCTTTGCTTTTAAAAAATTGAATGCACGTTCTCTGATGATCTTTACTGAATAGTATTCTTTCAAAATTGACGATCCTTCAGGAAAAATTTGAAGCATTCTTGGAGCTTTTGGGAGTTTTTTTTTTTTTTTTTTTTAGAAGATGAAGATTTTTACAACATTGTATTCGCGTTGATCCCTTCTGCTAAATGCAATCCAATTAGGCCAGAGCATAATGATATGATCCAGAAAATAATTGACAATTTTATTAAAGCAGAAATATTCCGCTTACCTTTGCTAGAGTTAATATCAATTCCAATACTTTTTCCTTTTCAGTGCATACTGGAAACTTGAACCAATTGATGAGTTTTATGAACAATTCATGACTTTCGGTCAAATCCTCAACTGTCAGGACATGGCAGTTTAATTTCATGAGAATGTTATTCAGTGCCCGAACTCTGATCTCTTCAATATCATGACCTGAAAGAGTCACAATAGAAGTAGAGGGCATTCAAAGTTGTCATGATACATGTAGAGTTACAGGTTTTTCTTCATGGAAGAGAAATTTAAAAAGACCATCATTACAGTGTGTGACTTAATGAGTAGTAGCGGCATCCACGGAGAAAGAGCCCGTGATTCCAAAAAAACTCAGAATTGAGTAATCAGCATATTGATATGAGGGGTGGTCTGCAAACATTGTCCCACATGAATTACACCTGATTGATCCCAGTTTGAAGTTTGCAGCTAAAAGAACATAAATTTGCGGGCGAATTTCTTGTGATAAATTTTAGGTCCTGTACTTGGAACTCAAAGTTGTTGAATTGAAAAACATACTCCCTATGGTCACATAAATGAATTCGGCTACTTAAAACATATTCTTCAGTTGAGTGGAGAGCAGTTAAAGCACTGGTGTTCACTTCAAGTATCTATCGTCAAACCTGTGTACCCCGTCAAACAGGATTTTTCTTGGCTCGATTCAAGCATGAAACATTCAATTCAGTTATGAGAAATGAATTGTATTTCTAAATTTTGTTATGATGAAACTGATGATGTTATGTAAAATTTGAATGTAACTTACCCAACTTCTTGATTATTTCAGCGGTGGATTGCATCTTTTGTAGCAACAATAACTTCAGTAAATATAGTATCAAATGCTGCCTGGTGTGGCTAATAATCGTGAGAAAACATTTATCTTTACAAAAGTTGTTGGGCACATTATTAGCAATTGAAGAAACTCATGCCATGTGATAAACTTTGAAGACTTCTTTCGAAAACTCAACTTGGTAAACAAAACTTTTAACTGCCAAACAGAATCAGGCTCACCGTAAATGAAATAGCATATACACTAAAATCAATTATTCGGCTAGAATTAGATCCAATTCAGTTTAAATGTATTGTTTTCTTCAAATTTTGAATTTTTGGGAGGTTCTTTGGAAAGTTATTGTCATAATGTCGTAGGAATTTATCGAATTTCTTCGTTACTTATCCGTTTAACATGGTGTCCTAGTGTCCAGTCTCCAGTGAAAACTCGTGCTTATAGAAGAGCATCTTTGACAGCGGGGTGAATTGGCGCGCTGTTCAAAAAAAAAGTACATTTCATGCATTTGGAACCCATATGGAACCTGTATAAAAAAGAAAAGACCTACATCACCGCTAAAACTAACCTTGGAAGTCATATAATCGGACATTAGTTACAATTACTCTCCAATTTCTGCTTTTTTGACACACAGAACGTAATTTAGCATGGTTATAGGTTATTCCTTTAAAACGGGACGCGTCGAGATAAAAGTTGTTATTAATTGAAATATGTATTTTTAACTTACAAATTATTTTCAGTTACAGTCAAACATTGATAAAAAACATATTGAAACATAAAAAGTCATTGTTACGAGTTTTCAGAGCTAAAATAAGCCACACCTTTCCCGCTTTACGTTTAGAAAATGCATGCATGACCGCCATTTTGAATCTCCCACTACAGAATATCGAATATCGTATCGATGCGATTATTCGAATATCGCACTATCGATTCTTAACCATAGCTTCTTACGGGGACACAGCTATAGTCGATCGTTCACGAAGTTTGGCAAGAAATCGGCCTCATCCACTGGACTCCGTTTTACTCGCACCGGCTCACTGTGGAGGAAAGCCGCGGCTAGAATTCTTACGATCAGCGACCTTTCTCCTCATTTTACTTTTAAACTTTCAATCTTAGAGGAAAATGTCATAGGACCCGAAATAACAGCCGTGAAATTTCCTATCGGTTCATTACACAAAATTTTCGAAAAAATAATTTTCGTGACCAAAAATAAGTGTTTTAAAAAGGGCGCAGGCAAAAATTCTTAAGATCAGCGACCTTTCTCCTCATTTTACTTTTAAACTTTCAATCTTAGAGGAAAATGTCATAGAACTCGAAATAACGGCCGTGAAATTTCCTATCGGTTCATTACACAAAATTTTCGAAAAAGTAATTTTCGTGACCAAAAATAAGGGTTTTGAAAAGGGCGCAGGCAAAAATTCTTATGATCAGCGACCTTTCTCCTCATTTTATTTTTAAACTTTCAATCTTAAAGGAAAATGTCACTGGACCCATAATAACGGCCGTAAAATTTCCTATCGGTTCGTTACACAAAATTTTCGAAAAAGTAATATTCGTGACCAAAAATAAGGGTTTTGAAAAGGGCGCAGGCAAAAATTCGTATGATCAGCGACCTTTCTCCTCATTTTACTTTTAAACTTTCAATCTTAGAGGAAAATGTCATAGGACTCGAAATAACGGCCGTAAAATTTCCTATCGGTTCATTACACAAAATTTTCGAAAAAGTAATTTTCGTGACCAAAAATAAGGGTTTTAAAAAGGGCGCAGGCAAAAATTCTTATGATCTGCGACCTTCCTCCTCATTTTACTTTTAAACTTTCAATCTTAGAGGAAAATATCGAAATACTCGTTTCGAATGCGATTATTCGAATATCGCACTATCGATTCTTTACCATAGCTTCTAACGGGGACGTGGCGATATTCGATCATTCACAAAAGTTGGCAAGAAATCCGCCTCTCAGCTATAGCTCAGCCACTGACTCTGTTTTCGCACCGGCTCGGCCGCTCGGCTCATCCGGAAAGAATGGCCCCGGTCATCGCCTTATACTTGTTGCGGCTATGCCACTCGTTTCTGGGGATTTCGTGCTAAACCAAAGTGTTTCTGGGTTATTTTGATCGTAGAATTCATTTCTGACCTTACTTTTTTCAATAAAATGACGCAAATACACAATTTTACGCGTTCCTTCGAACTTTCCGGAGAAACATAAAAAAATTTAAGTTAGGTACTCGAAGATAAGTTTTACTCGTTCTTGTGGGTATTTCGTGTTGAAACCCGGCATCTGCGGGGACTTTAGATCGGAGATTTCATTTTTGACCTTACTTTTGTTGATTTGTTGACACAAATACATGATCTCGGCGGTGAAAAGAAAAGGTACTCACCGTAGATTTTACTCGTCCTAGTAGACATTTCGTGTTGAAACTTCGCAAACTAAGTAATGGTATTTTGATCGAAAAATGAATTTATGACCAAACTTATGCTAAAATATATGATGACACATTAAGGGGGGGGGGGTGTCAGTGGCGTGCGATCCGGATAAGCATAAGGCAATAAGCACTGCTTGCCCCAATATTTCAGAGGAAAGAGGAAAATTACACCTATATTACATGTTTTAAATTTTAGCAGATATTATTGATGAAATGTATTAGTAGGTAAATTGCATTAAGCAGAACAGAAAGAGACAGAAATACGTATGTAGCAGCCACAGAAGTAGGAAAGCGGCAGAGCGGACGGAGGTGGCGCAGCGCGCTGCGCGACCTGACAGCCTCTTCCCGTCGCGGTTGCGATTGCCAGGGGCGCATAGCTGGGAAATTTCTCTGGGGGGGGGGGGGGNGGGACCACCTCTCGTGGTGAAGAGAGCGAGGGGGGGCTGAGGAATGGAGGATCCCGTTTTTCTGGGGGGGCAGCCCCCCGCCAGGACCCCCCTAGCTACGCCCATGGTTTTGGAGTGCCATGAAATGACTCGCGAAGTTTGGCCTTGTCACCACGGGACGTTTTCATGGGATTTGTCCCAAGTTCGAATCGCAGGAATGAAACATCTGGGATTTTTCTCAGTAACCGTCTCCACGGGACGAGGCTCATATGGTCCTGCGACTAGTTTACGCGGAAGATAAATTAGATAGGTAAAGTCGAGTATTTAACCGTCATTAAAATAATAAGTGCACTCAATTGACAATTAGACACATAATTATTTTAACTAAACAAACAGGAACAATGGAGTATTCAACAAAATATCGCACAATCCGTTTGCACTTCTTCTTACTCTCTTCGGTGGGTCCTAGGAGTAAAAGGACCATACTTGGTACTGGGAAAAATATTGATAAACTCGATATTTTTCCCTGAACGAAGAAAAACGGGGTAAAAAAATACTAATGCGTGATCAATTTTCAAGGACAATTCTGTAATTTCTCCTACAATTTTAAATAGATTAAAACGCGCAATATCCTAAATCTAAGCTCAGATTCGGATTCCTCGTGAAAAATCGATGCGATTTCATGTATCATATGTTAGCATAACATGAAGGAAAGAGGTTTAACGACGCGTTTAGATCAAGACCAATCCGTCGCACTACCCCTTCGAACTACGCCGCTGCGCCGCCGGTCGCCCGAGATGCAACCGAACGGGGAGGCGCCGCGCCGGCCAGCGCTAAAACAAGCGTTCGGTTTCGTCCCGAGGAATTCCTGAGCACTACCCATGTTGCCACGTTGCATTCATATGCTCGAATCAGTATGCCTACGTTACGTGTCTTTCCTTCCCCACATAGCACAGAATATTGATATAATACTACAATAGTACTGACACGTCAGTAGTGTCAGTATTTATAAAATGCTGATGTATCCTGATTTAATATTATATCAAGACTATGCCAGTATTTATTAGTTACTGATTTGGAGCTGTCAAAATATTGTTACAGTATTGGCCGAAAAGGTTGATTTCATATGGAAATCAGGGTTATGACAAGGTCATCAGAACACTGCAGGACACCGACANGATAAATTAGATAGGTAAAGTCGAGTATTTAACCGTCATTAAAATAATAAGTGCACTCAATTGACAATTAGACACATATTTTAACTATAAACAAACAGGAACGCAATGGAGTATTCAACAAAATATCGCACAATCCGTTTGCACTTCTTCTTCCTCTCTTCGGTGGGTCCTAGGAGTAAAAGGACCATACTACTTGGTACTGGGAAAAATATTGATAAACTCAATATTTTTCCCAACTTCGTAAGTGGGATTTTTCCCTGAACGAAGAAAAACGGGGTAAAAAAATACTAATGCGTGATCAATTTTCAAGGACAATTCTGTAATTTCTCCTACAATTTTAAATAGATTAAAACGCGTAATATCCTAAATCTAAGCTCAGATTCGGATTCCTCGTGAAAAATCGATGCGATTTCATGTATCATATGTTAGCATAACATGAAGGAAAGAGGTTTAACGACGCGTTTAGATCAAGACCAATCCGTCGTACTACCCCTTCGAACTACACCGCCGCGCCGGTCGCCCGAGATGCAACCGAACGGGGAGGCGCCGCGCCGGCCGGCGCGGCGTTAACAAGCTTCCCGCAGGTTTCGTCCCGAGGCATTCCTGAGCACTACCCATGTTGCCACGTTGCATTCATATGCTCGAATCAGTATGCCTACGTTACGTGTCTTTCCTTCACGCATCACGCTATGCTCGGATATGATACATGAAATTGCATCGATTTTCCACGAGGAATCCGAATCTGAGCTTCGATTTTGGGTATCACGCGTTTTAAGTCACATGTTCCAAATTCGAAAATCCGAATTGACGGGCGTGGCTTAAAATGCTATCTCGGCTCCTGTTCGATGGATTTTTCTGAAATTTGGTGTCAAGGTATGATACATGAAATCGCATCGATTTTTTACGAGGAATCCGAATATGAGCTTCGATTTTGAGTATCACGCGTTTTAAATCAAAATCTGTCAAAATTCAAAAAATTCAAAATTCGAAAATCCGAAATGACTGAAGTGGCTTAAAATGCTATCTCGGCATGAGGAGCGCTGAGTCATAATGTGTTTTTGTTCCTGTGCTTAAATCGATTGATAACATTTTTATTAATGGACGCAAGAAATCTATTTCTTTCTAATCCTTTCTTCTAATTATCTTTTCTAATAGCTGACCAGGAAACTTAATTAATCATAAAGTGTGAGTACTTTCGTTTTAATTTTTGGTAGTTTCCTTTGAAATTTTAAGTTTGAATGCTGCCATGACCAGGGATTGATAGTACGTAAAAATGCATTCAAAGGCGCAATGACCGAGTTTCATTATCTGAGCCCTGGTTCACCATTTTTGTGCATTGTAATATGCTACCTATTAATACAATGGCCATGAGATATGAGCTTTTGTAACGAAGACACCAAAATTCTGAAAGAAAAATCAAAGAAATGGACCTCTCACTGATAATTGGACGTATTTCTGTCAAATGGAACTAATAGCGGCAATTTGAGTTCCTTTTGAGGAATTTAGAATGCCGGATAGCGCGTTCTGTCAAATGGAAAAGCATTGAGAGCATAGGACGGAATGATCCCGACGCCCGGTTCCGCCGCCAATCCAAGCCCCCCTCAACCTTCCTCACCCTATGGCGCTTAGGTCCGTTTGACAGAAAATACGTCCCATTGTCACTAGACTACTGACACAGACTATTGTTACTTCTGTGACTTATTATAAGTCGCAACAGATACTTATTGGATCTCTTACTGCCATATATACCTTTATTACGTGAGTGTTAAACGGGGGGTCTAAGTGATAGGTCTCCTGGTGGTTTTTAACAATTTCTCAGGGGATTTTAAAAAGTTTAACTGTTCGAATTCTGTACGGTACTTAATTTTGATAAATCGGTGCTAAAGGCATCGTCTCTGCTGAAAACCGCACAACTTACTGCTCAAGTAGCAATCGGCTGAAAACAGCTTTTAAAAAATCACTCTTAAATTTCAAAAAGACCAGTCTTCAAAAATCTGTTAAAGTTCTCATTAGTAAACCCGTTTTGGCTAATTTTTAAGAAAAATTTACGAGGTGTAAAATTTAGGTAAACAAAGTGTGATAGAAACTCTTAAAATATCAACGTACCTAGTTTTTCTGGG